TTCAAAAACGGTTTTCGCTGGGAGTCGGAGGCCCTTAAAACAAAGGCCTTTCCAGCCCGGCCTCTCTAGGCCTGTGAAGGCCTTTGTTGGCAAATTTTCAGTTTTGTAAGTATTATTTTGGCATGGAACTTCTAGCAGCCGCTCTTGGGAAACACTTTTTCCCATCATTCTGTCTCTCGCCCTCTTGATGTTTGAGTGAGCCTTGTTTCACCCAAAACGTTGTGTTCTTGCCATTGCAAGATTTGCGAAGCTTCACATGTTAGCTTCTGTACTTAGACCAGGGTGACAGTCACAATTAGCACGATGTCGGAATTTCCGGAACAGCATCAACTATGTGAAAGAAGGTTAGCATAAACAGGCAGGATATTGGTTTTGCAACCTCAGGCCAGCACGTTGGGCAAATACATATATATATATATATAGGAACGGCTCAGCAAACAACCTAGAAAACAACGTTAAACAACTACATATTCCAGCCCTTTGCGTCTAGAAAGGTTGGTCATGGCAAACCTCGTGTTCAAATTCAGTTAAAACCAGTCTAGTACTATGGTACTTTGTTGGTACTGCCAGTGACGTGAGTCAAACGTACTTGCCCACCACTTCAAACACACCAATGACGTCAGGCAGTTCACACAAAGCAACGCACATGCCGTGACAACTGTAGTAGCTTAGTCCGTGGATTGGACTGTGAGGTTCCTTGCAGCATTTGACTTCCCAAGACGACCTGAAATCAGCAAACTGGCAGACTCGCAACCTAAATGACTGTGGCCAGGAGAACAGCTGAATGTGGCATGTATTCATCATGAATCATGTTAAGGCCCACGCAGTCAGTGTGTCAGTTAGTGACCCTTCAACTTGCGGCCACTGCCTGTACACAAAGCGGCACACTTATCAAGCCCGGTTCTTGTTGCGAATTGCTTACGTCCCATATTTTAGTGGGCTCACACATTTTAATGCACATGCTTCTTGTGAGTTGAAGCATGCGAGCAGGGCAAGTCTAGACAACCACTCATATGACACAACGCCCTGGACGCAGCGACATCTTTAGTCCACAGCAACCTTCGGGGCTGGGAAGCATGAAACACCGTGAAACAAGCGTGAAACTGCCGTGAAAGGCCTGTTTAGGGTGTGAACGGCCGTTTTTAGGCGTGAACTTGTGGCTTGGCTCCCTGCTGGTTAGGTTGTGGTTGAAACTAGGAGCTGGACCTTGCGTTGTTTGCCAAACATGGTTCATGTGCATTCACGTCTGTTCACTGGAAGGAAAATGCTTATTACCGTTATTATTTGTCCATTTTGATCCCCCAGGCTGGCACACAGCTGAACAACGGACACCTTTGCAAATGGCGATGCAATTGCAAACGCGGAAAAAGCAAACGCATTGCGCACAAGCAACGCCCAAAAGGCAAGCAGTGGAGGAACCGTTGACCCTTCCCAAAGCAGTGAAAGTTGCAAGCACCAGTGCAACTGACCACAGGAGGCAGGCAGGCCCCTGCGCGGGTGGGTTTGGTTGTTGCAGTCGCTCGAATCGCGTCGACGGGCTTTGTATAAATTAATCAAAAAACTGCATTGTGGGGCAGAAGAACAATCAGGAGTGGAATAAGGGTAGGCTGGCAGGTTTCACAGCCCGATATAGCACCAATGTGCAGCTCATGTTAAACATAAGCAGCGCCTCCTCTTCAGGCACTGCCTTCGTGAAACTACGCCTACGATAACCTAACCACTAGCCTTTGCCTGGCGCTCGCAGCACGGATGGAAGCGAATTCAAGCAAACCCCGCATCATACATATGTCCAATTGCGTTGCCTTAGCGTTCTTACTGCTGAAAAGGCTGCAATTCCTTGTAAATGGAATGGCAAGCTAGTTTCCTTGCTCGCAGTCAAGAAGAGTAAGTTACTTATTTAAACACGCTCAGAGCTAGCCAAGCCTTCAATATGAAACTAAGTTAAACTGATGCCTGTCTCTCTCTCTCTCTCTCTCTCTCTCTCTCTCCCGCTAGAAGCCCTTTGGACGGCGACAAACTTCAAGATACAAAGTCCCCATGACAAACACCAACACCAATGCTATGTTGAAACCTCGTGAACCGCCACCAAACCCCATTCCACAGGCCATATACACAAAGGCCCTTTCTATAAAGGCCTTGCTCTTTAAGGCCCTTTGAATCCCAGGGTTCTCGTTTTCTGAGTATGCGTTGGTGTAGACGTGCCAACACAAAACACACAGACACAAACACGCGCGCCCGTACATACACATAACATAACACGCCCACGCACACAAGCACGCTCTAACTTTTTCTCTGACTCGAAGCGACCGACAGAGGCACAGCAAATATCTACGGCAAACAAGAGTGTGGGATTTTCACGGTCATTTGGGACGGACACGGTCATAGGGGATTTTGAAGGCTTTATGGCCAAATGACCTTCGACCACCTTTTTCGCGATCAAACCAATGTCAAGGATGTGTTCCTGGAACACACACAAACACATGCGTACACCTGGAACACATATGTGTGTATGTCTGGAAAGCACATTTCTGTTCACCTGCAACACACATTTGTGTTCACGTGGAACCCATACATGCGCTCACTTGCGCAACACTGGTGCAGACCTGGATCACACAAACATGTTTAACCATAACAAACTTGCGTGCTGACTTGTAACACACATATGTGTACACATGGAACACACGTATGTGCACATGTGGAGAAACATGTGCAACACAACTACGCAGCGCACATGCGTTCATCTGGACAACAAAAATGTGTTCACATGGAGTTTACATTCTCTGCACGCCTGCAAACAACTACGCAGCGCACATGCGTTCATCTGGACAGCAAAAATGTGTTCACATGGAGTTTACATTCTCTGCACGCCTGCGCGACACCTAAATAAAGTTCCCGAAGCCGGCTGCGAGGCGCAATTTCATGGGGCTCTGCCTTGAACAACGCTTGTGTTTTATATGCGTGTTCCAAGTAGGAAAACAGTGTTCGTGTGCGATCAATCTAGCAATTTTGCAACACGTTGCTAGCGCGCGAGCTGCTGCTGCTGCTGCTGCTGCTGCTACTACTGCTAATACTATCAGTGTCGGGTGCGTCTCCAGCATTTGCAGGCTTCATCTTAGCAAAAGCTTTCCGGCGCATTGCTCTTTCTTGCTTGGCTGCACAGTGTCTTTCGTATCGAGTAATCTGTTGCTCGATAGAACGCTCTAAAGTGCCTTTATCGTCGATCGTATTGTGGCAACTCTTCGCATCGATTCAGTAAAGCATTTGCTTTCGCAAGGAAATACGCAACCCTATTCTTCCGTATGCTCGGTACAAGGCATCCCTGCCAGCCTCCCGTTTGTCCAGCAAATCGCCTTCCATGGTAATTGCATGTCGAGGAGAGCGGAAGCAAATTAACTGCACAGCCTTGCTAGATTTTTTGGAGTCACGGCGACCATCTGTGTGGATTTGACAAAACGTGCGGGCTGGCTTCAGGTGCTAAGTAAGAACTGAAAGCCACACAAAGCCCATCGCAGCAACCTACGCGCCAATTCTTGGAAACCAAAATCACCGAAGACCCTGGGAGAGCCGTGCCAGGCATCCAGGCTGGGAGACAACGGGAGAAAACTGAACGGAGACAAAGGGAGACAAATCAACCCGTCCACCCAGACAGCCGTGCCAGGCATCCAGGCTGGGAGACAACGGGAGACAAATGAAGGGAGACAAAGGGAGACAAATGAACCTGTCCACCCAGAGAGCCGTGCCAGGCATCCAGGCTGGGAGACAACGGGAGACAAATGCAGGGAGACAAAGGGAGACAAGTGAACCTGTCTACCCAGAGAGCGTGCCAGGCATCCAGGCTGGGAGACAAAGGGAGACAAATGAAGGGAGACAAAGGGAGACAAATGAACCCGTCCAGCACAGAGCCGTGCCAGGCATCCAGGCTATGGCTTGGCAATAGGCGAGTCACTTTAAATGAATTTAGAACCCCTCACAGTAAACTGTTTGGGGAAATACAAACAAACATATATATATATGTATATAGTAATAGCAACAATAATAATAATACTAAGTGCTTAGACTACCGGGAAGACCATATTTAGTTGTACACCCAAAGTTTGGACTCTCTTGGGCAAAACTCCCACGGACGGATTTCACCCGAAAAATCTTGGGCCACCGTCCCTACCCTTCAGTTGGTTCCGCCGGTTTTGGTTGGTTTTGCCATTTTAAGCGGCCCGATCCCCCCCCAAAAAAAGCATTTTAAGCGGCCCGATTCCTTTAAAGGGAAAAAAGCGAGCCGCCCAAATCATCATTTCAAGTGGGACAGGTATTCCCCCCACAAAAAAAAGAGCCGGCCAAATCATAATTTCAAGTGGGACAAGTGTTGGTGCATCTTTATGGTCAGGGGTTGCTGGCTCGCTTGGGTGTGCTTCTTGAGGTTACCCTTGTATTGGGTTTGGGAAACTAAAAGGAACGCCAAAGCCATTTTTTGGGGGGTCTTCCAATTTTTTTGGACACACACACACACATACACAAACACGCGCACACACAAACACATGTCCAACCATTTCCAAACAATTAGTCAACCAGCTCCTGCTTAAAGACCACCTCAAAGGCTGACCACGTATCGGAAAGGACTCAAAGACCAAAAGGCGGGCCGTCAAAATTAGGGCGCCCCCTTTGTGACAATTACCTGGAACAGGCCGGACGTATCGGCAGCCCATGGTTCCACTCACATAACATACATACATAGCTACATGCCTACCCACATACAAACTTACATACATACTAACTTACATTCCATACTTACATACATACATATATACTTAATTATATACATACTTGCATACTTAGATACATACTTACATATTTACATACATATAAACATATGTTTACATACATACTTACATACTTACATACATATTGCATTACATACATAGCCCCATCCAAAGTCTCCGGCAGAAACGTCTCAGAGACGTCTGTCTCTCCAGTCGCTCCGGTCTCCGGTTGCTTGGCGCCCCAGCGCGTCGCAGAACTCCGCGTGGGTGACGAAGCCGTTGCTGGAGCCTGGAGCCGAAGGGGGCGGAAGCGAAAGGAAACTCAGATGGCCCCACTGTGCTGGAATTAGTTGACCCCACCAAACATATATATATATATATAAACAAACAAAAAAACGAAAATATCTCTTTTGCCTGGTTAGTGGAAAAAAAGAAGAACAGGGGAGCTAATTCTGGGGAAGAATGGAGCCTCCTTAGGATAGTTGGGTGTTTGAAGCTCACGGGGCCGCTGGAGGGAGGGAATGGGCGCCCAGAGGCCTTCCTAAGCCCTTGCTGTGGATAGACGAAATCCGTTCGCATCACTTTGAAACTGGTTGAAACCATTGTCCGTTGGTATTTTTTACGGGGAATCACCGGAAACCAGGGTTTCTTATGTGGTGCAGGAGTTCGTCCATCCACAGTATTTCCATGGCCAGGCTGGGCTGTCGGTTTTCAGATCAGCTACCCTCCCACCGGCTGGGCTGAAAGTTTTCGGATCTCTTAGTGGGGTACCCTCCCGCCAATTAACGTGGAACCTGACCCGGGTGGTCCCTCTAAAAGGAAAATGGTCTTCCAAGACCCCCCGAACGTCAGGTTCCACTTTAAACCCGGAAGATCTAAGGAACCGGACGGCCTGTTCCGAACAGCGAAGCAGGGTGAAAGTATGCCGAAAGATACCGTGGATGGACGAAATCCGCTTTGCAGCACCCAAAGAAACCATGGTTCAAACCATAACCAAACAATCCCCAGTAGTGCCCTTTTACCAACTTTTTTGGGGGAGGGTTCCCCCACTAAAATAGACGACCTGAAAGAAGTTGGCACCCTTATTCTAACCTCTCCACTGGAGGACCTAGTCCGGGTGATTTGTCCACACCGAGCACGGGACAAGCTTGCAGGTCAACAAAATGGCACGGGTTTCCGTCTGGTGTCCCTTTATATACGTACCAAAAAGGGGGGTTGCCATTTTGAGCAGCATCCATTTATGCTTGTCTAACATGCTCTTTATACGAAGTGCTGTGGACGAAATCCTGCACCACCCAAGAAGCCCTGGTTTCTGATGATTCCCTTGTAAATACCGTCGGAAACGTTATGGCCCAGTTTCTGTTTTGTGTGTTTGAGCTGGAACCGCTTTCACCGAAAGGCAAACCGTTGACAAAACGGCCACCCCCTTTGACACGGAGAGAGTGCCAACTTAGATGGTCTGGGACGAATCGCACAAGTTGTTAGTAGCCCTGCAAATGGGGGACTTACAACCATAAAGTCGGAACCAAACCAGGGCTACTAACCACTTAGCTAATTTTGACTCGCAGACCATCAAAGTATCAAAAACACCGACGGAAAGCATGTGCGAACTCTGACAAATACCTTCAAGGCCCCATTTCCTAGTTTTCCCCACAGCTCAAGGCACCTCTCAAGAGGAAACAAATATCTCCAGGGCTTTACCAAACCGGGTTTCTACCCAGAGGCTCCTGGGGCTTTCAATGGAAGACCCGACCCCTCCCTTAAACACCCCGGAGGTGGTTGGGGGTCTCAAAACCAGGTTGTGTGAAGGCCCTAAATCAATCGGGAGCCTCTGGGTACCCAAAAAGAGCTTTGGGACCTTGGACCAAACCAAGGTTTTACCTCTTAAGCTTTCCCGTCGATTCGCCTGTCTGTGCACACCTCCGCCTCCGACTCAGGCCCGAACTGTCCATGAGGCGCCAAGCCGCGGCGAAGGTGCCTGGCGCGACCGAAAAGAAAAACCGCGCGGTGGGGTGCGCCTGTGGAGGGTCCACACGTCCAAGTGGCTTGGCCAAAAGCTAGGGACGGGCGGCTTTGAACTAGGTCCTCCAGATTTGAGAGCTTAGAATAAGGGTACCGTCTCTTTTTTCATGACGTCTATTGTAGGGGAACCGAATCTCCCAACCAAAAAAAACAAGGGGAGAGAAGGGCACCTGGCTGGGGGACCCAGTGAATGTCCCATGGGTGGTCTCCGCTTTTCTCGACATCGCGGCCTTGTGGTTGCTCGACAACAAGAAAAACACATCGGGTCTATCACTTGAGAGACATCCATTTACCTGCAGTCTCTTGGGCTCGGGGAGTAACCCCTTTGACCTAATGACTCAATTCGTTAAGGGTCAGAAGGAGACTCCAGGCACTCGAATGGTCCAGCCCCAAGTGACTCAGGTCCGGGAGTTCAGGAAATGAGCGTATTTCCAAGAAGTGGACAACCTGAGGGAGAACCAACCCCAGCTTCTGACTTGATCGCCCCCAGAAACTGTCCAACTACTTAGCCACTCAGAAACTATCTGGCTTAATCTCAGGATGAAGCATACGAATCAGGGATGTCTCCCCCAAGGGCTGCAGTTTAAGGCGTTTTCCGACACCTAGGGTCCTCCACAGTACTGGAAAGTTGGCCTTAACTCACCTGCCCAAGGACCCACCGTGAAAAAAAATGAGCCAAAAAGCATTGGGCAAGTGAGAGGGCTTGATTCACTCATTCCCCCATTCGCTTCAATTCTGTATCAGAAACCACCCATGTCCCTGAATGGGTTCTTGTACGGCTAGCCTGCATCACTGATCATGTCCCCTTCCAAAAAGGCAGAACACCTGTCACAGATCCCCCAAATTGAAATGGAAAATGGAGAGAGATCTCCAGGGGTCACCCCCCCTCCCCCAATCTCAGATGCCCAGTGGCGATTGGAAAAAAAGACTCGGCATCCTTTTTTGGCTGGTTGACTTCAAAGGAATCGGAACCCTTCCCACAACCAAGTTGACAAAAAGGGCACCACTGAAGAATTAAGAGGGCGGAATTCCGCAGCTATTTACGGTTGGGATCGTCCCTTCACCTCCATCTACCCGCGTTTTGGGCAAGTGGCTCCCATGGAGATCTCCAGGGGTCACCCCCCTCTCCCAGGACCCCTTTGGAAGACTTTCCATTTCCAAAGGCCTTCTGGGAGCTTCCGGCGGTTCGTGGTCACCTAAAATCATGGTTGGTCATTGACCCTTTTTTATTTTGGGTCAGAAGGAGACTCCAGGTAGACCCGGGTCGCCCAAAACCCCTCCCAGGGAAGTTCTCACCGGGTCCCTTCCCCTCGACTCGCCGGCCTTCCCTCCGCAGGATCTCCGCACGGAAGCGGCTCAGCGCCGACGCGTCTTTGCGCCCTGGGAGCGAGCTGAGGCGCAATCAACACCCGGTGTTAAAATGGCCGATCCCCAGAACCATGCAAAGAATTAAGAAGGCGGCATTCCGCAGCGAATTATGGTTGGGAGTGTCCCTTGCCAACCTTCATCTACCCAGGTTTCTGAATGGAAGCCCTTATGGATTGGGGGGTGTCCAATTCCTTTTCGTGGTTGGATTCAGACCACTTTTGGAAGGAACACCCCCCCAATAACGGGACGGGTTCTACTTAGACCCTGGGTCAACATTACACTCCCTCAGAACAGCCGGAAGCTCCCAGAAAACCTCCGGAAATGGGTCACCAAGTCTTCCAAAGGGATGCTGGCACTGGGAGCTTCCATGGCATCGTCCGGGGGTATACGGAAAATGAGTCATTCATTGGCGCTGGGGGGTTGACAAAAGGGCGGCACTTTTGAATTCGGGCGGGACGTTCAAGGAAATTATCACTCACGGGGGGAGGCGGACGCCCAGCGTTACAGGGGGGCACGTTTGACCCACGGCTATGGCTGAATAAACCGGAATTCCAAAATGGGTTGCCCTGGTAAGTGGAAACATGGACCAAAACCGGTTTGTCCCTCCTGTTTAATTTTGAGCCACCCTCACCGTTTTGGGGGGTTCTGCGTGCAAGCCGGGTATATTTCAAGAGCTGGAGCCTCCTCATTGGATTAGTTGGGTGTTTCTCGTTTACGGGGCATGGGGTGGAGGGAGGGAAGGGCTGCGGGAGCCCAGATAAGGCCTTACTAAGCCCTTACTCTGTTTTTGGGCAACTCCGAAAAAGGGTACCGAGCCTCAATAGGCACTTAAGTGGCTTCAACACCCAAGTACGACAAGGGCCCACATAAGAATAGCGTGGTGGGGTCGTTTATAATTAAGAGAGGGTACTGCTTGGCTGCGGGTAGATGTGTCTCAGAAGGGGTACAATGTCTTGAACACCAGCCCCAAAAAGGGTACATAAAGGGCAGGGCACTTAGTAAGTGGGTAATAACCATGGATATAACCCACCTACCATGGTTATAAGTCTCCTAAGTGGGTTGCAAGCGGGCTTACTACTACCACTTGCTAAGTACCCGATCGCCCCAGCACCTCTTTGCCAGGCGCGGACTCCGGATCAAAGTAGAACTGCCTGGGTTCAGACCGCCGGCCTTCCCCGACTTCGCATTCTCCTGGGTGAATTATAATATGTCACAAACCCGAAACTTGCGGAGTTGGGGGCTATTCCCAAAATTTGGGGTGAGGTCTAAGGGAGTTGGGGGGCTATTCCCCACAAAAACCACAATTTGTGGTGAATTCGGTCGTGTGTCGTTATAATTCACCCAGATTCTCCATTGCCGGCTGCTCCGCATCCACCGTGGGCGTTCTCCCTCGCCAGGAAGCATTTCCGGCCCTGCGGGTGCCCATTGTCTGCAGTTCTTTCGCCCACGCGACTGCCTCAGCCGGGACCATGTATTCTTCCCCCCAGAAAGAAAGAATTAAAGGACCGGATAACCCCACATGCTATGTTTTTCCCAAGGATGTGAGTTCAAATGTCCACACACATGTACCGTGCGCCCCTTGTATGGATGCGATTACAGAGCAGGTCCAGCGCGCTTTTTTCATCGCAGGCGTTGCTAACCTACTGCAGCCCGAGCCGCTAATCAACAAAACAAAGCAAGTTCGAGACATTCTCGAACTTAGTCCATCTTGTTAGATTATTGGCTGCGCCGCAAAACGCACACCCAGATGCAGAATGCTGCGCCTGCCCTGCCACACAAACACACACCCAGATGCACAGAATGCTGCGCCTGCCACGACTTCGGCAATGGCATCTCCACACCCAGATGCACAGAATGCAGCGCCTGCCACGACAGAGGCAACGGCATCGCCAAAGTGCTGCGCCTGCCACGATTTCGCACGCCCCCCGCCGCGCGCGCGACAACATCCTGTCCCTCTAGACAGCTGCCGAATGCGACCCCTGCCACACAAACACACACCCAGATGCACAGAATGCTGCGCCTGCCACGACTTCGGCAACGGCATCGCCAAAGTGCTGCGCCTGCCACGATTTCGCACACCCCCCGCGCGCGCGCGACAACATCCTGTCCCTCTAGACAGCTGCCGAATGCTACCCCTGCCACACAAACACACACCCAGATGCACAGAATGCTGCGCCTGCCACGACTTCGGCAACGGCATCGCCAAAGTGCTGCGCCTGCCACGATTTCGCACGCCCCCCGCCGCGCGCGCGACAACATCCTGTCCCTCTAGACAGCTGCCGAATGCGACCCCTGCCACACAAACACACACCCAGATGCACAGAATGCTGCGCCTGCCACGACTTCGGCAACGGCATCGCCAAAGTGCTGCGCCTGCCACGATTTCGCACACCCCCCGCCGCGCGCGCGCCAACATCCTGTCCCTCTAGACAGCTGCCGAATGCTACCCCTGTCAGCAGAGTGTGAGTGAGTGAGTGAGCGAGTGAGTGAGTGAGTGAGTGAATGAGAGTGAGTGAATGAGAGTGAGTGTGAGTGAGTGAGTGTGAGTGAGAGTGAGTGAGTGAGTGAGTGAGTGTGAGTGAGTGTGAGTGAGTGAGTGTGAGTGAGTGTGAGTGAGTGAGTGTGAGTGAGTGAGTGTGAGTGAGTGAGTGTGAGTGAGTGTGAGTGAGTGTGAGTGAGTGAGTGAGTGTGAGTGAGTGAGTGTGAGTGAGCGTGAGTGAGTGTGAGTGAGACAGTGATGAGGAGGGAGGGCGGGAGGAGGAGGAGAAGGAGACGCGGCGCGCGGACGACTAGCGGTAAAAGTAAGAACCCCACACAAAGATGTGGGGAAAAAAAGAAGAAAAGACTCACCCTGTCCACGTTTTGGCAGAGAAACGGTGCCTTCAAACGGAAAATGGCCACCCAACCCTGTGAGGTTTTCCATGTTGGATGGTCTTCCGGGAAATGGTTTCCGCACATCAACGAATCAGCCCAGCGGATCCCAGGCGAACCCACACCCTTCCCCATGTTTCTTTTGGTGGCTTATATCGCTCATATGGCTGCGGGTCAAAGCCCATGGGATCCCATTTGTGGGTAGGTGCATTCACCACCTAGCTTAGGACCTATTTTAGTGGGGATTGGTTGATGTTCACGGGGGTACGGGATTTTGACCCATGGCCATATATGTATGTATGTATTTATCTGGTGGCAAGCCCTTGGTTACCTTTACCAGGCAAATGGATCCGCTGTGCTGATCTATATAATGTTTCGGTTTCCAGGGGTGAACACCTTTTACTAAACCAGGTCAAGGGCAAGTCAGCCATAATAGAAACCTAGTATTAAAATGGTCTACCCAGAACCATGATTCAGGAAATAAGAAGGCGGAATTCCGAAGCTATTTATGGCAAGGGGATTGTCCCTTTACCTTCACTTACCCGGGTTTTGAGCAATTGGCTCAATCGAGCTAGACCTCGGGCAAATGTGAGCTAGACCCGAAGCAAACGGATCCACACTGGGGGTAAGGTTGTAACCTGGATCAAGGTTGTTACCTGGACCTCTTCTCCTGTTGCTTTTTGGACTGTTAAGAGCAGCAAGCCCTGGGTGACCTACGCAAAAAAGGCAAATGGACCCACCTGGAGTCTCCTTCTGCTCCTGTAAAAATGGTTGGGCATTACCCAAAAAAATCGTTGGTCATTGACCCATTTTTAAAGCATCAGAAGGAGACTCCAGGCACTGGGCCACGTAAGGTCACACCGAAGATCCGCCGCCGCACCTCGCGTGGGCGCCGAGGCGGGGCGACGAGGAGTGCCAGGCGTGCGAGGAGTGCGGGGCGGCCTCATCCGTGCGACGCCGGACGCCCGACGACCGGGCCAGCAGGAAGTCAACAGTCAGCTGGCCCAGTGCTTCCAGGTAGCCACTCTAGTAGGTAACCACGAACTGAAGATGAACTCAAACAGGAAGTTGGTAAAATAACCAGAAACCTCAAACAACAGGGTAGATGGCTCGAAAATGAACATCGAAGCAATCAGCCACTCCAGTAGGTAACCAGGGGTTTCGCCATGATGTAAAACCTATTTAGGAAGCCGAAGGGTTACCTATAGCGGTACCTGGAAGCACTGGCCGGCGTTTGGATTTTTCCCTTCTAACTGACTACCTGGAGTCTTTTTGCTCAAAAAAAGTGGCCACAGGCGAGGCCCTCTTACCATCAACCCAAGCACATATGCAGGCACCTGCCAGGTGATTCAAACGAACCCGATCAACACGTATGGCAGGCAGTGGCTTGTTCGCATTCTGTGGCGGAACTCAGTTGTTCGAGGCGTTGTATGTTGAAAGTGGCGGGCTCCCCCTTGTCTGACCCAGAAAAAAAAAAAAAACTTTAGGTCGTGACCAACCATCTTGCAAAGGTCAGAAGGAGAAATCAGGTACACCAGCATGGTTTCCCCTTACCACAAGCACATGCAAAACAAGCTTGGGAACTTCGAAACCTGTCGAATCAGTTTCCCCCCAGTTGGTGTTGGTTTGGAGCATAGGGGGTGGTTTCCACTTACCCGTAAGAACCGGGGGTTCAAATCCAAATTGAAACCACCCGCGAATTGAGGATGAAGTGAAACAGGAAGTCGGTAAAGTAACCAGAAACCTCCAATAAAGTAGCCAGACACCTCCAACAGGGGAGATGGACCTGAGCGTGCCTTTGGAAAATTGATGGCTCCAGTGCTGGAAAAGGAACATCGAAGCAATCGGCCAGTTGGACCCAAGCATAGACAACCGGGCTAAGCTTCGTTGTATGATCATGTCCCACGTCTATGTCCAAACAACCAGGGTTCCTTCGTTCTGAGTCATCGTTACAACTCATTTCCCCCCCAAAAAAGAAAACAACAACATTTCTGGTCTCCTTTTAAAGCCCTAATAAATATTGTCTCCTTTAAAGCCCGCCTAAAAGGGCCCACCCACCGAAAAAAGAAGACCAGCCACCCATTTCTCCTTCTCCGGTCCCGATCCCCGGCTTGGAGGCCCCGGCGAGGCGCCGGAGCCCGTTGCCCCGCCCCACTCCTGCGGAGGAGGTCTCGGCGGAGGTGAGATGCCAGAGGCCATCAGAGGCCCCGCGGATCTCCCCCAGACCAAGCTCAAGCTCCCAGGACGCCGGAATTCCAAAATGGCTTGGTCTGGTAAATGGACACATGTTTTGCGGTTTGGCCCTCCTTAAACTTTGAGCCACACCCATTTAGAGGCCTTCTAGGAGCTTCCATGTTCGGAGGAAATGTAGCCATTCGGAAACATCCACCAGGAAAAAGGTGTCAATTCGGGTTCCCTGTGTCAAGTCCTACTGCTTCCAGGCGCTTTAACCGGTCACCATGAATCCTTCAACCTCCAGGATCCTCTGCTAAAACCAGCAAACCCCTGGGCAAGGCTATGGCTGCGAAAAGTCCAACACGTCCAGTGGCTTTGGTAGAAGCGACTCAAAGCTGGGAACACCCAAGTTGACACTCTCATCTCTGCGGCTTGCGGGCCTGCCCCCATCCTGGAAAACCACTAAAAGCATTCCATGATTGACCCTAGGCCTTGGACCCCATTGCCCTATTGGCCCCTTTGCCCTGACAAGCCGTAGGAAATTTGCCGTGAATTTCGATTGGGGACTTGGCGGGTTTCATTGGGGGGGTTTATGTCCAACCAAACTTTATGTGTTTTTCATGTTTTGTTTAATTACCATTCATGGCGGTTGCTTGCGAAAGCAACACGATCCCTGCTCATGTGCACGCCCCTCGAAGCAAACCAGTTGGGCTTCTGCGCAGTTTGGATGGCCGCAAAACTCCTTGTGAAGCCGTGGCCGTGTCTGACGTAGGATCCCTTGCGCTGGTTTTTGACATGTTCTTTCCATTCCATTCGTGTAACTCACTTCCTGAGTGGATTGGCCAAAGCAAGTCCAAACCTTTTATTCACCACTCAACTGGTCCACCCCAAACTGCTTGTCTAGGTCCTCCACTAGAGAGGTTAGAATAAGGGTGCCAACCTTTTTTTTTCTGTAGTCCATTTTAGCAGGGGAACCCCCCCCAAAAAAAAGGACAACAGTTGGCACTACTGGGAGACCTAGTTGTTGTTGGTTGGTGAAACTAAGAAAAAAAGGACAGGTCTACTTGCTAGCTTGGCTCAGCTTCAAACCCGTTGGGGCAGGGCCCAAAGGGGTGTTCAACCAAGTACCTGACAAGAACAAGAACAAGAACAAGAAATTCCCCTTAAACATGTGGCTTCGGTCCCTAAGAATATGGGGGGGGGACGTCCCTTTTTCATGGGTAGTTTGAGGGTCCAGGTAGGTTAAAATTATGGTTCTAAGCGGTTGATAACTGGGGTTAGTCCCCTTATAAAAAGCTTCACAACCTACATGATGAGTTGCATGACCATCCAAGCAACCCCGGTGAGTTCATGAACTTCAACCCTGAACGAAGGACTTACAAACTCGGTTGCTTTCTGCTCCCCTGCCTAAAGTTTCACCTTTAGTGGTTTCATGGGAAACCCATTCGCTGGCAAAAAGTTAAAGTCCTGACATCCCTTGGCAAAATGCACCTCTCTAGTCGTTGATTCCCCATTCTTTTCATCCATTGTTCTTTTCAAAAACCAGCCATTCCCCCGGATTTTGGTGGTTTTCTAGAAAGAATGGAATTGGAAGTTACCCCTCGAACCTCTGTAAACTTCCTGAACCCCCAAGTACCCCACTGGCCCCTCCCGCCCGCCGGCTCCATGCCTGAGTCACAATCAAAACCCGGTATCAAAATGGTCTACCCAGAACCATGCTTCAAGAATTTAGAAGGCGGAATTCCGCAGCTATTTCTGGCAAGGGAATTGTCCCTTAACCTTCATCAATCCCCACACTTCTGAATGGAAGCCCTTATGGATTGGGGGGTGTCCAATTCCTTTTGGTGGTTGGATAACCACTTTTGGAAGGAACACCCCCCCAACAATGGGAGGGCCTGGGGCCCCTCCCGCGAGCGGCGCTCCTCCGCCAGGTACGCCGCGGGCGTGGCCGGCGCCGCGAGCGCTGAGGGCGGCGTGAAGCTCTCGAAGCCCTGCGGGTGCTTTGAGCGAGCGGATGCAAAGCGAGCGCTGGGGTATACTCCACCGTGTGTGTGTGTGTGTTGTTGTTTTGTTTATATTTCTTTTATTATTATTATTACTATTACTATGATGATTATTATACTTTGTATTACTATTATTATTAATAATAACGATTATTATATATGTTATTGTGGGGGCTCCCTTTTCCTTGCTTCTTTTGCGGTTTCGTTGGCCGTGAGACAACCCATAGTCACATAGTCCATTCCGCCTTTCACAATGAGTCATTCGGTCGCCCCATAGGCTCCTGAGTGATTCGGAGCATGTTCAAATGGCTGTGGGTCACAAATTGGTGCCCAAAACATGGACAACAACTGCTGTACTGGCTGCGGTTCCTTGGTGGTTGAATTGGGGGAGCAAAGCCCTGAGAAAAGCCTTGAGGGTCAAGAATTGGTGCGCAAGAAAAGGAAAACATGGACAAACACCTGCGGTTCCTTGGCTGAAGTTTGAGCCCATGCCCATATAGTGGTTGCCTAATATCCCAAAGCTTTGAGGGTGGTTTGGGGGCAGTGGAACTTCTCACAGGGGCCTTGCGGCAAGCCGCTTGCTCGGGTCGCGAGTTGGCAGTAACAAAAACCTACGGGCGAACCGTGTTGGACACTCGGGGTGTGTTTGCAACCCCATTCTTCTTTTCGGGTTTTGGATTTTTCGGGTTCTTGATTGCAAACCAGACTCTAGGAAGGCATGGCGGGATTGTTGAAAGTCTTACTCAGCTTCCCTCAAAGAGGGTGGTTTGAAGATCGGTCTTTTGGTAGGAGGCGGTTTCCCCTTTACTCTCCAAGAAGTCCAACTCCCACCAATTCAAACCAAGCAAGGGCTCCCAGATTGTAGACTTGTGGAGTTTGTTGTTTGCTTTCTTGTTGGTGAAATGCACAAAACAAAGGGCGTGCTGTATATGCATATATGTGCACGTACTCATGTATATGCATATATGTGCACGTACTCATGTATATGCATATATATATATATATAACTCATGTATGAATATGTATAACAGCTACATATCACTCATATCTAGGAAGGTCTGGGAAAAGGGTCATCATAACTCAAAAGTCTTGTGACGCCAGATTTACTTGCAAATTTTGGCGTGGGTGTGTTGCGGGCAAAGAACAAAATGCAGACTTCTTACAAAACTGGGTGTCCTGGATTATTGACAAGCTCTACCAATCACTAGGCAGGAAGGACATACAGTGGATGGACGAAATCCTGCACCACCTAAGAAACCTTGGCTTCTGATGATTCCCCTGTACTACCAGCAAACAATGGCTTCAACCATGGTTTCAAAGTGGTGCGAAATGGATTTCGTCTATCCACAGGGCTCCATGGCAAAGAGACCGCTTCATCTGTCCAAACTGATCCCCTGCTAGTGCGAGTGACTTGCGGGTGGAATGGACACCCCAACGCCTAAAAACCCAAACCAAGGAACCGGACAGCTGGGAGCTGCCGGGCCTGCCTTTCAAGACTCCTTATGATGTGTGCCTCTGCATCATTAAACTCGACATTAGACAGGATCCGCCAAACTCTTTCGTTTGCTTGCTTTGTGCGGGACCTGAAACACAGAATGAGGGTTGGGTGAACCTATACTAGTATGCAAATACAAGAGGAACCTGTACCCTCTGAGCCATGCAAAAAAAAAAAAAACAAAAAACAAAAAACGCACAAGCGATATGGGTGTTTCCCAAAACAGGTCGGACCCCTCCAAGCGGCCGATTTGTACATGTGTCACTCCAAAACCCTTTCAAAGTCCTTTATTATGGGTAGTGACCACCAATCTTTTTTCGTGAGCAGACTCCAGGTACTGAGGATATGTTCATGTGGGAAGGTATATGTACCACCAAAGGGGATGCCCCAAATGGTGTTGCTGTTTTAATTATTATTTCCGGCTTGGGTTTAAACCACCCCCCCCCCAAAAAAAAAAAAGGCTCCCCCAAACAAGATACCTGGACCCTCACACTTCCCTCAAAAAGAACAAACACACAAACCATTTTGGGGGTTGCAATATCTATTTTTTGTTGGTAGTTTGAGGGTCCAGGTACACCTTGGGAAGGAAGTGTCCAACCCTTCGAAATGCCGGCACGGTACGTCGCGGTCCAACCCCCCGGGCCGTCCCCACCTCCGCACCTGAGCAGGGGGATTGCTGGATTGAGGAAAACTTGCTGTAGGCTTACAGTGGTCTTGTGGTTGAGTGTGCTTGGTATTCTTGTAATATTTGGGTTTCGGGTTTGTCCCCATTTTTCACTCGAAGTGCGGGCCTAGCAGGCCCAAAACCTGGCCACTTGCCGTCCGCACCGTCCGTACGGTCTCCATAGTCCCGGCGCACGTACTCAGCGCCACGGCCGGGTGATTCTTCGCCTCCGTCAGCAGGGCCGTCAGCGTATCCCTCCGCCGTCGGCGTCACCCAAAACTGGGCTGTCCTCAGAACTCCTGCTACAAGTTGTTGGTGAAACAAACCCAACCACTAAACCCTAGAAACCCTAAAACCTAAGGGTGCGGCTGCGAACTGCCAAGATTTCCCCCTTTTGCCACTCAAAAGAACATAGTTGATGGCCCATATTTAGAAAACCTGAACATTTCGAAGATGTCCAAACTTAGCCCCAACAAAATGAAGCAGGACTCCAACACATACTTAGACACAATTGTTTGTGTCTGTTCATCTGAGCTGTCATGGGCAAACTAGGTTGGACCCCGAATTCCCAGCATGCGGTTGAGAACGTGTAAGGGAGTACCGTTGTACCATCTTCCAGGAGAATGAATGCCCAGGGATTGTGAGAGAAATTTGGCGAGCCCCACAACCCCTGGTCCCAACCTCATGCGAATTTCCAAAGGAACCTGGATGAACCTGGAGTCTCCTTCTGACCTTTCAACACTTGGCTGGAATTAGGACCCCAGCAAAAAAACATATTATTTGCCTGGTTAGTGGAAAACAAACGGAACCCCAAACAAGCAAAAAAGCAAAAAAGCAAAAAAGCAAACAGGGGAGCTAATTCTGGTGAAGAACAATGGTTCGTCAGACTACCCAAAATACCATGTGTCCTGACCTTTTTTTGAAGAGGCGTGGAGACTCCAGTTGCCTTGATGAGCGTGCCCCCGGAAGTTCCAAAGGCACGTCTAAGATTTCTCCCGTCGCTTCACTTTTACCTTTGGCTGTGGGAAGAAAGGGCCACCCTTTCTGAGTGATAGCCGGTTGTTAACGCTGAATGGCGGGCAAACGTGAGGTACGGAAATGGTCGACTTTTCCCGTACCTCGATTTCTACCACCCGTGCGACGCAGTAGCTAATTTGTCAGCGCTCATTTCCGCTCATTTCAGCTAGCATAATTGCGTTTATTGCTGGCACTGCTGGCCATGCTGGTTGAGTTTGCTGGCCCCATCAAGTCACCCCCGTTCAGCGGGTAGCTTAAAGGGAATCAACCAACCAGTTTCTGCCACTGTAAAAAAACACGACCCGCTCAAGGGACGAGTTCTTCACCACTGAAGGTCAGGGCCATGTGAACTGCCATCGCTTGGCTTTGGATCTTACACCTAAATGCCAGTGGGGTCAATACCCAAACTCAAGGGCGAATGACCCCATCTTTAACTCCAGGTAGCTTCCAAACCTGAAAAATGCCAATCTTTTGAAGGGACCTGGAGCCTCCAGGTAGCTTATTTTCAAACCTGAAATATGGCGTAGTTGAAACTTTCACCATTGGAATCCTTCATCGGCCCTCGGATCACTGTGCTTATCGTCCATCTGCTGAAACAAATTCCTGGAGTCTCCTTTTGACCCCTAGAACATGGTTGGTCATTTTCCAAAAGTAATGAGGTCATTGACCCATTTTTATTTCGGGTCAGAGGGAGACTCCAGGTGTTTCTAGTTGTTTGCTCAGATGACCGGACGAATTGGCACTGGGCAAATTGGGTTCTTACCTGTTACCTTCCCCTCTTGGTTTTAATGGGAAGCTGTCACTACCTGGAGTCTCCATTACCCTTTAAAAATCGGGGCGTGGCATGTGAACAGCATTCTGCTTAATGACCCCATTGCTTAATGGTCATGGAGACTTCAGGTCCTGAATATACGTCTATTTGTGTGTTCGCCGTTTTCAGGGGACCCCCACCCAAAAAAAAGAACCATGACTCATCTCCTCCTTTTGGCTTCCCTTGCAAAACCCCGCACAAAAAAGGTGGTCCAACTTGTGTTCGCCTTTTTCAGGGGACCCCCCCCCAAAAAACAAAAAGAAAGAACAGTTCCCTTGAAAAACCACCACCAAAAAGAGGGCGGTCCCCCCAGAGCTGCACCCAGCTCTCCGCGCAAGACGCTCTCAGGCCCCCGGCCAAAGACAAACCTCACCGAAGCCGGCGGAAGGAGCTGGGCTGACAAACGATCCAAATGAGCCGCAATCAAAGCCTGGTACTAAAATGGTCTACCCAGAACGATGCTTCAAGAATTTAGAAGGCGGAATTCCGCAGCTATTTCTGGCAAGGGGATTGTCCCTTTAAAGGAGCCATTTGTGGTAAAGGACCCATACCAAGTAAAGAAGTAGAAAGGAGCCATTTATGGTTGGGGCTGCCCCTTAACCTTCATATACCGGGTTTTGATTGTGGCTCAAATGCTTTTTGCTTTCAGCTCGGGGGGGGGGGGGGGGGGGACCCAGTGGACCCCCGACCTTTTTCCGTTTTTGTTTCTGCTTTTTCAGGTCCCCGTTCCGTTGGTTTCATCTACCCACTCCAGGGAAGATGACAGGGGGGGGTTACATGTGTGTATATATTTATATATACATATATATATATATATACATATATGTATGTATACATATATGTATGTATGGGGTAGGCAATCAATAGGTATACCCCTACGGGCACCCATCTTGCTGACTGCCGCAGGGTGCATCCCGATGCGAATCCCCCAAAGCTGGGCTGCCCGTTTTCAAAAGCTTAACTTGTGGGTTAAATGGAAACCATCAAACCCCAACAATTTTTTTTAAGGATTCGGACGCCTGGGAACCGCCGAGACAAATGCCAAGGGTTTCTCCTTGCGGTTCTAAAGCTTCCCTTTACGGTTCACTTTTGGGGCGATTGGTTCCGCGGATTGGGCAAAGGTCAAGGAACTCAGGGAGTGGTTGAAAATCGATGGCCCTGGTTTCAGCTTGGTTCTAAAGCGCCATCCAGATCCGCAGCATCCTCCGGATGGTCTGCCGGCTGATCCGCCGCTTCAGCGCGATCCGGGATCCCCTTCAGGCGATGGCCCCATCGGATGGCGGTCTTCAAATAGCAAATCGAGCAGCTTCGCGTCCTGCGGTAGATTGGATTTAACATCTAGCTGGAGTCTCCATGACCCTTGAAAAATGGGGTCATTACCCAAAACCATCGGGTCATTCACCCATTTTTATTTCGGGTCATGGAGACTCCAGGTAGAATCAAACACATGCACCTTCAATCGACTTCAAGAGTAGTCCCTTCGACCAAAAGTGGACCAGCTCAACACAAGATCCGCTTCTTTGCAACAGAATGCCTCTCTTTTCTCCAATTCCCGACAACAAAAAAACGATGGGAGCCAGAGTCAGTATCAGTGACCCGGGCCTTGGAAGTTTCGATGTGTTGCTTCCAAATGAACCATGCTTGGATGCTCAAGCTATTCAGAAAGTGGGCTAAAGCCATGGCTACGTGGGCGCGTTTCCCACTTACGATCATAGTTCAAACCTACCTGCAGTCTCCTCTGCCTCTTTAAACATGGGTCAATGACCAACCATTATTTTGGGCAATGCCCAACCATCTTTTAAGGGTCAGATCCGGAGACTCCAGGTACAGGTACTTAACTAGACTACCGGACATCTTGCCGGGATCTCAGAGCTCATAAAGGCACTCCCAAGTGTCGGACGAATTCTGAACTGGGCAAGGTCTTTTTCAACTCCCAAAGGGAAAGCCCAGTGCTTCCAGGCAAACCACTAGAGTAGTTTTCTCAGGTAGCGTAAGATAGTAGGTTTGGCTTGAAGCACTGGGGGACTTTTTAGGGACCTTGGAGCTTGTTTTTCTAAGTCTTCTGGGTTGCTCCCGCCCCGAAGGAGCAAAAGGTCCTGCTTGAGCCTCTGTAGGTCTAACGGAAAAGCCATATGTTTCCGAACAAAAAAGAGGTCCTTTTGGCGCGATTCCAGCCAAGTGAGCTCCCCGCAACTTGAGCAGCACCCAACTCCCCTTGACTTCGAGGCCTATGAGCAGCGCCCAAACCCCAACTGCGGCCATGTTCGGCGCTTCGACGAATTTAGCACCCGGATGAAAGGAAGAGCATTGCTTGAATTCTGTGGGCGTTCTCTTTTTTTGTGTGGGCTCATCACTTTGGAGGAAAACACATTCATAGAATTGCCTGGAGTCGCCGTGGCCCTCGAAACATTATCACAGGACCCCTTGGTTTTGGGCAATCACGCCATCTTCTGAAAAGGGTCATGGAAACTCCAGGTTGTTTACTTCCATTTGCTTTTTCGCCCCCTGGAAAAAACAATACATAGTATTTCCAATAGTGATGGATTCCCTTTAAAAACAACAAAGGAATCGAACAAATATTCTTAAGCACCTGGAGGTTGATTCATCCGGGGTCAAGATCCCTTGGCTCATTCGACCCGAATCGATCTCAGATTCGCCTACCCGGCGATGCGACAAAGGAGTTCTTCCGCGATGCCTGGCGAGCTCCATCTACCCATGTGGCGTGTGTCCATCAACCGCATGGCGCAGGAGACGCGGGCGGGGCGGGGAAGGCTGTGGGAAATGGAATCCACTTCTGTGATACAAAAAGGGCCTGGAGTCTCCATGACCCGAAATAAAAATGGGTGAATGACCCGATGATTTTGGGTACTGACCCCATGTTTAAAGGGTCATGGAGACTCCAGGCACTCTCCATGAATCCCGATTCGGGCTCAGGACCCCGGCGATTAAAGGGTTAAGGAGACTGCAGGTTGTGAAATTGCTTCAGATGAAGGGGGAAAACCGACTGGAAACCTTAACAAGAATGTGGGTCACGGAGACTCAACGAAAACACGCCAACCGCTTCAACTCCAGCCAGATCCCTTTGAGAGAATGTCGTCCAGGTATTTGGCTTCACACCCTGCAAGGTTGCCACCCTACTTAACACGTACTTATAACTACAGTACATCCGGGATGTTACTTATAAGCTACTATTATAGCTAACTAGTTTCTAAGTACTTTGTAACTTTGGTAACTTTTTTTGGCTCGAAAAAACATGTGTTTTTTTACTTGGCCCAATTTAGCAGCACAAAACGTACAGAATCGACCGCGTTGTCCAGGTTGTGTCGTTGCTGTGGCTCAGCGAAACGACGCCATCGCTCGGCTGACACGTGAAAAGCGGTTTCGTGTATATTTGGAGAATGGAGGGAGAAAGATGGCAAGCGCATAAATTCATATATCCTGGGCGTCCTCGACCATACTTTTATGTGTCTAGGCCATAAACTGCGCAAGCCGCTTGCTGGTGTTGTCCTTCAACCATTAAAATACAAAAAGGGCGTCAAAGGCATCAATTGACTGGCCAAAAACGAGTTATTTTTGATCTTAAATGTTTCTGGGTGTGATTGCGCTCGTTTGTGGCTGAATCGCAACGCTCAACGCATCGTATTTCAATCGGCGCACATGGCTGATCTTTTGCACTGGCTCCGTTGCCTAGCTTATGAGCAAAACAGACTAAAGCGCCCAGTTTCCATATTTTCTTTGAACGTTGGGAGTCGGGCAAATTTGTGCTCATAAGAAGAGTCCTGGAAACTGGGCTATCTGAGGAATAAGCAAAGCCGGCTTCATCAGTTTGCTTGTCATAATAATAGTCTAGCCGACCATAGTTATCCGCCAAGCAAGCATAATTTCCTCGCAAACACCCGCACTCAAATGTAGTCTTATGTCACACTCTTAAGTGGTTAGCCGGTTGACTTCTTATCCTTTTTGCCTTACCGTTCGGACCAAACAAGCCATAAAAAAGCCAACGTTGCACAATCCCCGTGTATAGCCTCCATTTGTAGGTCTTTAACCATTTATGGCCTCTGACCTTCGCCCATACTTTCAATGGTCTTTGGAATTAGGGATAGACACACATATATATATATATAGATTTATGTATCAATGTGTCGCGGCCGCGCCGCTGTAAATTTAGTGGCTGCGCCGCTCCGATTTAGCGGCTGCGTCGCTCCATGAGCGGCTGCGCCGCTGCTTGTGTGTAGCGGCTGCGCCGCTGTTGCAGCAGCCGCGCCACTCTGTGTGCGGCTGCGCCGCTGTTTGTGTAGCGGCTGCGCCGCTACATTTACTTCCATCGTGGGAGCGATCGAGCGTGCGAGCGGCGCAGTCGCTATAGACGCCACAGAGCGGCGCGGCCGCAATTATGCACATATATGAGCGGCGCAGCCGCCAGATACAAGGAGCGGCGCCGCAGCCATTCTCGGCACAGACGCTGCACGATGGAGCGGCGCTGCTGCGATTATATTATATGGACGTAAGCGCGGCGCGGCCGCCAAGCCCTCGGAGATGGCAGGGCCGCTGTGTGCGGGCACATGCATGGTACGGTTTCCACTCCAATCCTTCAAGCACAGGCTTGTGTGCAGGCGCTGCAAAACATTGCCGTCCAAGCACCCCTTGGCCAGGGAGACCCCGGCAACCAGGCATGGCTGGCTCGTTGTGCAGAGTCGCGGCCGGGGAATTGCAAGGAACAGCTGCAGGCCCATGCTGGAGGCACTGGTCTGTCCGGGTTGAAATGCTACGAAGGCATCGCGCGAGGTGAGCCGAAAGTTCATGGCCGAAGGATTGAAAAACGGTTTTTGCTTTTGGCGTGTCGGAGAGAGCTTAGGCAAGGAAACCAATCGAAAGAGACCTTGCGAAAACCACGGATTTGGCAGGCCGGTCGTCTCGGTGGAACTACAAAGAACTACACGGGCTCGGCCGGGTTCCAGATGAACAGTAATGAAAGAACTACACGCAAAACCTGGCCGCCAGAGGCAGCTGAGTGAAGGGTGGAACTACAAAGAACTACAAAGAACTACGCGGTCCAGGGGGTGGAATTCCAAGCTATTGTTTTTGGATTCCGGCGGTGTGCGCGGAATGTGGCAGGAGCCTTGGAGCTGCCAGTCTGCCCAGCTTGGAGCTGGCAGCTGCCAGTCTGGAGCTGGCAGCTGCCAGTCTGGCGCGGTCCGGAGCAGCTGGCTGAGAGCTGGCAGCTGCTCAGCGCAGGGCGCAGCGGCTGCGTCGCTCTGCGATCACTGTCTATTACTGCATAGGGGCGGCGCCGCTCTGTGATCACCCTCTACAGCGGCTGCACCGCTTTGCGATCACTCTGCTAGTAGCGGCAGCGCGACCTCAGCGGCGGCGCCGCTCCGCACACGGCCGCGCGGCTTAGCGCAGGGCACAGCGGCTGCACCGCTCTGCGCCTACTTTCTATCCTGCGCCGCTCTGTGATCACTGTCTAAAGCGGCTGCCCATCCTCAGCGGCGGCGCCGCTCATCCGATGAAGCCCGCGGCCCTCCGACACAGCGGCGGCGCGGCTCAAAGGCCCCAGCAGAGATGGATTTGTACAATGCGCCCCGGCAGCTGTTGCTCGCTGTATTCTGGCCGCGGATGCGGCTCCAGCTTCCAGACTGCCGGCTCCAGACTGGCGGCTGCCACGTCCAAACTGGCAGCTGCCGCCTCCGAACTGGCAGCCCCATCCCAACTGGCAACGACTGGCATTTTTCCGAAAACTTTTCAGCTTCCAGACTGGCAGCCTCCAGCTTCCAGCTCCAAATTGACAGCTGCCAGCTCCACACTAACAGCTGCCGCTTCCAGACTGGCAGCTGCCTGCTCCAGACTGGCAGCTGCAACTCCAAGCTGGCAGCTGCCAGCTCCAAACTGGCAGCTGCCAACTCCAAACTGGCAGCTGCCAGGTCCAGACTGGCAGCTGCCACCTCCAGACTGGCAACTCCAAACTGGCAGCTGCCAGGTCCAAACTGTGCCAGCTCCAGACTGGCAACTGCCAGCTTCAGACTGACAGCTGCCAGCTCCAGACTGGCACCTGCCAGCTGCAGACTGGCAGGCGCCAGCTCCGAACTGGCAGCTGCCAGCTCCTGCGCTCCAAACTGGCAGCTGCCAGCTGTCAGCTCCAGACTGGCAACTGCCAGCTCCAGACTGCAGCAGCCAGCTCCAAATGGCAGCTGCTCCAGACGGGCAGCTGCCAGCTCCAGATGGGCAGCTGCCAGCTGCAGACTGGCAGCTGCCAGCCCCAGACTGAGCCGCGCCGCCGCCACACGCGCCCTGTGCGTGGTCGACGCGCATTTATCAAACGTCCGCACCCGCATGTGTTTTTTGCCTGCGTGGATGCGCCTAACAAAGCCTATTGTGTACATATACCTATATATATATATGTTTGTGTCCTTCTACCATGTGACTAAAGCGATGCCGGCGCCCGGCACACCTTTGCAGAAGATCAACAAAAACAACGGATCTGCGATTTGAGGCACTGACACGTTGGGGAGCAGCATTTCAGCAGCGTTTGCTCGCGCTCGCTTGCCAAAATCAACTCGAGCAAGTCACGGGAGATACTTTTTCTGCCCCAAGAAGACTCGGTGCCAAAATCCTGCTTTTGGATTGGAAAAAGCTTGTTCCTAACTAGTTTCTAACTTTTCGCACGAAGTTACATAAGTGCCTGCTAAGTACCTAAGTAAGTTATAAGTTTCCCCTGAACTTTCCGTAGTTAGGATGTACTTGCCCCACTTATAAGTCACGGTATTGAACTTATAAGTGATGTTATAAGTTACTTCTCCACCTTGTGGGAGTCTCCATGACCCCTAAAAACGGGGGTCGTGACACCTTTCTTTGGGGCAATGACGCCGTTTTTCAGGGTGGTACAGGTCTAGCGCTGTTTGAGCTCGGCACAGCCATTTAACCAAACACAACCGAACATTCTAAGGAATCGGCCCGGCAAGTCGGGACAAACGCCTTGGCTAAAACCTGGGTGTTTTGGTTTTGATATGTAAGCTTTAGTGTTCTGGTGTTTAAAAGGACACCACAAGGAAAACCGCCATTCTGCAGGGTTCTACAAACACACACGCACACCGTGCGGCTGTGGCAATTTTGAAAGTATCCGTCACACCTGAGACTACACGAGTCGAGCGACAATCAAGCACACAATCCAGTCACTGGCGAAAAGAATGGTCATGTTCTTGCTGATTTGATTCTGGTACTGGTAGAATACCAAGACTTGCTAAGCAGCGCCTTGCTTTTGGTGGTATTCTTTCCCCTGGTTGTTTGACCAGTTTTCCTTTTCTAGGTCCTGCAGTAGAGAGGATAGAATAAGGCTACCCAATTCTTCCCTGTTTGTCTATTTCCCTGTTTGTCTATTTTCGTAGGGTTGAACCTTCCCAACCAAAAGAAGTGGGTGAGAAAAAGCACCTAGCTGGGGGACCTAGTTTTGGGTTTCCCCGCACAGCCTGCTTTTCAAACAACACACCTGCCGTTGACGGCCAATTCCTCAACGTGCCTCCCCAAACTCCAGCTCCAGGTTGTCCACAGCGAGTGGCTCCTAGCGGGTTGGCGAAGAAAAATCCACGCTGGTGGCGGAGAATCGCCATGGGGATTGCGAGACATGAAGCCCTTTCAAAGTGAAAAGTAGGCGGAGTTCCATTTGCGATACATAAATCGAAGCCCTTGCAAAGCCGTGGCATATGGCTGTGGCTCAAAAACCGGTACCAAAATGGAACCCTGGCAAGTGGAAAAAAACAAAACCTGCGTAACCCCTCCTGCTTAGTTTTGAGCCACGCCCATACATTCTCTGAAAGTGCGAAAGCCTTCCGCCCAAAATTTAGCCCACCTGAAGGACCAAGTTGTGAGGATGTACTTTGACCCCCGCTTTGCATCCCGCGAGAATGTACTTTGAAGCAAAGCCCTTGCTTAAGTGAAAAACTACGCAGAGTTCCATTTGCCACTCCCTCCCCCCAATCCGACAAACAATACTTCGCAAGCCAGTAGAAACAACGAAATGCCTCGCTTGACCCTGCAAGTGCAGTGCGAAACACGCAACGGCGCCACTTCCTTCAAGAGGAACATGCTCACGCTACCGAAAAGCTCATGGGTTCCAACTTTCTGCGAAAGCACAACCCTTCACCCAAGTGTTCTATCAGAAGCATCGTACCACATGTCCCCGCAGATGGGCTTGGGTTATACAAAACAGCCATGATCCCATTTTCCGACAATCATGCAGACTCCAGATACCCTGCTTTGGCCCCCTTTTAGCGCTTTGAACCTGGTTGTCGCCCAAACGAACCCTGGAGCAGACCCCAATTAAGGGAACCATGGCCATGACCCCCGCTGGCTCGATTTTCACCGACGCTTTCCTTGAACCTGCGAAAGCCTTCTAGGGGTTGACTTGCTCTTGTTCTAGGGGTTGACTCCCCATTCGTTTCAGCCATCGTTCTTTTCGAAGACCAGCCGTTCTCCCAAAGAATGGGGAAGGTATCCCTATAGACTTGTCAACCCAAATGCGGAGAACCCGTTCACAAAAATTCGAACCTTCAAGCCAGTCCTGTTCGCCTCTCACCGAATAAGTGGAGGCTGACTTTCCTCCTGTTTTGGGTCCTCCTATGTTCACAGACACAAACCTCAAAGGGTCCCTTGGTAGCGGATGGGGGGTGCCTCTGTAATTGACGAATCCCCTTAAAATAAACCCAAAACCGCAAATGTGGGGCACCAAGCAACCCTCTGGGAAAGACAGCTGTCAAACAAATCCTACAGCTAGCGCCAGCTGAAAGAAAGCCCACCCCCCTTTGAAGTGCGTCTCTGTATATATATAGAAAACATGTATGCTTTGTTCATTTGCGAATACGCTCCCTGCACAAAAAAAGCATTTCCAGTAGTAATCAATTCCTTGTCAAAACCGGCCGGTCCTCTGAGTGACATGCGCCCAGACCCGAAGTGTTCGCCTCGGGACGGAAGTTGCCTCAAGAAATACCCAACTTGACTCTTGTTTTTTGTGGGTCCCTTCCCCCCCTTTGCTTGTTTTTTTTTAAGGGGGGCCGGAGTTTTGTTTGCGGGTCAAACGTCACAGATTATCTGGTGGGTAGCTTAATCTCAGACTTGGGCCACTTTACTTTTGTTTGTGGGTCCCTTCGCCCCTTTTGCTGGGTTTTTGAAGGGAAGCCGAAACAACCTTCGTTTCAACAAACCAATCATACTGTGGATGGACAACATCCTGCACCTTCAGAGAAACCCTGGTTTATGAGACGATTCCCCTGTAAATACCAGCAAGCAACGGTTGAGAATGGCAACTTAGAACCAGCCCTGGCCCCTTGAGAGGGAAACCACGAGTTCTTCAGACCGTAGTGACTTCATGCTGACAAGCAACATTTTGGCCCAACGATGCGTTGGGTCTTTTTTGGGGAACAAAGGAGTCCTGTCAAGATCATGCGGTTGTGGCATACCATCGGGATGATGTCGGTTCCGAAATCTTCCGGCTGAGCATTGGTATAGCAGCAGATACTGTAGACCTTCTTGATGAAGTCCATGTATTGTCTCTCTGCATGCTACGAGCCTCCATGTGCTCCTTCTGCTGAGCCACGAGCTGCGTCTCACCTTGGAGTGTTGGCTGCCAGTAATCATTGAATCTGGCTCTCAACCAGAATACCCTGGCTCCAGGTTCTCGTTCATGCTCAGGAATGAAGTGGAAGTCCGGATACGAGTCGAGGATGACATCTTTCCGTTTGAAGTGTACCCCTCCCACCTAATGTCCGCTGTTTAGGGGATGATGTTGACCCGTTACTCGGTATTCACCCTGGAAAACCAGGTTTTCCAAAAAAAGACACTAAAAAGAGGGGGGTATTTGGAGTAGCGGGCACAAACGCTTTTCATGGGTGTCCTTTCTATTCCCTGCACAGGGGTGCCTCAACTTTAAGAATTGAGGAAGCCTCCTAGAAAGATCTAGGCCAATAGCTTCTCAGGATCTACTCAAGGGCTCAAAACGGTGTCAAACAAATGACATCCTCACGATTGGACCATTACAGGTGACTGGGCTGGTTGTCCTCAATTTCTCTACATTGTTGGAACCTTCAGTCGTGGAGATAATGTTGCTGGACACCACTAGTCGAAGGCAACTTGATGATGGCAAATCCAGCGACCGTATCAACCTTTAGGCTGACGTGCACGGGAGTTCGGAAATTTGGGCTGACGCAAAGTCGAGGCTTCGGATTTGAGTAGCCAGCTCTATGGGTCAAACCTTGTTTTGCGGGTACCTGGAGTCTCCCTCTGACCCGAAATAAAAATGGGGCTATGACCAACCATTATTTTGGGTAATGACCGACCATTTAAGGGTCAGAAGGAGACTCCAGGTACCCTTGTTTATGCAGCTAAAAGGAAACCACATGTTTTTCCCACTTCTTTTTGTTCTTTAAAAGCGGAGAACTAAATAACACGCCCGTAGGAGGCACATGGAAAGGCTCACTAAATGCCTCATAAAACCGAGCTAATCCCAATGGTTCCCATGTGCTTCTGTCCTTCTCGCTAGCTGCATATTTTGACTGTCGCTCACTTGGCAGTACTTTGTAAGCGCGTTGGCCTGTTGATTTCGCACGTGTTTGTGTTCATTTTCCTCGGCAAATTAGCACGAGCTGTCCTGGAAAGAAAGCGAGCTTGCAAGTAATGAAGGCTCGTTACCGGCGGATTCCTGATGTGCAGTTCGTAATGTTTTGACCATGTCAACATGCTAACATGGTGTGCTTTTTTGAGGATACGGTTTTGGGGTCAAGTTTATGGAACAGGGAACACCACTTTGTTTACATAGCTCACCATAATTGGAAGACTAAACTTTCATTTTCATGGCAACCCTGCATTCGGAAGGACATTTGTACCCAATGAGCCCTTTGCCTACAATACATCTTGGAGAAAAGGACGATCTAGAAGAATTAAAACCCCCCAGAACCGCTTCTGTTGCTTGCAAAACACGCAAAACAAAAGGGGTTTGTAAATACACCCCCAAAACACATGGTTGGAAATTCGGAAAAACCGTCCACACAAAATTAGCAGTGGGGTTCCCTTTTAAACATTACCCCACCAAAAGGACCCCCTCACATTGGCAACAAAAAGGTGATGTAGAAATCAAATGGAAATCGGACGGGACCCCTGCAACTAGGGGCGATCACTCCTCATGGGTTGCCTGTTTTACTGTAAACCAGCCTGAAAAATGTACCAGCCGTTTTCGGGCCCCTTGGTACCTCATACGAACGAACTGTCTAGTTCCGGACAAGTCTGGGGGAGGGCCTTTGGCGGGTACCCTTTTTCTCACTTCTGTGGCCTGGCCAAACAATTATGGTCCGTGATCGTGCCCTGCCAAAAAATATGGCCTGGCCAGGACTAATTATGGGAAGCAAAATCATTGTGGCCTGGCCTGGCCTGCCCAACTTTTACTTGCCACAATTCTAATCCAGCCCCAAAAAGTGGCTTAAGTCCATGAACTCCGGGAGTGAGGTCACATCATGAACCAAACCCACAGGGGAAACATACCGTGGATGGACAAGGTGCTGCACCACTCTGAAACCATGGTTCAACCCCGAACGTTTATTGCTACACTCCCGCACCAGGACCCCTTTTGGAAGACTTGGTTCCGTTTAGAAAGGTCTTCTGGGAGCTTCCATGTTAGCCTGAGGGAGTGTATTTACATTGGGGAATCGAATCGGCAACCAGGGTTCTGAACGGTGGTGCGAAACGAAATGATTTCATGAGGCACCGGGGAACCTGAGTTTTGGGGGTGCTTGGGACGCCAGGCCCAGGCGGTTCTATGGATCCACTTCTGAACATTGAAAGAGTATTAACACATTTCTAAAAAATGGGCCAACAGGGGGAAGCACTGAATTCCACAAAAAAAGCAGCAGGGAGTCAGTGAGAACTGGAATGACCCCTATAAATCATCCCTGGTGGTTTCCTTCAAAGGAACCCCCAAAACAAGTTGTTCCCAAACCGTCTTCTAGACCAACGACCACCCAAACGAGTCGACCGATTTTCGGGGAGCCCGGCCAAGGATTGCTCTAGAGCCTCACACAAAGCGCCACGAGACCCGTCGAGGCAGGAGAAGAGCATGGACAGCGGCACCTCGTTCCGATCCGAGGTGCAAAGGGATTGGAAGAGGCGCTTTCGCTTTCAGCGGGGAGCCCCTTTTTGTTGTGAAAACCAGTGTTCCTATAAACATATCCTGTTAGTCAAAGGAAGTTTAGAAGGAACTTCCGTGTTACGGCAACTAATTGAAAGCCAGCTCTCGCTGAGACAGATGAAGAGAAGGAATAAGCACGCGAGAAAATATGCGCGCGTGTGGTGGGAGTAAGGAATCTGCAAAAAGCGTGGCCCCGTGCGTGAATTGGTGTCTCCGGAGAGCTGGAAGCTAGCCTGTTCGCGGCGCCTGGTCGAAGCGCGTTCGGAGCGCGTTCGGAGCGGGCTCGGACCATGCTCGGAGCGCGGGCCCATAGGCACGGCAGCGCGGAGGTTTCGCAAGGATTGAATTGCGTGGCAGGCGCAGCACTTTCGCAAGGTGAGGTGCAGATTTCGTGGCAGGCGCAGCACTTTCGCAAGGTCAAGTTTTCCCAAGGATTGATTGCGTGGCAGGCGCAGCAATTTCGAAAGGTCAGGCGCAGAGTTCGTGGCAGGCGCAGCAATTTCGAAAGGTCAGGTACAGATTTCGTGGCAGGCGCAGCACTTTCGCAAGGTCAAGTACAGAATTCGTGGCAGGCGCAGCACTTTCGAAAGGTCAGGTACAGATTTCGCAACAGGCGCAGCACTTTCGCAAGGTCACGCACAGAATTCGTGGCAGGTGCAGAACTTTCGCAAGGTCAAGTGCAGAATTCGTGGCAGGCGCAGCACTTTCGCAAGGTCAAGTAGAGATTTCGTGGCACGCGCAGCACTTTCGCGAACTTTCGCAGCTGGGGCTGGAAGATCGCAACTGTTAAGTACGAAAGTAGTACGTGAAGTCCACTTTCGCAGCTGGGGCTTGAAAATCGCAACTTTTAAGCATGAAAGTAGTACGCGAAGTTACACACTTTCGCAGAAGGGGCTCTAAAATCGCAACTTTTAAGTACGAAAGTAGTACGCGAAGTCCACTTTCGCAGCTGGGGCTCGAAAATCGCAACTTTTCAGTACGACGTTTGCGGACCATGCTCGGAGCGCGGGCCCATTGGCACGGCAACGCGGAGGTTTCGCAAGGATTGAATTGCGTGGCAGGCGCAGCACTTTTCGCAAGGTGAGGTGCAGATTTCGTGGCAGGCGCAGCACTTTCGCAAGGTCAAGTTTTCCCGAGGATTGAATTGCGTGGCAGGCGCAGCAATTTCGAAAGGTCAGGCGCAGAGTTCGTGGCGGGCGCAGCACTTTCGAAAGGTCAGGTACAGATTTCGTGGCAGGCGCAGCACTTTCGCAAGGTCAAGTACAGAATCGTGGCAGGCGCAGCACTTTCGAAAGGTCAGGTACAGATTTCGCAACAGGCGCAGCACTTTCGCAAGGTCACGCGCAGAATTCGTGGCAGGTGCAGAACTTTCGCAAGGTCAAGTAGAGATTTCGTGGCACGCGCAGCACTATCGCGAAGTCAACTTTCGCAGCCGGGGCTGGAAGATCGCAACTTTTAAGTACGAAAGTAGTACGTGAAGTCCACTTTCGCAGCTGGGGCTTGAAAATCGCAACTTTTAAGTATGAGAGTAGTACGCGAAGTCACCCACTTTCGCAGCCGGGGCTCTAAAATCGCAACTTTTAAGTACGAAAGTAGTACGCGAAGTCCACTTTCGCAGCTGGGGCTCGAAAATCGCAACTTTTAAGTACGACGTTCGGGCAGTCTCGGACCAGGCTCGGAGCAGTGCGATAGTTTGAATGAGCGCGGCGTCGTGACAAGCCGACAGTGGATCATGCTGAGCAAGGCGCGGGTCGCCGCTCTCATGAGCGAGGCGGACGCTCGCGGAGCATGGAGTTTGCTTGTTGGGACCGGGCAGCTGCCAGCGCCTAGGCGCTGAGACGAAGACCGCGCGTGCCGGCTCAGGCCGCGCGGCTTGCGCGCAGTTCGTGGAGCTGCCTCCGTGCGTGCCGGCTCAGGCCGCACGGGCCTCATGTGTTCACGAGCAAGCCGTGTGTAGAAAAAGAGCGGACGCTGGCGTGTTTCCCCCGGCTTTTACATGGGGCTGGCTGTAGCATTTTAATTTTGATGGGCTTGGGACTTGTTCCTGGAGAGAGTGGAGGGGCTTGAGGGGCAGGCAGCGAGAGACTCATGGGCGTCGCGCTTCTGTTTTGGTTCGCATGGATGGTGTGGGCTGATAAAACAAAAAAGAGAGAGAGAGAGAGGAGGATAGATGGATACACACATCGACAGGTAGATAGATAGATCAGATAGACAAGACAGATAGATGGATAGACAAGTAGGTAGATTGATAGATTAGACAGATAACTAGACAGATAGATAGATAGATAGATAGATAGATAGATAGATGGATAGATAGATAGAGAGAGAGAGAAAGATAGATAGATAGATAGATGGATAGATAGATAGATGTATAGATGGATAGATAGATAGATAGATAGATAGATAGATAGATAGATAAAAAGAGAGGTAGATAGAGAGAGAGAGAGAGAGATGGATAGACAGGTAGGTAGGTTAGATAGAGAGAGAGGTAGATAGGTTAGACATATAGATAGATAGATAGATAGATAGATAGATAGATAGATAGATAGATAGATAGATAGATAGATAGATAGATAGATAAGTAGATCGAGAAAATATAGAAGATAGATAGAGTGATTGATAGATAGTTAGTTAGTTAGTTAGTTACTTTGTTTTGTTTTGTTTGTTGTTAGTTAGTAACCACCAACCACCACCCACCAACCACCAACCACCAACCACCACCCACCACCCCCCACCTACCACCCACCACCCCCCACCCACCAACCACCAACCACCAACCACCAACCACCAACCACCAACCACCACCCACCAACCACCAACCACCAACCACCACCCACCACCCACCACCCACCACCCACCACCCACCACCCACCATCACCAACCACCAAGAGAGAAAGAGAGAAAGAGAGAAAGAGAGAAAGAGAGAAATAAAGAAAGAAAGAAAGAAAGAAAGAAAGAAAGAAAGAAAGAAAGAAAGAAAGAAAGAAAGAACGAAAACAAAGAAAGAAATAAAGAAATACAGAAAGAAAGAAAGAAAGAAGGGAGGCGAAGACAGGACAGAAAGAAAGAGAGAATGACGAAGAAAAAAAGAAACACTGAAAAGGAAGAAGAAGAGAAAACAGAGTCAAGAGAGGAAAGATAAAGATAACTATAGTTTTTATTTTTTTGAAACTTCCGCCCAACGGCTTCGCCGGCTCTACTGGTATGTTTTAATTTCGCCATCCTATAGCAGGGGTTTCCTTGTTGCAAGATTCTACTGGTTGCTCCTCTTTGCGTACTCTGCTCGTTCCACAGGAACCAAGGGTTTTGGTTGGTACCTCACTTAAGAGGGTCATTTGAACTACATCGCCCCGGGTATCAACTGGGACTTGGTTTCCACCGGTCAACCATCTTGCTGGTGCTTGAGATAGGCAGGGAATGAGAAATGGAATGACCCTTCTAAACCATTCAACTGGTGACTTCTTGTAAGGTGACCTCTGGGTTCATTCCCGCATTCCCTACTAAGCACCAGCAAGCCATGGCAAGGGAACCAACCCCAGATATCCAACTGGTGATTTCCCTAGAAGGGGACCCCCAGGTTCATTCCATTTCTCATTCCCTATCGCAGCAGCAAGCCAAATAAGGGCGCGCCAGCAAAGGACCCAGTGAGCCTGTTGAACAAGCCGGTTCCTCATAGCCCTTTTGGGCAGGTGGCATTAGACCTCACACCCGGCATTGCCCTCTTGGGTTCGCGCCCCGACCGGTGCACCTGGCTGATTCTCATGCGAGCAACGAATCGCTCGCAAAACTCGACGGTGATTTACGGGGATCCCACCCAGTGCTCTCAGGCGCTTGCCACTATAGCAGCTAACCAGGGGAAAACCATCATCATCCGGGTCCTCCCTTAGAGAGGTTAGAATCAGAGTATCCATTTTTCTGTAGTCTATTTTAGTAGGGGAACCCTCCCCCAAAAGCGGCTAAAAGGGCACTACTGGGGGGCCTAGTCATGCAAAACCTACAAGTAAAGTACCTATGTGGTTACCTACTATAGTGATAATTGGAAGCACTGGGCCAGGGTGGAATTACACCTGTTGGGCCCAAACCACAAATGCGCTTGCGTTATGATTTGTGGGGAAACAGGCCCTTCATGGCAGTCGACACCTGCCCATGTATGCAGTTTTTTACACCTGGCAAGAAAGGACCGCGATCCGTCTTGCCGCCAGCACGCCTTAAAACAGGGCCAACTGCTTTTTCTCATGTCCAAATTCCAAGTACTGTCCAAAAAGAAGTGGTTGGGGAGTGTTGGTATCCAAAATAAAGGGGCCCCATGTTTAAAGGGCCGTGGAGACTGCAGTTCTAGAAACCAGGGTTTCTTGCCATTGCCAGGGAAGCACTGAGACCAAAGCAACACCCTCCCAACACAAAGGAACTAGGTCCTCCAGTAGAGTCAGGTTAGAAGAAGGAAACCATTTCTTTCCTAGTAGGCTATTTTAGTAGGGGAACCCTCCCAAACCAAAAAAGGGGTAAGAAAGGGCACTACTGGGAGACCTAGGGAAGCAACCAGGTGGATAGAATCCGCGCTCTTCTCACGCCTGATCTTAGGCAAAATAAACGGCTCTGAAATCTATCAGGAGTTCGACCTACCTGGAGTCTCCATGACCCTCAAAAAATTGGGTCATTACCCAAAATAATGAGCCATTGACCCATTTGTAAAGGGTAATGCAGACTCCAGGTGACTGAATGGTACTCCCCTGCCTAAGTTACATGGAACCTAAGAAGGGGTCCTCCAAAACTTCCAAGATATAAGTCCAGGCTGTTTGGGCTCCATGGAGTCTATGATGAAGGTGACAAATCCGCAATCTCGAGCCCGATGGGAAAACAGAACCCCCCTTGTGGTTGCAGTTGCTCGGGTCTGCCTAGAGTCTCCTTCTGACCCTCAAAAAATGGTTGGTCATTACCTAAATAATGCGTGGTCATTGACCCATGTTTAAAGGGTCAGAGGGAGACTCCAGGTGTACAGCCCCCAATTGTGTTGGGATCGGGACTGGTCGCGAACCACTGGTCAGCGAATTCGAATCAACCTTCGGACTCGCCCATCGAAGTGAGCCATCGAAGTGTCTTTTGTTCAGGTTTTGTCGATTGCACATCTAGGTCCTCCAGTAGAGAGGTTGAAATAAGGGTATCCTTGTTTTTCTGTAGTCTTTTTTAGTAGGGGAACCCTCCCCCAAAAAGGGGTAAAAGGGCACTACTGGGGGACCTAGACATTCTGGGTCTCAAGCGAAGGGATGAAATCAGCTTCCCCCCGAAGTCCCAGCGCAGCCAGTTGACACTATAGGTAACCAGGAGAAACCATCCATGGTAAAACCAACAGGCGAAAGTACCGGGTGAACTACTCTCACCCCTTCAAACTCCCTGCGCCCTGGGGAAGTTAACCTTTTAACGACATATAGCCCATGTTACCCAAAAAGTTGAAAAGTCGTGTTTCTAAGAGTTCTATAGTGGTTTGCCTGGTTTTGCACTGAAATGGGGCGGTTTGGAGCCTGGCGGTTTGGAGGTCAGAAGGGCTTCGAATCCCCAAAGCTACCGTGACCTGGGTGACCTGACTCCCGGCAAAAACCGCTGGTACTTCAGAGGGATCAACGTGCCGGCCCGTCCTGGACCCAACATCTGGAACCATCATTGTGGTTGCATAGAATGAAAAACCCCAACCACTAGTTGACAAGTTCATGTTGTCGGATTTCTATCGGAGGCCGATAATCTCATCAGATGTAGTTGATATAGTTCCTTTTGGGGAAAACCTCTAGCTTTTGGGGGTTCCTGTGATTTGTAGGCTCCTCCGGACGAAGTTAACAATGAATGTGCTGGGCTCTCAGATCCCCCGCAAGTGACCAACTTTTCGTGGGTCAAATTCGGAAACTACCACTAAACACTAAAACGATCTCAAAGGCTCGGGAACCGGATGGCTTTGAGCCACCAAGTGTGGACTTTGCAGGAAACATCGGGGTGGGGGGGGGGTGAGGGGGGTGCGTCCAGCAAGAGGTCCATGCTTTCGGCCAAATGGACACCTAAACATTTAGAGGTGCTCGTGAGCCTCCATGCGCTTTTTCCCCCCCTGGAAAAATATAAAATATCAAGTCCAGTAGTGATACTGTGGATGGACGAAATCCATTTCGCCACTTGGAAACCATGGGAAAATTCATTGTTTGTTGGTTTTTACATGGGAAGCATCATTGCAATGTTTCTTAGGTGGTGCAGGATTTCGTCCATCCACAGTAGTTTCCCGTTAAAGCCAACAAGGGGAAATAAAACATATTATTTAGCAAACGGCAGTGAGAGTTCTCTTGGAATTCTGCCTTCCACCCACCATTTGACTGCACAGGCTACACATTTCAACAGTGAGCTGAGGACATGAAATCCCAGCATGTGTCTACAAGGGGCCATGAATGGATCCCATGCGGGAGAAACATCACCCAGTGGATCCCAGTTGCGGTATCCTTTCTGAGTTTGGCCAGGACAAGTAACCAAAATTGTTGTTTGCCACTAAAAAGGTGCAGCCCGAAAAAACAAATGACGAAAGTCCGAAACGGAACTCAGGAACTGAGTAGGTATGCCGCCAGTATTCTTCTTGTGAAAGGGCTTCCTTGGTTGCCTGCTAGACAGGGAAATTGATCCACGTGACACAAGCTGAGGACGCCACTGCAGTGGATCCCGCTCTACTTGAGACACATGTCAAAACTTGGCTGGAATTAGGACCCCAGCAAAAAAATATCTATTTTGCCTGGTTAGTGGGAAAACAAAGGGAGCCCCAAAAAGCAAAAAAGCAGAAAGGGGAGCTAATTCTGGTGAAGAAAATTGGGGCATCCCCCCCCAACAAAAACAAGTTCCTGGGCTTCCTTTGGGCTTGCCAGCGTAACCCATAAGGTAAGTCCGCTAGGGGGCTACTCACCATTTCGCGATCCGTCAAACAGCACTTCTAACCCTTCAAAAGTTGGGGAAAAAAGTTGGGTGGCCTTTTGAAGGTCCCAAACAAGGGAAACGGCTCGGAAACCCAGCGCTTCGCTTTTCGCACCAAGCCGGGTGTGCTGATCTTGGCCGAGACTCGCAGGCTCTTGCTGGCGCTGAGCCTCGGGAAAACCGACCGAGTTGGTGTCAAAACCGATGGGTGTCGAAAAACTCGCAGGGGCCCCTGGGTTTTGGGTGTAACCACCCCAATTTTCTTAAAAGAGTCAAAAGGAGACTCCAGGTGGTTTACTTCCATTTGCCTGCTTTTCCGCCCCCTGGAAAAAAGAAGCTAAACTATGTCCATGTAGTGATAGATTCCTTTTGAAACCAACAGGGGAAAATAAACCACATCCTTAATCAAATGGAAGGAACATGTTCGATCCCCAGAATGCTTAGCAAGAATTAAAAAGCACCCATGTGGGTGTGGCTCAAAATTAAACGATCGGAGGGGCAAACCGCAGGTTTTGGTACCCATGTTTCCACTTACCGATCGGACCCATGTTGGAATTCCGGTGCTTTGAGCCACAGCCATGTATTGTTGGGACTACCCCTTGCGAATCTTTCAACTACGGATTTGGATGGCTCATCACCTTCAAGGAGACCTTCAAGCCAGGAAGCTGTCCGTTTTCTGATCCCCGGCTAAAAATCGACCCAAGTGGGTTAAATCCGGAACCCAACCCCGAAACCAACTAGAAACCCAAGAACTCAAGACACTGGAGCGCCAGTTCTCGCCAAACACCCCACACAATTTCCCGGGATTTGGGTTAATTTCCTGGAGATGGTTTAGTAGAAACCTGGTAGCTTACTTGGAAGGGAACCACCCCCAGTTACCCTGCTTATAGCCATGGTTATAGCCTACTTTCTAAGCGGATTGAACATCCAAGTACGGGCCCAACAGCAGGGCTGTGGGGAATGACCACTTCTGTGATACAACAGAAAGGGCCAGCCCCAACGACTATTTTGTTCATAGAAAGGGGGATTCCAACAAACGTATCACAGAAGTGGTTGGAGAAACCCCTTGTGATCCCACCACCCTGCCCAACAGAGTTCTGCGATCGGGGGCTCCAAACACCGCCGAGAGTCCCCAGCTCCCGGATGTTCATTCAGTCTGACCCAGTGCTCAGTTGCCCGACCCAGAAATACAAGGTGATCACCTTCTGGGGCCTTTACTGAACATCGACCAACGTGGGAAACCAATAGGTTAAAGGTTCACCTCATATGAATAAAGCCCCGTTCATTAATACGGGGGCTTTTATGTCCCTGGTTTTCGTGGGGATTCAGACGGCCCCCAGCCCCAATATTAATAAACTGGGGCTGATTAATATGGGGTCAACGTTAAGTCTGACCCAGCGCTTCCGATTGGCGTTTCGCCAACTTTTTTAGGCAGCCCTTCGGTATGGCTACCTCCCTGTACGCGTTACATCACGCGAGCACCCTCGGTTACCTATTCTCGTGGCTTGCCTGGAAGCACCAGGTGAGTCACGATCAAAACCTGGCAGCAAAGTGGTCTACCCACATGTGACGAACTAAAATGGATGTCAAGCTAAGCAGTGCAAACGTCCAACATGGGAACGACTTTCAGCAGCGAAACCTAGGGTCGCTCAAACCCGGGAGGCGCTCAGAGTGCCTCTCCCGTTACGAGTTTACTGGGCTGCCCGTTTCAGATTCCCTGCAAAAAGTGAATAACTTGTGGGTAAAATGGACGCCCCAACCCCTAAAGCAGCTAAAGACCCAAACATGTAAGGAACCGGACGGCTGGGAACCGCCAAGTGTAGACGTCGGTTGAACAGCCTCCTTTTGGCTTTCTGGTCAGGTCAGCATGTGGTTGCTTAAGCATACTCCTTCTCAAGGCCAAGGGCAGCCATTGGAAGATCATGACAAGTAGTCACCATTCGCCTGCAACGGCTGCAATGGCTCCCTTAGCTTTGGCTCATCAGTGCAGAACCACATTTCGCCGACCCCTTGAATCCAAACTCACCAGCAACCTCGCTTTTCTGCAGCCAGTGGGCTGCACATGCTGCGGCAGCAGCCGCGCACCAGCCTGGCTGCACGATTCTTCAGCGACCCAAAACCCAGTGCTTGCGACGCCACGTGTGGCATCCCATCGTTGGTGACCAAAAGCGGACTGGCATACTTGGATGTTCAATCCACTCGGTAAGTAGGTTATTATAACCATGGTTCTCAGGGAACCAACCTCAATTACCCTACTTACAACCATGATTCTATCCTACTTGCTAAGTGGATTGGACACTCTACGATAGACACCATGATACAAGTTTGCCCTCTTGGGTCTCCGCAACAAATGCTTACACTCCTCTTCGATAGAACTGCCAAGACAAAGAGCACACCGGGGCGGTCGATTTTGACACTTGCAAGCCTTTATAATGTTACAATTCAAAACAGGGTGAAAGATTAAACAAAATAAAACAAAACAAATAAAAACACGTGCCGCGCTTGCCACACAAAACAGACTTGAGTCTGACCAAATTGACCGGCTCGCGTGGTTCGTTACACAGCTCTAAGAGGGTAACACTTTCGCCCTCCTGAAGTAAGCGCCCAAAACAAATCGAGCGGGGTTGTGAGGAATTAACCAACACATCTCATGATCATGGGAGAATAGGGATTGGAATTATTTAGTCCCCTTAACAATATCTTGCTTGGATGTTCAAGCAACTTAGTAAGTAGGTTCTAACCATGGTTTTGAGAGGACACTCACCCCCAATTTCCCGACTGAAAGTGATGGTTATAACCTACTTGCCTGGCCTTGAACATCCAATTACCACCATAACTAATAGGTATCTCTTAGTAAGTTGGTTGAACATCAAGAAGTGGTCCCCCAAATCCCAACCCGGAATGGATCAACTCAAGCGCTGACCCCACCTGCCGAGAATTTTTCAACCACCAGGATCGAGATAGTTCGGTGTGCCTTAAATAAAGAAGAAGCACATGTGGCTTACGGAAACCAAAAGGTAAACCACAACTTGTTGGTGTTTCCTAAAACCCACCCAAAACCCGTGTTCACAGAAGTATCTCGAGCATTCAATCACCCTGAGCTCCTATTTTTTTGGCTTGAACCCTGGACAGGAAATTGGGTATCTAAGATGGTGTCCACAAGGGCACCGGGCATAGTCCCTTCAGCCATCCTTCAGCCCTGAAACAAAAGCTTTCAGGACACTGACCGCCTGCCATTCCCTGGGCAAAAAATACATATAAACAAAAAACATCCAGTCGTCATAGATTCCCTTCCAAAGCAACCGAGGGACATCATATTCATCTCAACCCCAGAAGGTGCAAGTGCCTCATGAAGATGTGGGCCAAAAAGACCCCTCGGAAACCGATTTGCATAGGCCGGAGGGTTCAAAAACATCACCAGAGTCACAAGGGAATCCTTCCAAATAAGCCAGCAATTGTGACTCTTAACATGGCCAACGTGGAACTGTCCTTATAGCAACCTGTCCCATCCTTGGACGAGCATAATTAATTAACAACGTTGCTTTTATTTGCGGCCACCACTAAATTTGAACAGAACACCAAACAACTGCACAGCTAAAACAGATGTCAAGCACGGTACGGCAACCCCGCAAGATGTGGCGCACATCACAGAAACCGCATTGTCAGATGTTGCTTCATATTAAGACAGTAAAGTATAACGTAACTTTGGAGGAGACCCCTGAAAAGGGGGTTCAATTCTTTTGGACCTCTGCCGCCGCTCAGCCGCGAGCGATCCAATCGCCTGCTGCACAATCGCCATCTTCAGTGCGCCTTCGAAGAGGACCATCCTGTGGCCGCGAGGAAAGATTTTCCATGCCATGGTCAAATTCTACTTGGGTGCTACTCAGGAAGTGAGAAACCCTGGTTTCTGATTCGATTCCGCAAAGCGAAAAAAACAACAAACAACAGTGTCTTTCCTTGGGTGCTGTAAATCCCCCAGCAAAAAGTGTTTAACTTTTTGCTGGTTAAGAGGAAATATGAGGGGAATCCAAAAAGTTAATCTAAAGATCCAACCCAATAGCAGTGCAGTTGTAGTACCTGGAGTCTCCTTCTGACCCGAATCAAACATGGGGTTATGACCCTTCTGACCAACCATCCTTTTAGGGTCATGCAGACTCCAGGTACCTCCAATTTTCGTTAAGAGAAGCCCCCAAGGGGCCCTCAGCGAGCTCCCTCACAGTACGAACGATTGAATTTTGGGTTGCATCTTTCTGCAAGCCATTGTCAAACTTTATTCCTTCCCAAGACTTGACCTAGGAAACAAATACGTGTAAATATATATATATATATAATGAGTTTCCCCGGAACTTTCCGTGGTATTTACTGCTCCTCCGCCCCCGTTTTGGTCCAACTTGGCGCCCGCATGCGGCCTCTGACCGCATGTCGACACCGGCCGAAGCTGAGGCCGGGGCGCCGCCACATCCTCCTCCAAGGCCTCCTGAAGCGGCGGAACCGAAGCCGGAGGGCCCGACATGGCGTAGGCGATTCTCCATGGCTGGTCGAAACGAACATCAGAATAGGTGGCACATGGATGTTCATCCACCCCAAAACGCCCCAAAATGGGATCGCCATAGATGCCCCATGGACATTTCTGGGGCTTGAACCCAACCGTGCGAGCCAGCATTCGTTTCAAAGACCGGATCCGCTTTGCATGGGATTCTGCAGGTTTTCTAGAAAGGAGCCCTGGAAACAATGGGGAAGGTACCCCTAGAATATTGGGAAAACCCCAGCGACAAAGTACTCTCAAGTAAGCCCGGTGGATCCATTGACCTGGTTTTGTAGGTAATTTTACGGAAAAGCCCAGCAGCAACCAAGTATTAATCAACCAGTGATCGCTGCAATGTGGAGCCCACATCAACCAACCAGTTTTTTGGTAAGGGGGTGTCCGATTCTGGGTGAGATGTGGTTGGATTCAGACCACTCTTGGCGGGGACATCACCCCCATCTTGATGAAGTGGAGTTGATTAATACTGTGGATGGACAGAATCCTGCACCATGTTCATACCATGGTTGAAACCAGGGTTTCTTTAGGTGGTGCGTTCTGAGGATTTCGCAACCATCCACAGTATGGGGTCAAGGTAAAAATTGAGGATTGCCTTTGAACCTTTGCAAAAGTCTCCGACGAAGGATGTTTCACTGGATGGTCGTAGGATTCCAACCCCATCCCCAAAGCCTGCCACCCAATTTCAATCGTTATTCCTCTCCTTCGCTACTCAATTTCACCGATTTCTTGGATATATTTTTTGACCCATGGTTCTTGCAGAGGGAAAGTGGAAACCCCTCCTGACCTCCAAACCACAAATCCAAACAGCCAACTAGATCAAGCTGAATGCTTGCTGGACCCAACCAACGAATCAACGAATTGGTGATATTCTCCAAGCCCCGTGTTTTCAATAGGAGTGGTTCACCGCAATTTCCTTTTTTGGGATCTGGCTGCCTGAACCACAAAGAATGGCGCAACACAAACACTTGGATACCTGTCGAGTGGCCATGTCACAACCAGGACTTGCCCAATTCGTTCTGATTGATGGCGAAAGGAAAGCCCGCATAGGACCGATTGCAGGCCAGCGCTGTCAGGCATCATGGCACGTTTTACTCTCACCCTAATATCACGTTCTGCGCATTGGCGGCCCTGGTAAATGGAATAAACCCCATCTAAACCAGGGCCGTCTATTTTCTAAGCAAACCAGCCAAACAAGGACACCTAAGGGAACCGCAACTCACCTAGGTCCTCCAGTGAAAAGGTTAGAGTAAGGATACCAACTTTTTTTTCTGTAGTTTATTTCAGTACGGGAGCCCTCCCCCAAAAAAGGGTAAAAGGGCACTACTGGGGGAGCTAGTCACAAACAACTGATTGACAGCGCCGCGCCTTTTCCTTTTGTAGTTTGTTTTGTTTTTCTTCGCACAATACGAAGGGCCTGGCGCCCTATTGGCTTAGAATCGGACACCGGCCGGTTGTTCTTTCCTGGAAAACTTGCCACTTCACATCCTTTTGGTTCATATGGCTGGCATAACTGGCGCCGTTAAAGTGACATCCTCGAGATTCTCCTTGGAAATAAGCCCCAAAGGAACAAACACTTGATAACCCCTCAACTCTCCTTCTGATCCGAATCAAGAATCGGGTCATGATCCCGACGTCATGTTGGGTGACAAATCCCAGCTTTGAAGGGTCAGAAGGAGACTGCAGGTAACGCCAGGTATAAAGCTCAACATGGCTGAGCTGAGCAAAAGCACTCCCATAGGTGGAACTTGATGGCCCTGGTAGCTCATTAAACCACCAGGTAAACCAGGAATCGCCATCTATTTGTCTACCAAAACAACCAAAAAGGACTCCTATGAGCACCCCGCTGTCAGCCCAGCACCCACCCCGCACTTGGCCGCTGGCATACTGCAGGCCACGCACTTGGAAGCGAAGCTTCACGTCCGCCTGGCGACTTTCGGAGCGTCGGCCCGACCCCCAAATCGGACGGAAGGAGGCCGGGTGTTTGGAGCAGGGGGTCCGGGTACACACCACTTGGGAAGTAGGTCATAACCAAGATTATCATGGGAGGAACCCCAGCTGCCCCACTTAGAACTATAGTTTTAGCCTACTTAGAAAGCTAGTTGAACACGCAAGAGGGGAAACCTGACTGAGGGGTCCTGGACGACCGTTTTGAGGGCGTCGCGGGGCGCGTCTGCCTTCTTAGGGAGCGAACTAGCCATGACATGTGTCCCAGCTGTCGGACACACACCTGGCGGTGTCAGGTGGGTCTTTCTGCTGCGCGCAAACCCTCAGAAGCATTGCTTCGTATCAGTCGCTTAGTCTGATCTTAGAATGGTCAACGATTCCCTGTCCCCTTCAAATCTTCGTGTTTGAACGTAAAGGTTTCTTGGGCATTCTTATTTCAAGCCCGTTACCATTTGCAAGTTGCCCAGAACCTCGCGGTTATGACCCAGTTACCCAACCAAGGTTACCGTCCCTACCAAGCAATGAGGTACTTTGACCATGGTACACCTGAGGGCCATGCCTGAAAATGACAAAAAAACAACTGACACAAATCATATCACATCTATATATGGGAAAACTGCTCATGGTCATTGTGTAATATTTGTCAACTCCCATTTGGTATCCTATTTCTTCCTAATCGTCTTCCCAGATGCCCAGTGGCCATGGAAAAAAGGGGGCATCATTTGTTTTGTTGGTTGACTTTAAAGGGCAACCCTTCCACGAAAAAAAAAAGGAGAAACAAAAGGAAGAAGGGCACCACTGGTTGCAACTGGGTATTTTGTCCCATGAACTGAGCACCACGCACCCCTCAATTGCGACGCCTCGCCCAAAGAGGAGCGCACCGAGGCGCGTTGGCCTGGGGGCCAACGCGAAAGATGGGCGTGGGAATTCGCAGGTGGCTGCGGGACAAAATTAAAAACATCAGGGGACCGCAGCGTTTAGTCCACGTTTCCTCTTCCAAGGGCTTATCCGTCACTCGTGCTTCCCGAAAAGTGGGGGGCTGACCGGCCATTTTTCACGGAGACTTCAGGTGAGTCATAATCAAAGCCCGGTAGCAAAATGGTCGATCCCCAGAACCATACTTCAAGAAGTAAGAAGGCAGATATCCGCAACTATTTACGGTTGGGATTGTTTCTTACCGTTCATCTACCCGGGTTTTGATTGTGGCTCACATGTAAAAGCGCGACAAAACCTCAAGTCGCATGGCAGCGCAAGAAAAAATATGGCGCGGGATTCACATGGAAACGTGCGCGAAGTTTTCAGGTCACAAGCACACCAGAGGGAAAACCCCAAAGTGACATAATTCCTTTTCTGAGCTGCCTAAAGGACACAGAAATAAAGGAGAACCTTTTGGGTCATGGACCAATCAGAAACCAACAGGTCAAATGGTCCCGTACCTGAGCGTGCTCCCCACCTATTGTTGGGACCGCTCCTTAGTAATTAACCTTCAACTACAAGAATCGATTTTGATTGTGACTCCATCTACGTGGGCAGTCCGTTTTCTGCTGAGAGTCGACAACTGTTTGTGGGTTAAAAATCGAAACCTTGCTAATTGTCAACTTCTAGTGAAATACGAAAACCCAACCACTAAATCAACTAAAAACTGCTAAGCAAACCAGATCGCCAGGTTACACTGGTGGAAACCCCTTCAGCTGAAGTCATCTCATTCAGAGCAAGGGCCATTGAAACAGCTTAGGAGACTATGAGGCGTGAATTTCGCGTGACCTCCTTTGCCATGGCTCAGTGTTGGATGAAACATGCGTGCAGCACGCAACTCAGGTCAAACTGGAGTTCCCGTCCCAAAACTGCAAGGGCTCAAGCTTCGTAAAACTCTGTTGGTCTTCTTTCTGCCTGTCACCCCAAAGTCTTTTCACCAGTTTGAGAAGGACAGCGAAAAATCCACGAAGTCTTGCACGAATGGGAAAAACCAACCCGAAGCCCCGGACAGTAATTTGGAGAACTCGTCAAAACGCAGCCACGTTGACTCACGCCCCAAAGGACCTGGAACTAAAAGGTTCTTCTGTGACTCTGACTATACATGGACAAACAAAAGTCACAAGGTCCACTCTCGGGAAAGGTCAGCTAGGCGCTTCACGAGTTTATCGTGAAGCGCCCTGTCAGCGTAGAGCAGGAGTCTTTTTGTGACCCTTAAAAAATGAACCAGCGTCTAAAAGTGGCCAAGTTTTGCCCAGGCGTGGTTCGGATGCGAATTGAGGGTTGATTCAGAGTCCAGGGGCGCCGTCTTGCCCGGCATAGTAGGCCAGCGCGTCCTCGCAGGCCCCTCCATCACAGTCACGACGCCCTCTTCGACGTGCAGGGCCAGCGATTTGGATACAACTCTGCCGCAAGTGCAGGTGATCAAGCAGCTGGCAATGAGACGCATCCTGGAACTTCTTGATTCAGCTCTTTTTCTTGCTCATCGACGGCATCCGGCTCCGTGCTGTGGACCCCCAGCGCTGCACGGACTGTCGCGGGCACCAGCTGCACCTTCTCCACGTAGTCCCAAAGAAATGGTGCCTGCTTTGAAGGTCCTCACGAACACCCTTGTCGTCCTTGCCTTTTCCAACTGGAAAAATGGACTTGGCTCCAGTGAGAGATTTGACTTGAAGCCAGGGAAATTCAACATCCCCCCTACAGACGAACATGGAACCCAAGAACCCGCCCATTTGTAGAGGTTCCCCACTTTGGGTTTCATGTCCCGCATGCGGATCAGACAACAAAACGTCTGTTTACCACAGAAGTGGTCTTCAAAACAAACTTAAAGTCCAGCAACTCAAGAAGTGAGATGTTAATGTGCAGGGGTGTTCCCTTCAGCAAGTGGAAGTTGGCCCTCAGGTCTTGGTTGCAACGCAGACTCGGCAGAGACCAACTGCGGCTCCGGGCGGGGACTACCACTTCTTCTCTCCTCCAACGCCGGCAGAAGATTGTGTTTTCGTTGAGGGGACACCCGCATGGTTGGGGTTTCCCTAAAAAAAGTCACAAAAATGATGAATGTCCACCAACCGAGGGATGTCCAAGTCGGCCAAGCCTCTTCCCTTTAAAACGACAAAACTTGATGAATGTCCACCAAGCCTCTTGAGGTTCCTGCTGAAGTTGGCTAAAACTGGCCTTTGGATCCCGGTCATTTTGTCAACCTTAGACTGCAACAGGAAAATCCACATGTTCCCGTCTTGAGAAGATGATGGATTGAAAGGCGGCAACAACTTTTTCGGGCACACGCCTTGCCACGCGGTTTAGGCCACGGACGTGCTGGCCTGAGGGTGTTTTCTTGGAAGGGACCTCACCAAAGAAATGTAGGCGACATAACCCTACCTTGCGCCAGGTTCCTGCAGGCGGGAAAGAAAAGGTCAACCTTTTGGGGCCGGACTGCTCTTGCCTCAAACGCAGCCAGCGAAGCCTGAAGACTTTGACCTACAAGCCCAGCCAGCACCCGCAGAACAAAGGATGGACAAATTGCACCATCGCTCAATTTTTGGGGCTCTGACCCGATTGCTCCCAACCAAAAAAGACCGTTTGCAGCGGGCTCAACTGAAGGAACTTGCTGAGGGCCTCGGACCAGGTCGACGAAAGTATGGATCAAGGGGCCTCTGACCCTTCCAGCCCGCAAACATGGAAGCATATCGTAAAGGAAGCATGGTTTTCCAAGTGGCTTCCCTCAATTTCCACAGTGGAAGGGAGGGTAAACGCTTGAAAGTTCACACGTGTTGGACAGAATAAAGAGAAATAAACAACAACGAAGCTGCGCCGGCAATCACATGCAATCACCCTGTCCATTTGCTCACGTTCGTGACAAAACAACTCTGCAGCTACAGCTCAGTTGAAGTAAAGAGCAAGGTGCTGGAGGGGTTCATGCCTCAGCTCGCTCCTGTGGTTTCTCGCCCTTCGCCTTGGCGCTGCCTGACAGACGCGACAACGATCTCAGTTTTTGCCCCCAGACCGGGAATCCTCTGCTTGACCCTGGCCCACGCTAAGCGATCCTCGGACTGCGGACTAGCTTCAAAAGAGATCCCTAAAGCCGACGCCAGGCTCAGCGCCCGCTCCGTCCTTACCATTGGCGCCTGTCTGCATGTCTGCGCGTGGGTATAAGCTGAATGTTCTTTGTCTGCCCCTCAGTAGGCGTGGGCGCGGAGCCAAGCATCTGCGCGAGCCCGTTACCTGTGCCTACAAGTGTTGCTCTCTGCCATGCGGGTCGCTGAGACCCCGTGACCCCAGGCAAGTCTATATTGCAGCAGCCAGCACTGTTTCTGCCAGAGATTGAAGCAGTTGGCCTGATAAAGTCGACGTCCTAGGTATGTTCGCCATCGAGCTATGCTTCACTTGGACCCGTTCATACTCCTACATGTTGGGGCTAAGGCCGTTCGAAGGCTGCCCCACATAGGGACAATTGCACAAGGTTGCGCTGTTGCCGTTACATCCGGCGAAGCTTGGGGCCTCACAGAAGGGCCCCGTTTTGCGCTCGCAGCCAAAATCCCAAGGGGGCTGCCTTTATCGAGTGCCAGACATGGAGCTCGCTTGTGCAAGCCGAAGGGTAAGTCAGACATTTTCCGTGCGCGGCCGCACCAAACTTTGACATATATCTAGGTCTTGCCCTTAACAGAAGGTCGAATAGCCAGCAGGGGGCGCAGCCCCTTAAACCAGTTTCGTCTTTGACCAGACTGAAGCCGCGGGGGAAAGGAAGGAAAACCGAAAGGGTTTCCTCTAATTGCCATTCTGGAACCACAAAAAAGCGCAACTCCAGTCCTGACAAGCAGCCTAAAGCAGCGCTTCAAACGTCTCAAGAGCCTCACTTCGCACCAAAATGGTCCAGACACAAAAAGTTTTTCAAGTTCGATATGGAACTCAGGGGGCGAGTTGCCTTTTTAACAGGGAATTGCTTGGGCCTGCCATGGACCCGCTTTATTTGCCTTTTTAGCCCCCCCTTTTTGTGGGTCAAAGTCAATAAGAAGGTGAGTCACAATCAACACCTGGTATCAAAATGGTTGACCCAGAACCAAGGCAATAGAAAGGCGGCACCCATCTGTGGCAACAGGATTGTCCTCTAACCTTCATCTACCCGGGTTTTGAGCAAGTGGCTCAGGTCTCCTTTTCGTGGAATTGTTCTCCAAGCCTGGGAACCTCGAGCGAATGACGTATGCAGGCCAGGGGCCGGGCCCCTTCAGGGGCCCAACGCGACACATGTTGAAGGCCCGGCTGATTTGAGTTGTGAAAGCTGGGTACCTCTAACCAACTGCTAGGTCCTCAGTAGAGAGGCTAGAACAAGGCTACCAACTTTTTTTCGGTAGTCTATTTTAGTAGGGGAACCCTGCCCCCAAAAAAAAGTAAAAGGGCACTACTGGGGGACAGTTGCTTGCAACCTTTCGGGCCAGATCTAGGGGAAGGTCAGTGGCCTGGAAACATCTGTAGATGCGTCAGGACCTGCCCATAGTCCATGGACTCACGAAAAAAATATTCCAGGAGGTTCACACATTTCTACATATGTTACTACGATTTCGCAAGCTGAATGAAGGAAAATAGATCCCCAAGCAAAGGACCTTTGTCATAGCTCGTTTTGCCCCCAAAGTGAGCTCGCTATAGAATAGGCAGACAAATGATCATCCCGTCTAAGTCACAAGCAAACCTCGTGGCAAAGTTGTGTACCTGGTAGCAAGCTTTTGAAAGTCCCCAATGGGCAAACATTGTTTAACAACCATGCCCAGCCACCTTTGGGAACCCCAAAACATGTTATAGCAATTGGTGACTGGTTAATTAAACATGATTGGGCCCATGGGCCCACTGGCAAATGGTACCGCTCCGCACCCGTTTATGGAAGAAAAAAGAACATATCGCCCTTAAGCTTCATCTCCCCGGGCTTTGATTGTGGCCGCATCGCATATGGGAAATATCTCTCGTTTCAAATTGGTGGTTTTTTCAGGAGAACCAAGAGCAGACAGCTGGAAGGGGCGCCCAATTCCCAATTCCATTCCCCAGTTGGGTGTTCGTCATCTGGTCACACGGCGTGAGCTCCTTCCAATTTGTGATTTGGAGCTGAATCGCTGGGTTTGATCGTGAAATGAGGTGGCTTCCCATTTACCCTCAAGAACTAGGGGTCCAAATCCAAATCCAAACCACCAATCCAAGCTACCAGAGAAAATGTTGGCTTGCGGCTGTCTCCGATTGATTTGGAGACATGGGAACAAGCTGCTGTTGGGGGGTGGGGAAGTGCTGCATGGGAAGGGATGTCTTTCTTAGTTGATTTCAAAGGTAAACTCTGGTCGAAAACAAGTAAGCCCGAAAGCTACTGGGTTGACCTACCACGGCTTCGGAAAAGGCTGGAAAGGACGGCACGGCTGCCTGTCAATCTCTCCCATAGGCTAAGGCTTGCACCTGGAGTCTCCATGACGCTTAAGAAATGGGGTCACTAAACTAATGGGGTCATTGACCCATGTTTCAAGGGTCAGAGGGAGACTCCAGGCAGTTTGTCTCATCATTTTGCCTTTATTCCCCACCGTCTTCCTCAAGGCCATTGGGGGGGGGGCTCTACCTTGCAAAATGGCGGGCTTCCTTTTGGCTCATCTTTAAAACCCAAAAGGAACTTCCCCCACTCAGAAGACAAGAGCCTAAAGGGGTCCCTTGGTACCTCATATTTATGTTTGTTCCTTGGAATCTGTTGGCGAAGCCCTGGACTTTTTTCCTCACCGAGCAAGAATTCGGACAAGGAACCCTCGGGATTAACAGGCTGGAGGCTTGGTTTAGAAAACAGGGTTCACAGGCACGAGAGGAGCTTGCACCCCTCTGAGACCAACCTGGATAGAGGTTTGCTACCTTGAGGTTCATATACAAATGCAAGTTGGGTTCCATTGGTTTCAGTGTCTAATTTCCTCTGGGGCTATGCTTTGAAGCGTGTTTAGAGGGGCACTTAACTTGGGTGCTCAGTCAAGTTAGCAAGCTGTTTGCAACCGAAGTTGCAACCCACATATAACCCCCCATAGAGCCCGGATGAATACACCCCTGTGTATTAATATAGGGGTGTTCCCTTCTGAAAGTGATGAACCCCCACTCAAACCAGGGCCACCCCCATATTAGCACACTGAGCTTTATGAATCCGGGGGGAGCCACAGCGGAAGGGAAGCAAAAAAGGAGGGACAACAATTTAAACCTTGGCAGTTAAGTGGGGATGTCCCACTAAAAACCACAATAAGCAAAAATGTAAAATGTATCCTAACAACAACCATTAACCCCCGATAAGTGGAGTTCATCTTGTTATCAGCGGGTTATAACCCACGGAGGGACCTCCCCGCCCGCCTTTGCTTCTCTTGACCTCCCAACGACCGGAGTTGGGCGAGCCGCGAAGGGGGAAACATAGGTGAACGGCTGCTCTGAGAACCTGGTATTACTCAAGCATGCATATATATATATATATATATACATACATAACGCATGTATGTATATGTGTGTATGTGTATATATATAATATTACATATACAACTAGATATACATACATGTCCCTTCAAACATACCCTGTCCAAAGGCAAACTCAGCTTGATATGCCAAGAAAATCCATCCCAAAGGATGACGTTTGAATCCAAAAAGGGAATCACGTGGACCGTTTTCACTCCCCCGATGAACAGAAGCAACCCAAAAAACACATGCCCTTCTGAAATGGGAACTCCTCTTAGGATGTTTGGGGTCGTGAATCTGTGGAGAAAAGACGTCCGCTATGCCCAAAATCCATGACGAATCAAGAGGCCAGCTTTGGTGACGAATCATTTGTGTCTGGTCTTTAGCCGTTTTGGGGTGGAAAGAAACAAAAGGGGAGACGGTCATTTTGGGGGGTCAGTACTTTACCACACACACCATTTTGGGCAAAAGGGTCATCTCGTGGACCCAGCTTTTGATCGCTGGAACCGCGGGATTGGATACACCGACTATCAGAGAACCTGACCAAACTGCTTATGAAGCATCCAATTGAAGAGCTCCTCTTTCAGGTTCCATACTTGGATCTTCGGCCAAGTTCGTAAGTGATTAGGTACTTGCTCACTTGGCGTTCTTTGCCTAACGAGCTGAGCCCCACTGAACACGAATTCTTGGGATGTAACCTAGCTTGCCAACAACTTGGCAAATCGAGCACCCAAGCACTGTCTTTCCAGGTTCGGCTCACGCCTTTTACTCCCTCCACACAAAATACCCGGTAGCCGCTAGCCAGTGCTTCCAGGCAAAATCAAACACTCCAATCCACATTGCAACATGGAACCTGATGTTTCGGAATCGGTCCTGGTTGGACCATTTTCCTTTACAAGGGTCCAATTCTCTGGTGGCTTCCATGTTAGACAGGAGTGCAATTGCTTGGGGCTTGTGGCGTTAAAACCCAATCAAGTCGCCATCAAAGAATAGTATATGAAACGGTGATAGCCTCTTTATAGTTGTTGTCTTTTGGTCTCCAGTGCCGTTTATCGTGTAGCTAGATCCAATTCTTGGAATTCCAGCAGCCACCATTGTGAACTTGCGTCAACATGCAATGACAGGCCAACAAAGGCTTCGCTGTGCGCCAGATGGGTGTACTGACGCATGCGACGTGCTCTCAGGCAAAGCAAAGTATACTGTCTAGATTGTCAGCAAGCAATGCTGAGCATACTACCACCTCTTATTCCCCCACCTTACCTCACCCTACGGGTCGCACACCACACCACACACTGCACACCGCACCTCGCATGCGTTGGCAAGAATCTGGGTGAATTCTCAGAATTTCACCAACCTAAAATAAGGTGGTTGGGCGGCTATTCCCCACATAAACCACCATTTGGGGTGAATTTGGTCGTGTGGGGTCGTTATAATTCACCCAGAAGAATGAACATCACAAAATGCTCTGTGAAGCTCGCCCCGACCTTGGCCACTCGGCGTCTCCTACGCTCTCCCGCCTCGGAAGTCTTGGCTCTTAGGGCGACGCGCGCCTTCCGTCCACGCTCGCAGGCTTGGATCTTGGTCGCCGCCGCCTCCGAGTCTTTGGACTTCGCTTCCTGGAGGTAAGTCACCCCAGGGCCCCATCCACCAGCCAGGTCTGGGGGATGTCAAGCGGTAAGATCTGGTTGCTTGGACTTAGACCTTGGAACCACCCCCTTTTTCAAACAAACAAGGGTTGAATCCCACCTGGAGTCTCCCTCTGACCCTTAAACAAAAAGGGGTCAATGATCAACCATTCTTTTGGGTAATGACCAACCGATTTTTAAGAGTCAGAAGGAGACTCCGGGCAGATTCATCGACCAACCAGGTCTGGCAGATGTCAATCTGGGTGAAATCTGATTGGACTCAGGCCACCTCGGGAGGGGCCCCAAACTTAGCCCCCTTTTACATAAACATGCTGTGGATGGACGAAATCCATTTCGCACCACCTAAGAAACCCGCAAATGATTCGATTCCCCTGTAAACACCCACCAACGTTCTGGTGTCCTCTGGTTTCAAAGAGGCGCGAAATTTTTGGATTTCGCCACCATCCACATGGGTTGATTCATCTGGGGTCCACCTTCCCCAAGCACCGGAAACCAGACCTGGAAGGAAGCCAATGACTTGGGACCAGGTCTAAGCGATCGGATCCGAAGACCCCCGCCATGGATGGGGCCATGGATGGATAAGGCCCATGGCATGGGGCATTGTCCATTCAGGAGAGAAACCGGCAATTGTAATATTTATATAACGAGATCCTTAAAATCACATTTATCGTTATAAAAACATATTAAACAAGAAAAAGAGGGAAGAACCAAAAAAACACGTGCAAAAAAAATATATCTTCAATTGCAATTATTAAAACGGGAGAAGGGAGCAACGCAATTAAAGGACTTTCCCCCGACCAGTGGACTTGAGCACAGCTCCGAATGGTTCAGAGGTCTGGGTAAAGAGACATCTGAGTTGAGTGGACCGGCCAGTGAAGCTTACAGTTCTAGAGGTACCATCCCCATTCTTTCCAGGGATCCGAATCTTTTCAGGGAACCAAGGGGAAACGGCTGGTTATTGAAAAGAACGATGGTTGAAAAGAATGGGGAATGTGTGGCCTAGCATGAATAGAGCTGTCAGCAACCATATGGGCGGCGTGTCTTTTATGAGGGTACCTGGAGTCTCCCTCTGACCCGAAATAAAAATGGGTCAATGACCCTATTATCTTCGGTAATGACCAACCATTTTGTAAGGGTCAGGGAGACTCCAGGTACACTTTTTGGGGTTGGTTGAAAAATGGACACCAAAAAGAAAAAACCCACCATTTTGGGTGGGTCCCTAAAAGAAGACACACCCAAATGCCACCTCAACGGGGTCTGCGACTCGGCGACCCTCCTCCTTCGCGGTGTCTTCCTGCGAGGGCATCGCTTCGCTCTCGTCCTCGACTTCCTTCTGAAGAGCTTGCGACGGCTCCTCTTTGGAGTTCGCCTTGGTGGAAAGGACCACCTGGAGTCTCCCTCTGACCCTTGAAAAAATGGGTCAATGGCCAACCATTGTTTTGGGTAATGACCCCACTTTTTAAGGGTCATGGAGACTCCGGGCAGCACCACGTTTCCTTCGCTGGCGTGTGCAAAGCTGTAGCTCGGAAACAAAAACACGTTTTGCTCGGGGATTCGACAGGATCAAGGTAAGTCCGAACTCACAGATCTAGGTCTAGCTTCCCCATTCTTTCCAGGGATCCGAATCTTTTCAGGAAACCATCAAAAAGCCAGGGGAAACAGCGATCGCTTTTTTAAAGACCGATGGTTGAATCAAGAATTGAAACGGAACCAACCCCTAGAATGACCCTTTAAAATTGGGGTGACCCCTTATTTATTTTTGGCAATGAAGCCATTCTGGAAGGGTCATGGAGACTCCAGCTACTTCAAGGTAAGTCTGAGCACACAGAGCGAACTTCTACCACGTCGCCTCCAATTCGTCACTCTTCGCAGTCTCGGCCTCCGCCCCACGCTTGGCATCCTCTTGCTGGGGGAATTGTTCAGCCTCGCTCGTCGCTTTTCCTCTTTTCGCCTGACGGCTAGTCCGATGGTTTTTGTATTACACCCTGGGATTACACCCTTGGGAAATGACCCAGAATGGTTCCAAACAACACGGTTTTATCCGGACATGTGCCTAAATGGGGTCAATAGTGAGTGCATTCCCAGGGTGTAATACAAAAACCCTTGGAGCTAGGGTCATGCTGCAAACCCACCAAGGGCTCTGTTGCTCACGGAGAACCGGACCTTCCCCGTACACCCCGAGTAGCTTCAAGGAATTTGATCGAATGCCAATTTTGCACCTTTGCGCCGCGTGGCATCTGCAAGCCTCTTCTATACATTGCCCAAAAAGAGCCGGTTCTGGAAATGAGAAATGGACTGACCCCCAAGGGTCCTTGGCATGATAGGGGTGTCAAAAGGACCTTTTTTGGGACCCCCATATTCCATCGGTGGGACCCTTCAGGGCGAAAATAATCTCAAATTCCTTCGCCGACAACTTCCAAAGGAGAAGCCGCGACTTGTTGCACCCCCCCCCTTTCAACAAGAAACACACATAACAACAGGGATCCGGATGCATTCTACACCCGAACATTGCAACTTGTCAATGGTGGTGTCCCCTTTTGTTGGGTCTTGAAAAAGCCGCATGTTTCAAATGGATGGGCAACATGGAGATCTTTTAAAATTTTAAGCCCTGAGAACAACCCAGCACATAAATCAAGGAGCCCGGGAAGCCGCCAGGTGCTCTCTCTCTTTTTTTGAAGGCAAGTAGCCTCCAGGCCCCAAAAACTAAAACTTTAACACCTGACTCGCACCGGATCCTTGAAAGGGCTGGTCAAAAATAGGGTAACCCCAAAATGGAACTCTGGTAAATGGAACCAAAAACGAAAACCTGCGGTCCCCTGGTGGCTTAATTTTGACCCACACCCAAGTCAGGATCCGAGTTTGAATGAGATTCAACATGGCCGAAAACTATATGCCTTTCGCAACTCTGCCACCCCAAACCACCAGCCCCCCCACTTAAAGGGGAATTAAATTTGGTGTTGGTGTATTCACAGCATGTTCGACATCTTTTACCCCATTGCCTTTTGCCACTTCACCAATTTTTGAATTTGATAAAATCAATGCATTTAATGATGTTGTTGTTGCAGTATCATCGGTACCCGCTACACAAGGGGCAACATACTTTATAACAATTTTGCCAGGGCAACCTTGTCCCACCAAAATCACTACTCTCCAGGGAACATGCAAAAGGTATGTAGCAATCATTTTGCCAGGGTGTAGGGTGTAAGGTTGCTCCAAAAACCGGGTGGCTCTTTTAGGGGCACATGGCTGTGGCTCAGAAAACCGGCACACAATGGGTTGCCCTGGTGAGTGGAAACATGGACCAAAACCTGCGGTTTGCCCTCATGTGAAACATTTTGAGCCACACCCACATGTTGATCTGCGGACCCGCGGACCTCCTGTGTCTTGCTCGCAGTCGCTTCCGCACTCTTTACCTCTGGTCTGGCCTCCTTTCGAGGCATCGGCATCGGAACGGCTGGCAAGCATCGCACCTTACACTCCCTAAGATAGGTGGCCCTTTTTAGGTTGGCTTGGTGAAACAAATCGATGGGTTCCACCGGTTTAGATGTGGTTTAGATGCCCTTTGTTTGTACCTTGTGAGGACTTTGACACTTTGGGCCCCTCAGCTCTCTTACCCTCTCAAACTCTCTCTACCTCTCACTATCTCACGATCTCTCTCTCTCTCTCTCTCTCTCTGGCTCTCCGCACTCTCGCTCTCTCTCGCTCTCTCTCATCATGCTTGTTTCTGTTTCTCTTTGTCTTTCTCTTTATCTCTCTCTCTCTCTCTCACAGCAATCAATTCGCTGCGCGGCGACGCCTTATAAGAGTGCACCAGCCGGAATCAAGGAATCCCCAAGCAGAGGACGGGGGAACCCAGTAACACATGTGAACATGAAGCGTATGTTGTAGGAATTACCCTCAGCTTGAGCCCTGGCTAAGTCATGTCTTTACCTCCATTTGCTGAAGTCGCCTGGAAAAAAAACTTCCGGTAGTGATAGATTCCCCTTAAAACCAACAGGGGGAAATAACACATATTCTTGAGCAAATGGAAGATTATTATTCACCATATTCAGTGAAACTGAGAATGTAACATTCGAAGTTGTCCTGTACGCCTCATGTTGATGTCATTTCGCGAAGACGGGTTCCGAGCTTTTGCCGCAGCCTTGTGAAAAACCACTCCAAGCATGTACCTTGCCAGTAGAAGTATGTGCCCAAAAAGGCCTGGCCTCACGCAAAGAGATATTCCACTGCACCGGGAGTCTCCTTCTGACCCTCTTCCTGGTACTCAGGGAATGAAAAATGCAATAACCCCTATAAACCATCCTTTCCTTTGGACTCGTTCGTTCCCAAAACCCAAACTCTCAAAGTCAACCCATCCCTTGTGGTGTCCTTGAACGGTTTCATTCCCCAAACCCGGAAGGTCATTCCCTAGCTATCGCGCCAGCACAGGCCTAGACTGTCGGGATCTCGTGTTCCACTTGATCTTTGACTTCCCTACCAAAAAAAAACCGAGCAAACACCCGAGCTGCGAGGCTGCTGTTTTCGGGGGATGAACCAGCAGTTCGGCTTACCAGCTTGACCTACCCAGTGGATCCATTCGGCTCTGGCTCAAAAAAACCATGTGCCAAATGGCGATTCTTTTCCACCATCGTTCTTTTCAAAAACCGATCGCTGTTTTCCCAGGGTTCTTGGCGGTTTTCTAGAAAGAAGGATCCCTGGAAAGAATGGAAATGGAATCTACCCTTAGAATCCTTGAAAAAAATGGACCCACAAAAACCAAACCTGCGCAACCAACCCTTGCGTCATTTTCAGCCACGCCCAACTACGCCTCTGGTAGCCCAACCGAGGGCTTTCCCACCCTTTCCTGGGATCTTCTGGCTTGTGAGCCAAACAAAAACTTCTTTTTCGGGTGCCAAACATCCTTTCCAAGGTCCTCCAGATTTGAGAGGTTAGAATATCCCTGCCTCATCGCTAGGCGTGCTTCAAAGTTCAAGAGCTAGGGCAAACCGCAGGTCCCGGGTGTTTGCCTGTGGTTCCACTATCCAAGGTGCCACTTTGGGAAAAACAGAAGAAACAAAACACAAGTGCTTGAGCCACGGCCACATATCTCCCCATTTACACCAAAACGAACAACACCCCACAAGGACGCTCACTTCACGCCCCAAAAGGTGGTCTGCTAGCCGAAGCGAAATGGAGACTCCCCCTGAAAAACGCCAAACACCCCGGCCCTATGTTCTTCAGGCCCCCAACATTTCCCCCCCGCCTTCTTCGCGGAGCGCTGGCTCTTGCGGGGAGACACGATGCTGAAGCGCTTCCGAGTCCTGGGATGTTTTCTTTGTCCGTTGCTCCCTCCGAAGCAAGAGGTCTGGATCAAGCGAAATCCTGCACCACACGAAACCCGATAAATACTGGAACAAGCCACTAACTGCTGCAGGAGTCTGTCCACAGTACGGAAAAGCCATGTGTCAGAATGGGGCCCTGGACCCCATCCTGGCTTCTTTTCAAGAACCGAAAAGGGTACCTGAACCCGCAAACCCTTAAAAATGGGAACCCACCAACCATTCTTTTCGGGGCAATCAACCATTTTGGGTAGCGGGTGGTACCCTAAAACAACCGCAAACCCATTCTTCGTAAACTCATTTTGTCTACCGGGCCATCGGGCCACAATGGCTTCATGGGCCCAGGAACATGACGTAGACAACCACAATGGCCACAGATTCTAACAAATGAAAGCAAGGTAACAAGGAGACCCTCGTAAGGCATATGTTAAAGGACACCAACAGCAAAACCAATTTGTTGTTTGGGGGTCTCCTAGAACTGACCACCAAGTTTTCATGGTTTTGTGGTGGGGGGGTTGAGTGCCGTTGGTTTACTGAAGCTTTCGTTCTTCGGGAATCCAACGTGAGGGAGAACCACTACAAACCCATGTTGCCAGCCCCTTGTCGGACCCAGGTGCCGCGTTTCGTCGCCTTTTGTTTGACAAGACCCCCAAGTGGGGTGAACCTTGTTGTTGGCGGGTCAACCTTCCCAGCGCTTCCAGTTTCCACCATAGTAGGTTTTACATCATGGGGAAATCCTGGTTACCTACTACTATGATTTCTTGCCTGGAAGCACTGGCTGTTGTTAGGCGTGAAATTTTCCAGGTGCCCAACGACTAATCTGGCGAATCTAACACCCAAGTGTCAACCGCCAGGCCATGTTCGTAGAGAAATTATTTGGGAATCGTTCTGGTTGTCTACCCTTGGTTCATGGAAGTGGACGAGGGCCCTGAGAAAAGACGGTGGTCGTGTTGTTTTTACACAACACATCTTGTACACTCCTATGATCGTTGTAAAAAGGGTAGGCGTTTTGGGCGGTTGTGCAATGGATGTGCGTATGACACCCTTGGCTCCTCGAAAATGAAGTCCCACTCTAGGAAACGGTTTGGATGTGACTTTTGTGGATCCACTCCTGTAGAATATCAAAAGATATCAAAAGCGCATCCAAACCGTTTTCCGGTTCCAAACCATCCGCGTCCAAATGCCGACTAAGTTGCTCGGAGCTTGAAGACGATGCCTGGGAAACTGTCGTCGAAGCCTTCGCCGGGATCGGCTGGCTCCCCACCTTTTGCTGATCTTCGGCCTCGGACGAGGCTTTCTGGTTAGCAGTTGAAACCTTGCCACTCTTCGATCTATTGTCCTGCTGCTGCTTCTTCTGCTCTTCTGTGGCCTTGCGCGCATTCTTTCCTCTTTGGATCGCTTGGATCTTTGTCGCAGCCGCCTCTTCTTGCTGCTTTGCCTCTAGCTGGGCCGCTGACTTCTTGTCCTGCTGCTGCTTCTTCTGCGCTTCTGTGGCCTTGCGCGCATTCTTTCCTCTTTGGATCGCTTGGATCTTTGTCGCAGCCGCCTCTTCTTGCTGCTTTGCCTCTAGCTGGGCCGCTGACTTCTTGTCCTGCTGCTGCTTCTTCTGCTCTTCTGTGGCCTTGCGCGCATTCTTTCCTCTTTGGATCGCTTGAATCTTTGTCGCAGCCGCCTCTTCTTGCTGCTTTGTCTCTAGCTGGGCCGCTGACTTCTTGTCCTGCTGCTGCTTTTTCTGCTCTTCTGTGGCCTTGCGCGCATTCTTTCCTCTCTGTATCGCTTGGATCTTTGTCGCAGCCGCCTCTTCTTGCTGCTTTGCCTCTAGCTGGGCCGCTGACTTCTTGTCCTGCTGCTGCTTCTTCTGCTCTTCTGTGGCCTTGCGCGCATTCTTTCCTCTTTGGATCGCTTGAATCTTTGTCGCAGCCGCCTCTTCTTGCTGCTTTGTCTCTAGCTGGGCCGCTGACTTCTTGTCCTGCTGCTGCTTTTTCTGCTCTTCTGTGGCCTTGCGCGCATTCTTTCCTCTCTGTATCGCTTGGATCTTTGTCGCAGCCTCCTCTTCTTGCTGCTTTGCCTCTAGCTGGGCCGCTGACTTCTTGTCCTGCTGCTGCTTCTTCTGCTCTTCTGTGGCCTTGCGCGCGTTCTTTCCTCTCTGGATTGCTTGGATCTTTGTCGCAGCCGCCTCTTCTTGCTGCTTTGCCTCTAGCTGGACCGCTGACTTCTTGTCCTGCTGCTGTTTCTTCTGCTCTTCTGTGGCCTTGCGCGCGTTCTTTCCTCTCTGGATTGCTTGGATCTTTGTCGCAGCCGCCTCTTCTTGCTGCTTTGCCTCTAGCTGGGCCGCTGACTTCTTGTCCTGCTGCTGCTTCTTCTGCTCTTCTGTGGCCTTGCGCGCATTCTTTCCTCTTTGGATCGCTTGGATCTTTGTCGCAGCCGCCTCTTCTTGCTGCTTTGCCTCTAGCTGGGCCGCTGACTTCTTGTCCTGCTGCTGCTTCTTCTGCTCTTCTGTGGCCTTGCGCGCATTCTTTCCTCTTTGGATCGCTTGGATCTTTGTCGCAGCCGCCTCTTCTTGCTGCTTTGCCTCTAGCTGGGCCGCTGACTTCTTGTCCTGCTGCTGCTTCTTCTGCTCTTCTGTGGCCTTGCGCGCATTCTTTCCTCTTTGGATCGCTTGGATCTTTGTCGCAGCCGCCTCTTCTTGCTGCTTTGCCTCTAGCTGGGCCGCTGACTTCTTGTCCTGCTGCTGCTGTTTCTGCTCTTCTGTGGCCTTGCGCGCATTCTTTCCTCTCTGGATCGCTTGGATTTTCGTGGCAGCCGCCTGTTCTTGTTCTGTTGCCTCCTGCTTCGCCTGCTTTTGGGGCTTTTCAGAGGGCGAAATTGGGGCGGACGGTGCTGATGGTGATTGGTCCTGCGGGCGTATATCACAAGTCGCCTCGCAACAGCTCGCACCCATAGGTGTCCTTTTAGGGGAAATAGATGGGTTTCCCTGGTAGATGATTAAACCACCAGGTAAACCAAGGCCATCTATTTGTCTACCAAAACAGCCAAAAACGACACCTATGAGCGCAACGCTGTTCCACCACGCAAGGGCGCAGCTACTCGTGCAGGTGTCAGGAGGGACAGAAAAGGGAAACCAAGAGTGGACCATCTGCCGGTCCGGCTGAAAATATGAGACAAACGTCTTGAATCAACCATCAACCTCCGTGGGCAATTTTGGCAAACCAACTAATTAATCCCCACACGCCCCATGATCCTGGTAGAACAAGGGGACCCGTTTGAACGCTGAGAATTCTAGATGGGAGCCCACCAAACAAGAAGTTTTGTTTTTGAGCATTGGACCCAGATTTGCATTTGCCTGGTGGTACTGACAACTCGTGAATTTGGAAGTTCAGCGACAAAGCCCAAGTGGGGGCGGGGACGACTGGACAATTCCTAAATGATGTTCCTCCCTAGCCTCTGTTCCTGAAAAATGGCCTGCCAGTTCTCCCAGGTTAGTTGTTTAAAAGATAAAGCTCAAGTTGGAGACACTACCTGAAGGTCTGGGTGCTTTATGTTTTTTCTTTTTTTGAAAAGCATAGACCGCCTCAATGTTGGCAGGTCGAATTTCAGTTTCACCCCAAGGAGACACTGGCAAAAACCGCCAGTGGTTCCCGCCAATACAAGTATCGTGACTTCCTGCACCCGCCCAAATTGTCAGTGGGTGTCTGCGCAAGTTTCAGCCAAAACTTCAAAATGGGTGTGCCTTTTTTTTGTCGAGGACTCCATTCTGGTTTTCCTTCTGGTGTTCCTTCAGAAGCACAAGACAAACGTAGCCTCAGAAAGTTACCGCTATTAGGTAACCAGGGTTTCTTACCTCTAGGTGTTACATCATGGTTTCTCTTACTTGCCAACTTGGATGTTCGGCCAGGCTAGTAAGTGGTTAGCCACTTGGGTTATAACCCTGTAACAAAAGGTTCACATTCACGAGGGACATACAAGTGGCTTATAATTATAACCTAGATTACCAACAAACTCACTAGCTTGGCGAATCGAACATCCAAGTACTATACTAGGTCCTCCAGTAGAGAGGTTAGAATCAGGGTACCCTTTTTCCGTAGTCCAGGGAAACCCTCCCAACCAAAAAAGGGTGAGAGGTCGGGCACCTAGCTGGGGGACCTAGTACGACTGGCTTGCCTGGCTGGACAAAACCCGCTCGAGCCTCGCCCTCGCCAGGGAAGTACCTAGGGCGCCCGGGCGCCCGGTAGCCAGTCTCCTTCTGAACCCATGGGGGGGCCCATGGAAAAAGACAATCCCAGGTTTGCTGAAATTTGTGTGTGGCTCAAAATTAAAGAGCTGGGGTTTTAGTCTTTGGTTCCCTTTGCCAAGGTGCCAGTTTGGTACATGTATTTGAGCCACAGCCAAATGAACATTGTCCTTTACTACTGCGGATGGTTGCGAAATCATTTCATTGCGCACCACCGAGATCAGAAACCCCTTCTGTCTGATTCGATTCCCCTTGTAAATACCAACAAACAGTGTTTCCAACCATGGTCTCAAAGTGGTGCGGAATGGATTTCGTCCATCCATAGTCTAGGGTGGAGCCTCAACAAATACGTTCTTGTTGACAAAACCATATCCTACCCAGTGCTTCCGGTGCTTTGCCACTTTTGTAGGTAACCAGGGGATTCCCCAAGATGAAAAAAACCTAGAGGTGAGAAACCCTGGTTACGCACCATATCAGGTCACTGGAAGCACTGGGCAAAACAAAGGGGTCATGACCCAAGATGGCTTCGATTCTGGTGGATTTCTCAAAAAAAAACCTGAGAGAAGGGGGCCCCGGGGCCAAAAACCCTCAAACAACTGTACCTGGAGTCTCGGGTCACCCGAAAAAAAGGGGCCACCAACCATGTGCAAAGGGTCAGAAGGAGACACCTACCAAAAAAAAACAAACAACAACTGCACTTGATGGCTTCCTAGTTTCAGCGGGCGTTCGGGTCATGATAAATTAAAAAAAATGAACAGCTTGACCAGGTTCCCAATATTTGTTTTGGTTTCTTGCACCTCACCTTTTGGTTGCGAATGTAAAATGAGCCTCTTTTTTAAAGGGGAGAAGCAAAGGAGCTCTGAAACAGAGACTTGCTGGTGCTGAGTAGGGAACGACCCTCCAGGTGTTGGAAATGAACCTGTGGATTCCCCAAAGGAAGCTCATTCCCTGCTGAGAACCAGCAAGAACACTCCCCCCCGGAAGGTCCCCCACTTGGTTCGAGCGAGCTAGACTGACCCGACTGAACCATCCAACTGGCGAAATGTGGCGCTCGACCAGTCCCAAAGCGGAAATGTCATGGAGCTAGAAAAAGGTGATCTATGGCCATGTGTGCACCTACCAAACAACGAGGGGGGATTCTAAGGGATTGTGCACCCAACTTGGGGATTCTAAGGGATTCCTAGGGGATTCTAAGGGATTCTAAGGGATTCTACCAAACAACAAGGGATAGCACTGAACTTGAAGGATTGTTTGAGGGATTTCGTCCGGGATGCCTAGTCTCCGAGGTTGTCTTTCTGGCTCCTGTTCTTCGGGTTTTCAGCATACCTCACCCAGGCTGTCCTAGCCAGTTCACCTTTTGGTCAAGTTTCGAAACCCTCTCGTCCATTTGCTCTTCGCCCCTTGGACAGAATAAAACATGTGTCCAGTAGTGATGGATTCCCTTTAAAACCAAGGGAAACTATGACACATATTCTTAAGCAAGTGGAAGCTCTTGAATCATTGAGGCTCGAAAAAGCGAACCGTAGTTTTCCTCTGAGTTGGTTGGTCAACAAATAGGTTGCTTCCTGTGAGTGGCCCGACTGTCCGCAGGTTTTAGGGAAACTTCTTGGGGGCCACTAAGATGGGAACCCAAAAAAAAACGGAAAACCGCAAGCTGAAAAGGTGGAGTGGCTTTGCTTGCCTTGGCGAGACTTGTTGTTTGTTTTTTTCCCCGTAAAAAATATCAACCAAAAGCTTTCGGTTGGCAACTTGAAGACCCTTCTTTTTTTCAGTTTTGTTTTTTTGTTCCTGTCTCAAAGTGAGGTCTACACATGTGAATCTCTACGGGTGGATTCAAACGACGTTTTTCAATCATCGTTATTTTCACAAAGCCGTTTCCAAACAGGGTGTTCGATGGTTGGAAGCCCCCCCTAGAGAAACAAGATTCTGTGCGTTACTCTCCCAAGTCGACATGAATGTTCACCCAGGTGTCCAGCGACCATGGTAAGGGAACCTCTTTCGGTGCCACCGCCTGTCCTGAACCCCTTCCAGTAGCCCCAAAGTTACGAATCAACAATTGGCTCCTGAAATGGCCGGTGTAATTTTTTGCTTTGCCTTCTTCAACCCTTTAATACCAACCACAACAAGGGTCCACCGGTCTACCATTTTGAGCCACCAAAAATCTGCCCTTGGGCCCCTGTCCCGCCCGATCCGCCCCTTTGGCCGTACCCTTCCCCGGCCTCAAGACCAGGGGTCGTGTTTTCAGCGCTGCCTTGAAGCTATCGCTCTCCATGTCCTCCGTAGCCTCCGCTGTGGATGGACGATGGTTTCCCATGGTTTCTTAGGTCTCGCAGGATTTCGTCCATCCACAGTAGCTCATTTTGGCTCGTTGCTCTGACACCCGTCGTTGCATTGAAAACAACCCCGGGATCAATCAGCACCTAGTTGGTTCACACATGTTTTCTCCTTTTAGGGCTTGGATTCAGACCACTTTTGGAGGAGCCCCCACCCCCACACACTAATAAAACCGGTCTATTCATCCGGGGTCAACACTACTATGGCTATTTCTTGGTTGCTCTGCAAGAAGCATATGTTTATTCACTTGTGGCGGGTCCAATACGGAAATCCACAAAGTTTCAACCAAAAGGTGAAAGTAACCAAAGATCCGTTGCCAAATAGCCATCAAGGTTGCTGACTCAGTTGTCCCTTTAGGGACCCAGAAACAAAGGGTTAACCCTTTGGGGCCATAAGTAAAAATGGGAACCAAACAGTGATTGTCCCATGAGGTAAGTTGGCTCGATATGACCCACAACCCCAGTCTAATTCCCAGAAAAAAAGAAAGAAAGCAAAAGGCGCACTCCTTTTTTGTGTCCTCCCAGCATGGACCCCTAAAAAGCCACCCATGTGTAACTCCTTGTGGGAGAAGGATCACTCGGGGTTCCTTCTCTTAATTCCCAGGGTCGATTTTTGTTGGCACGCCCTACAGATTAGCATGGAACCCATGCGAAGCACCATGTGAAACTCCTTTTTGGGGGACCTGTCTGTGGGGTTCCTCCTATGAATTTCTGGGGGAGCCGATTTGCTGTGAAGCGCCCTGGGAAAGCCCCCGCCTGGCCGTTCAGTGCCACGATCTCGTCGCCTAGCTCGGTGCATCGCACCAAGGGACCAAGGGGAGTGAGACAAACAAGACGACCGAGAGCAAAACACAGCAAGCAACAACTTAGATCACAACCAATCGAAACCAAAACAAAAAAACGAGACCTGAGCAAAACGCACTAAATCAAACTTAAAAACACATACACAGTCACAGCGCCCTTGTTTCGGGTGACTCAGCCCCTTGGTCGTACCTTGAAACAAAAACCACCTAGGTCCTCCAGTAAAGAGCTTAGAATAAGGGTGCCCTTTTTTCTGTAGTCTATCTTAGTAGGGGAACCCTCCCCCAAAAAAGAATTGAAAGGGCACTACTGGGAGACCTAGCCACATAGACAGCGACACGGAACAACAAAAACGGAAAGAACTCCAGTTCCCTGCGCGCGCCTGGGTTCAAGCCCACCACCTCCGCCCAGGTGCCGGCTGCCACCTACCGCAAGCCCGAGGCGGCAATGGCGGCGGGTCCGAGCGAAATTTCCCCGCCCAGAGGCTCTTGGCTTCGGCTTTCAATGGAAGACCCGACCCCTCCACCAGACATGCCGGGAATTGGTGGTTGGGACCCGGTCTCAAAACCAGGTTGTTTGAAGGCAACCTTTATCAATCGGGAGCCTCTGGGCGGTGGCTGTTCTGCTTCTTCCGCTCTGTGACGGCTTCTCCCTCTTTTCCTTAGGTTTGCCCCAAAAGCTCCAAGCGCTTTTTGTTTTGAAGGGATGGGGTTCTTTTTGGTGGTTCCCGAATTAATGAGGTTTCGTCTGTGCTTTTGGCCTTCGTTGGTCACTTCTGGAGTGGAGTAGCCAAAACAAAATCCGTGGACCTTCTGTTTACCACTAAGATGGTCCAGCCCCCCCCCAAAAAAAAAGAGAGAAGAAAGTCTAGTCCAGAAACTTGAGGAGTGAGTGGTGTAGAACAAGAGATTTAACTTTTGGTTTTGCCACTCTCCTCTTGTTTTTCCCTTTCAAGGTAGAGAGTCCAAGTAGGTACCCCATAGAAAACGGTTTTTGGCTTGGGTTCAAGGGATTCGTCAATTGCAGATTCAAGTTAGCAAGGGTTGAGCCACTTGGGGTATAGCCCCCAAATAACAAGGTTAACCAGTTTAACCCCACTTAGGGGGATTTACAATCTATAAGTGGGTTTAAACCAATGTTACTGACAACTTAGTAAGTTGGCTGAACACCCAAGTACCAAGGGACTATGTGGGATTTGTTTGTTCCAAACCCTCAACTGGACACCCGAATGCCGATCCACAGCCGTGCGTCTGCCCGCGCACGACGACGCCGGACGGGGTGCCCCTGCCTTGTTTACGATGACACGCTCCGGCGGCATCTGGCGGAAGGACCTTGACGGAGGCAACAAAGTGCCAGTTTCCAGTTGCCAGTTGCCAGAGGGTCCCCCTGCTTGGATGACTTCCTGGAGTCTCCATGACCCTTAAAATGGGGTCATTACCCTTAAGATAATAGGGTCATTGACCCATTTTTATTTCGGGTCATGGAGACTCCAGGTTGGGTTTCTTAACCCCCTAACAAGGTTAACCCCACGTTCACGGGGGACTTATGACTTAGGCTACAACCTATTAACTTGGCGAATCGAACACCCAGGTGGTAAAAAGGCCACCCGTTTTGGTGTTGACATTTGTTTGTGAACATCCACCGAGCAGAAACGGACAACGGGTGTGCCATCACCTGGGACTAGCTAGCCCTGAACCACATCCCCCAAAAGTAAATCGGGTTGTACACCCTTGATGTAATCGCTACACAAAGCTTCTACACCCACTTTCTGGGGTGCTGTTCAAGAATGACTTTTGAAACGCATGTCTTTTTTTTTCACATGCCCAAGTATTAAGATTAAACTGTCGACCAAACAAGCAAAGTCGACTCCTACATTTGGAATTTATCACTATACTGGAAATACATGCTTACAGTATTTATCCCAGGGAGTCAAAAAGCAAATGGAAGAAGCGGTGCGGATGGTTGCAAAATCCATTTCGCATCTCAGAAATCTCACTCCCCAAAGTAAAAAACCAACAAACAATGGTGTCTTTCCTTGGATGCTGTAGATTCCCCAGCAAAAAGTTTAACTTTTTGCTAGTTAAAAGGAAATATGAGGAGAATCCAAAAAGTTAAAGTCTAAAGATCCAACCCAATAGCAGTAGAGTTTCAAAGTGGCATGGGTTTTGTCCACCGTACGGATGCATCCGAAATCGCCTCACAGCTATGGTGGATGCCCTGAATGACCAACCATGCTGAACCACAAAACCATGGTTGACATTTCGGCAAAAATGGCTTATACTGACCCCTTCTACACGGTGAATTGCCTAAAAGATGCGAGTAAACCAAGCATATTCAAACCGCATGCCCCTCCAGGTTACCGTAAGTAGGTGCTCCTCGGGGCTTCCCTCTCCGGTTGAATCAACCAATTCCCTCGGCATACCTGGAGTCTCCTTCTGACCCAAAGCGACGGGTTGAAACATGACCCGGAAATACTGTGGATGGACGAAACCCATTTCGCACCACCTAAAGAAACCCCGGTTTCTGATGATTCTCCTGCAAATACCAAGAAACAATGGTTTCCCATGGTATGAACGTGGTGCGAAATGGATTCTGTCCATGGTAAGGACCCATTGGTTTAAAAACATCGCCATGCGGAGGTTCCAGTTTTTTTCTCGGATTCGAGGCATTCTCCCCCAAAAAGAACCGACGCCCCAAAACCGCGAAAAAAGACGGTACCGTTCGGGATTTTCTCCTGGGAGTGAAGTTCGAAGTTCCCACTCACCAGGATTGACCTATAGTAGATTTTCAGGTTGACACGAACCTAGTCAGTACCAACTTCATATGGCTTCCTCGAGGTTTTACATCAAGGCTTCCCTTTTTATCTACTATACTTGGCTGGAATTAGTTGACCCCAGCAGAAAAAACAACTGATTTTGCCTGGTTAGTGGAAAACAAAGGGAACCCCCAAAAAGCAGAAAAGCAAAAAGGGGAGCGAATACTAATTCTGGTGAAGTATAGTGGTAACTGCATGGTAACTGGATGGCAACCTAGGTCCTCCAGTAGAGAGCTTAGAATAAGGGTACCCTCTCTTTTTTCAGGACGTCTATGCCCTCCCCAAAAAATGAAACGGTAAAAGGGCACTACTGGGGGGACCTAGTAGTAGACGAACCTAGTCAGGAATAACCTAGCTAGGACTAACCAAGTCGACGAACCAGCACTAACCTAGTGCACAACCTTTCACTGGGATATGGACCCCCGCAAAAAATGGGGGGGGGGGGGAGGTGATCCTCAAAAATTGCTTCCGTCTCAAAAAACCTACCCATCCGCACACATGGAACCTCAATTCCTTCAGGACTTGGGCCCCTCAGCCCCACGCAGCCCGATCTTCTCTACGGAGACATCGGCGATGACCTCTTCCGGGTCCTCGGAGATCCAACTTTCGATACGCGACCAGCCGATCAGTCGACACGACCGAGATGCGAAAAAGAAAAGCACAAGGAGGGAAAGCTGGGAAACACGGAAGTTTTTCATGTCCCTACTCGAAAGTTTCAACGTCAGGCAACTAGGTCTAGGTCCTCCAGTAGTTTGAGAGGTTAGAATAAGTTGGTAGCGTCTCTTTTTTCTGTAGTCTATTTTAGTAGGGTTCCACCCTCCCCCAAAAAACGGTAAAAGGGCACCACCAGGGGGACCTGGAGATTATAAACCAAAGTACGGAACAAACAGTCCTGAGAACCCACAGAAGCAGCAGGTTCTTAGATGTTCTGGGACGAACCGCTAAATGGAAAGTAATCCTGGTTATAGGGGACTTGCAACCATGGTAAATGGGTTTCCACTAGGGCTACTAACCACTTCGCGATTCGTCCCAGGCCATCCAAGTACTGGACAACATTCTGCTGGCCGACTTGCTTGGGCAATCCGTGAAGGAACCGGAATCACATTTAGGGGGGCAAACACATGGCCAGCCTTACCTTTTTTGGATGTTCAACCAACTTAGCAACTAGGTTATAAGCTAAGTGAGGTATCTGGGGTGATCGTACCCTTGTAACCATGGTATGGTTGTAACCTCCTTAGTGCGTTTGTCGAACATCCAAGTAAGGGTCCTGATGGAATTTGGGTTCAAGTAGGTACCCCAGAGAAAACGGTTTTTGGCTTTGGTTCAAGGGATTTCGTTGCTAAGTGTTGATCGCCACTTGGGATGCAACGGTATAACGCCCTTGTGACAAGGACCCCGCTGAACAGGGGACTTATACGTGGGCAATAACCTAGGTTGCCGATACAACTGTCTAACTTGGCGGATCGAACACCCAAGGTAAGGGTCCGATTGGGGCTTAGTATGCAGAACCTGGGACCCGGCCCCCTCGCCCAAGGAAAACCAAAGGACCACCGAAGCCATTCCTCGGTTGCTTTCTGCTCCCCTGCTAAAAGTGAATAACTGTTCGTGGTTCAATACGGAAAACCCATTAGTTGGCAAAAAGTTCAAGTCCTAACATCCCGTGGCAAAATGCAACAAAGATTATTTTGCAAAGGCGGGGGGGTCAGAAAAGAGGAAACCCGCCCATGGCTTGCGAACATATTTTTCGGTGCCCTTCTGGAGGCTGATCTCTGAGGTACCGGGCGCTCAACGCATACCTCGCGGGGGGGAAAAAAGCGCGAGGATTGACGCTTCCTTTGCTTGTGATCGGTGAGATAGGGAATCACCCAGTTTTTGGGGTGAAGGGAACGAAGCGCTTGGGAATTCCCGAATAACGAAAACCATAGGGCATGGCACATAGACCCTCAAGCTATTCTTAATGATGGGGAACCACCAACCGTATGTCTTTAAATTGATGTTTGTCTTTCATGTACCTGCGCCCAACTACCCTTAAAACATGGTTGAAACCATCAACCAGTTTTGGGGGCAATAACGCAGCATGGGTAGTTTGAGGGTCCAGCTACCTACTTTCAAGGACATGTGTCATGTACCCTCAAACTACCCTAAAAATGGGAAACCACCAACCTCATTGTTTGGGGCAATTCTACGTACCTTCCCCATTCTTTCCAGGGCTCCTTCTTTCTCGAAAACCTTCGGAAACGCAAAATTAGTCGGTTTTTGAAAAGAATGATGATTGAAAAGAATGGGGAATCAACCCCTAGAGCAATAACCAATTGTGAGTAATGCTGACTAAATAATCAACCCCCCAGGTATTCAGGGGGGTCCGTGGGGTCCTTTGGCGGGGAAGCCTTGCTTCCAACGGGACCGCGACCACTGATTAATCACTGGGGGGGGGGGTATTAATAAGGGTCGACATTAGGTTTAGGGTCCAGGTGTTGTTGGGTTTCTCTTGGATCTGATTCTTTGTCGTTTGGCTTCTTGTTGTCCTCCTTGGGTCTTCGGGTCTTCGGTTTGGAGTTCGGGCTCGCTTGGGTTTCCTTCAGATCTCCAGTAGCAAAAAAAAACAGGAAAACAAACAAAACACATCCCCGCTTAAAAAAAAAGAAAAGCAAAACATGTCATGCAAAAAAGAACAAACACCAAAAAATCACTCCTGAAAAACAAGCACAAAACGGCCTCCATGTCCATTGTTTGATTTCTCGGCTTCCTTTGGTCTCCTTTCCAGTTGCCATCCTTTGGGCTTAAGGTTTGCTGTCCGGCTTGGGTTCCATACCCGCCGTGTTTGATGTTGGACACATGCCTTCTCTACATGCTTTTGTGGGCGCTTTTTTTGGGGGGGACCACGCAAAATGGTGCTGCTCCTTTTGGTTTCCCTTCAAAAGCAACCCAAAAAAAGGTATACCCTAGAAAAGACAGACCCATGTTTGCTTTATGTGTGTGGAAACTCCAAGTCCTTGGAATGGAAACCCATTTGTAACGGCACCATTGGTTTATGGGGACTGGGAATCCCAACACTTGGGGTCTCAAGGATCCAAAGCGTGGCTACCTTCCGAAAACACCCAGCATCACCAGTTCGCATTTCTCCTTGGCTTGGATGGGTGGTTTGGAGCTTGCGGAACTGTCCCCTTTGCTGTAACCACCAATTTGAACCAGCAATACATGGTCCACGTGATGGAATAGAGAGCCGTGGCGATGCCTTTTTTAGGAACCCATAGCCTGGCTGTCTGCATTCCCCAACAAGGAGTTGATGACCGGAATAAACACTCTTCATGTGAGCCGTGGCGATGCTTCCCTTGGGAACCCATAGCCTGACCATGCCTGCTCTCAAGTCACTCGGAGGAATCGCTAAGTGGTTAGTCACCCTAGTTGTAACCCACATAGCATTGTTGTAAGTTCCCAATACCCAGAGTTATTAGCTAAGTTCCAGAACATCCAAGCAAGGACTTCATTCATGCACATGAACAGCTCCGCGTGATTCAACACTCTATGCCAGCAGAACACAACTTAGGCGGTCTGATTACCCTACTTGCCAGGCATACCCACAAAAGAGAGAAAAGCGGTTCAAAGGAGACCCACCGGAAAAAAAGAAGGACGCATTGGTTTGGTTTTTAGGCATTCAGGGCAACCCATCCCAAACTTGGCCCATCCCAAGGTTGCAAACTAAAAGGAGAAAGAAGAGAGACAGGGAGAGATTCTGCTTCGTATTTGGTCTACGCCGAAATACTGTGGATGGACGAAATCCTGCAATTCGGGTGAACTAAACCCTAAAGTACTATACAATGGGACAAACAACATACTAACTGATGCAAAGTTGATGCTGTCCATCCACGGAACCCGCTCGCAACTGTAAGTCACAAATTCCCGGCACTCAAAATCATAAGATGCCCTCTTCACTCAGATGGGCTGGTCGTTTTCTGGAGAAAAAACATCAAATCGGGTTCTGTTTTGTTTTTTTGTTTTGTTTTTTGTTTCTTTTATTATTATTATTTCCCCTTTACCACACGGTCGAAACGGGTAGCCTCAAAACAATCAAGCCCACGTCGAACAAAAAACGGAGCCCAGTCGCGGGGGGATTTCGCCCGCCTGAGCACCAGCGGTCTAGCTCGCAGCGCTCGGGTGAAGGCTTCCGTGTCCATGGTATAGATCTCCTGAATCGATTTGCTCAAGGGCCCCCTGGATTTAAAAAATCGCCCATGGGGCGTGGATCTGGTCCACAGTGCGAGGTACGCCCCCTGGAACAATTCGCCTACTTGGGCGTGAATTTGGTCCACACGAGGAATGACATCGAATCCACTTAGGCTTCGAAGGTGGTTCGCTTCAAGGCCGACCTTTTCCATAGCCTACTTGAGTGTGCGTTGCCAAGTTAGCAAGTGGTGATCGCCACTTGGGCTTTTGTCACCCCCTTATAACAAGGTGAACCCCGCTGAATGGGGACTTTTGTGGGTTGTAGGCTAGGATACCAACAACTTGCTAACTTTTCTGGAAATAAACCCAGTAATATCCCCGAAAGGCCTGGAAGCCCCTGCTTTGGGCAGAGACCCCCCAAGTTGGGGAAAAGTTCAACTCTTTCCCACCAGGGGAAAATGAAACATAGGTGTATCTTTTTTTTTGGGGTACCCTTAAACAGGATTGGTCAGCCCAGTGCTTTCCGTTCCCACTATAGTAGGTAACCAGGGTTTGATAGCTCCAAATTTTACATTACGATTTCCCTGGTTGCCTACTATCGTTGTAGCTGGAAGCACTGGGAAGCATACCTGAAAGCAAGAAAAAATGCCATGGCCTGAACGTTTACCTTTTTGCCAACCCAAAATTGGTACCCTCAAAGAACCAGCCCTACACTAGGGTGGCAACAAATCACAACCTTTGCGTTTGTCGTGTGTTTTTTGGAATCCATTCTCTCTATTTTGGCTTCCAGAAAAATTGACAAAACATTGGGTTCCCTGCCCAGAGGGTTCCTTGGTCCCGAACAGATTGCGGATTTCAGCACATCCTTTTAGTAAACCCAAGACCGCTTCAAGGGACCTCCCCGCAACCTGGGGTACGTACTTGGACCTTTCCAGGCGGCGCTTGCCAGTATAGTACCCTTTCGTTATGGTGGCTACCTCTAGGTTTTACATCATGGACGATTTCCCCTGGTTATAATAGTGGCTTGGCTGGGAACACTGGGTGGGGCATGTACTTGGCCCTTTGGGGCGAGTCTGCATTGCCAACTTGGATAACGAGAATAACTATTTTTGTGAGGTCGGGCACAATGTACTTTGACACTGCCCACATTGGAGTCTTGTGTTAACACAAACAAAACAACAAACGAGCGAACGAACAAACGAACGAACGAACCAACCAACCAGCAAATCAAACAAACAAACAAACAAGCAATCAAGCAAGCAAACAAACAAGCAAGAAGGCAAGCAAGCAAGCAAGCAAGCAAGCAAGCAAGCAAGCAAGCAAGCAAGCAAGCAAGCAAGCAAGCAAGCAAGCAAGCAAGCAAGCAAGCATGCAAACAACAACACCAAACCAAGCCAGGCCAAGCCAAACCAACCCAAGCCAAACTAAACCAAATTAACAAAAGAGCGAACACAACAAAACCAAACACACACACACACACAAGGACACAAGCAAAGCACAAACAAACAAACAAACAAACAAACCAACCAACCAACCAACCAAACAGACAGACAGACAGACAGACAAGGCAAGCAAGCAAGCAAACAAAATACACACACACACACACGCATAAACAAACGGAGGTCCACGGCGAGACACAAGCACATACGCAAAACATGCCGTGGGGTTGACACATGAACGCACGCTCTCCTGGCCGTTCACCTCCAGGATCTCGTCCCCTGGCAGATTAGCGCAAAACCACCAAGTCCTACAAAAATGCCACATCGTGTGCGATGTTTAGTGATGTCCGAAGCCAACCCCCCAAAGTTTTGTAGGTTTCATGTAATGCTAATGCTAATGCTAAAGGTCCCTATAATACTAAAACCGACTCTTGAGAATCCCAAATCCAGAAATACTACTTTTAGAATAGCACTGAACCAACTCTAAAATAGGTATTTTCCTGCCCGCGCCCAAATCCAGCTTTATTAGGGGACCCTTTTTACACCTTCAACCCTTCAAACCACATTGGGGGCTTGTTGTAGAGAAGGGGCACCAAGGGTTCTTGCTGAATCGGGGTCGTCCGCTGCCTGCATTTATTCGCAGGTGGCTCAGGTAGCTGGCTGTCTTGCCAGTTGGCCTGCCTGCCTACGAGCTGACTGACTGGATGGGCAGGCTCTGTCCCAAACACACCCCTAGAAACAACTACCTAAACATCCCTTAATTCTGCACGGCTGTGCTTGTGGTTGCAAAACAGGGGTACGGCTACTGCACGCACAAGTCAAGTCTTCCCGCTCATGCTTACAAGATAGAAAGAAACTGGCCTTCAAACCGAATTGCTACTTGGTGTCATTTGGCGAGTTGGTGGGTGCAGAATGCTTTCCCATAAAACTTGCACTGCCGAAATCAATGCTTCCACTACCTGTCCTTAAATGCGTGGATTGCAATGCGTGGGGCCACGAACCCAAACTCACGAACCCACGTTTGTCGCTGCGTCAAACGTGGGCTCAGCGGACGGGACTGAGTTGGGCCGAAGCCCATCCGTGCACTAGCGTCAGGAGCGCATTTGTTTTTCGCTTCGCCGCTTTCTTTGTTTCTGGATCATCTTCGAAGCAAACCAGCAGCTCTCTCTGCGTCATTTTATGAGTACCGTCTATGTAGGTGTCGAAGTTCATATTGGAAGGCTGGATGCGCTCGAGCTTGTGAAAAGACTCCTGCGACGTTGCCGCACCCTGTTGGGTTGCTCGCACCGCGGTTCACTGACTTTTTTTTCTCAACGTTCGGGGGCCTGGCCTCTCGCACAAACACCATTTGGAAGCTGCTGTTGGCCGTCTTGTCGGCAAGTCCTCTGTGCCCTGCGCAGACAAGAGTGTGGGGCTGAAGCAGCCCGGCTGCTTTGAGGTTCGGTCTGGATTTGTTCTCCTTGACATCGCGTGCGGAAGGCAGAGCTGGAGGCCCAGAAGCGCTGCTGGACTGCCTCCGCAGCTGCTGGAATTCGAGGTCGCCACTCTTTGTCGGGGCCCTCTCCACCAACCACTCATGCAGACTGGCTAGGTGATCTCTTTGCTGGTTTTGCCAATGCCACTCTGCTTCCACGTCGGCCTGCTGCAAATAGCCGCACGCTCACGTTGCAGGCGTGGCGCCTCAGTCGTCACGCTCTTCCTTTCCTGCTTTCTCGTGTGTTCGTAGGTCTGCTTAGCCAGTCTCTCCAAACAAGCAGTGGCTGGCTGGCTGTGCAGACAAAGCCCAGTGTCTGGGCTAGATGCGTCCCTGTCACGATCTCACACACCACAGCTGGCTGGCTAGCCGTTGTCAAATATGACATGTCAAACAAGAGCTGCTGCCCATCTCTATCTTCGTCTCTCTCTCTCTCTCTCTCTCCGCTTCTTCTCTCTCTCCCAATGTAAACTGTGGCAAGTTGCCTGCTGGGCCACCTGTACTGGCTGAGCTGCTGGCTGTGGAGGGTCAAGCACTTTCGCAACATGCTTCTGGAAGCCTGGCTGTCTCCTTCCCTCTCTCTCCTTCTTTGTCCGACTTTGTCCACACAAAAACGATATAATAAAAGACTTAACTATTTGTCTCCCAGATTTTTCCGAAAACAAACTGGGGGCTAAAACTGGTTTTCCCGGGGGACCCACTTAGTGTTAGGGGGGCGGGACGTTTAGCATTAGGGGGAAAGGAGTATCTCGCCCCTGGCATTTTGACGCTTTTGCTGCACAAGGCCATAAGGTTCCATCTGGACCAGATCTCACACAAATCGCACGAACAGATTTGAGGTCCAGCACTTCCAAACGGCGGCGCTGCCCCCGCGAGCGCCTCTTGTTTCTTGTGTGTTTGTTTGTTTCTTTTTTGGGAGGCCGGGGTATGTCCTCCGTTGAGGAGCTCATCACATGACCCTGACAACTGCTGAGTGGAGGTGTGCCTTCTGCACAGCCGGCACAAGCCGTTGCAAGGCTTGGGCTTTTCATGGACACACTAGCTCGTGTCGTTGGAGGTGGTCCAGAGCAGACTGTTCCTTGGTGCCAGATTACACCGAAACCCCAACGCGCTACGCGCTTCCACTTGCACGGCTGTGGCAGCCTGTCCGCCACAATATTCGACCAAGGAATGGCCCTTCTCTTCGCAAGACCAAGCGCTTCCTGGCTCCAATGTTCAGCGTGGCAGCTACAGAGCAGCGGATGCTGAGCAAATCAATTGCAAGTGAGTGACTGGTGGTACTTGCAGTCTTGACGGCAGGTGGAAGACCACAAAGACAGTTGTGAGGGACAGCAACCGTTCCCGCTGCAATACATCGGAAGATGAGACTGACACAGTGCCGCAGTGGCGCACGTCGAACCGCGGCAGAGATAGATGGGATGCAGCTGCAAAGGTCGTGCAAGAGTCGTTCATGCATTGACCCCTTCGTCTTCTGGGTCCAAATCATTATGGCGGGGACTACATTTTCCGATCTTGGTGGTGCCGGGCGGCCAGACTAAACAAAAAAGCATTAAACACATACACCAGCGCAGACCCCGGCCTAACACTGCTCGAGGATTGTGCCCTGACCTCGGGCCCCCACGGTGGCCAGTCCAACCTTGAGGCAACTCAAGCCATTCAGCACCTCCAACAGCGCCTGAACCAGCACCCCAAACTGCATGCCCTCTGGCACCGCGTCGGCAATCTTGCAAAAATGCGCCCACACACGCCACACCGTCGCCAGCACCTCCACCAGCACCCCAAACTGCATGCTTTCTAGCACCCAGCCGTGAATCTTGCTAATCACTTTCCCCTCTTTACTAGAAGTGAGAACCCTATAGCTTTCAGTTATGTGGGGAACAAAACAATGTATTGTATGTTTAGAGGAGTCTCCTTTCTTTGTGGCGGCCATATTTGTCTACTCACTTGCTCAAAGGACCTAGAAATAAAAGTTTGACCTTTTGGGGCCTTTGCGAAACGTGGACCCAAAAAGAAAACAAACATGTTAAAAGGTCGGTTTTGAACAACCAAGTCAATCTGTTCGGGTTCTATGTCATTCTCCTGCATTTGTGTTGCGTGGAACTCTTTTTCTGGAGGTCCTCCAAAGAAGGGATGAGTCTACAAAATCGTGAGCAAGGACCCTGTTGCATACTCCTGCAAATCAACATTAACCCAAAAAGGAGGGATTCCCCCAACGGAGATTCCCCTACTTGGGCAAGCTACGCACGTAGGAAATAACCCGGTCATAGGAACAATCACCCCCAGTTATCCTACTTATAACCATAGTTATAACCTACTTACCTGATATTGGTTGAACATCCACTCAGTATTGCAGGCAACCACCTTCTTAAAAATAGAAAAGAGTATAGCTGGCTACCTACTATATGGGGGTTGATCAATATTCCTGGCCCCCAAGTGATCACGGGCAACTCTTTTCATTTCGTGGGGAGCTTCTCCCCATATTTTTTGGGGGGGCGTCCCTGGGTGAAATGTGGGGAAGCAGATCACTTTTGGAGGGGCGTTCCATGAAAAATCAACTGGTGGGTTGCCTTTCTCTATGGGGTCAACAGTCTCGCAGACCTTTTGATCAACCCCTATGGCTTCTAGCTCCTCCAGTAGAGAGGTTAGACTAAGTTGGTGCCAACCTTCTTCTTCCGTAATCTATTTTAGAAGGGGAGCCCTCCCCCCAAAAAAGAATCGGTAAAAGGGCACGACTGGGGGACCTAGTTATCTACGGGGTCTTCCCATGTATCACAGACCTTTTGATCCACGGATCCACCCAGCGAAGCTCCAGTGACTCCTCAAACCTCCGACTCGCCTCGCTGGAAGCCCATCTCGTCCGCCCAGGTTCCAGGCGCCACCTGCGGGCTTCGAAATCCACGAGGCTGGGGATGTGTCAACCTGCACCCTGAAAGTTCCGTTGAAACGTGGGTTATAGCCCGAAGAATAGATGGGGTGACGTCCCTTTGTGGGTAGTTTGAGGGTTGAGGAAAACTAGTTCCCGAAAGAAATGGGCCTAACAAATATGAGGTGACGGCCCTGTATGGGTACCTGGAGTCTCCTTCCGACCCGTATACAATGGTTGGTCAATACCCAAAATAATGGGGTCATTGACCCATTCTCAAGGGGTCATGGAGACTCCAGGTAGTTTGAGGGTTGAGGAAAATCTCAGATGCCCTTTTCTTGCGATCGGTGCGATTGGTAGAGAATAACCCCACTCGAACCCGGGTTTGGGGATTCCCGAAGAAAGGAAACCACCAGGGATGGTTTATAGGGGCATTTCATTTCTCATTCCCTGCTTTTCGTGAATTTCACCAAAGTTCTTCCTGGCCCCTTTTTTTGGTAATCTGGTAGTACTCTTTTAATATGCTGCAGGGCGGAGCCACAAATGCCAGGATCCAAACCAGATTCTAGATTTAGGAATCTAGAAATTCAAAAGATTAACAAGCCCATCTGGCGAACGTCTACCCTGACTGTTCCCTGCGAACATCACGAGGTGGGTGAAGCATGAACAAACAACTGACACAAGCGCAAGTGGTGGTACTGGGCAAGATCACATCACAACACACATGATGGGCATCACCTATAGGCCTTGTTTTTTTTTGGGGGGGGGAGGGGATGGGAATGGCCGCATGCACCGCTCACTGTGGGGTATGTCCATTTCGGTGTGTGCAAGTCGGGCTTTAAAACCAGCTCAAGATGAACAGACTTAAACCCAGCTGCCGTTTGGGGAAGCCAACGGGTCCAAGAGATTGATTGCGGCGCCTGACCAAATCCTGTAAGTCTAAGTCTAACATGAGGGACACAACTAAAATGGGGTGCTGCTTTTGAAAACAAATTCTGTCATGATCATGGGAATATGGGTGTGTACCCAAAAGGGAACCCTGGTAAATGGAAACAGATTGGCTAGGACCTACGAACGTTTGGTGGCGGTTTCGTATTTTGGCCCATACCCATCTACGATTTTTTTTCGCCCCCAGCCCATCCGACGCAAAAAAAAAAGAAAAGCCCCAGGGCCTTCTTCACCACCACGGGCTCCGGCGGCAGCCGGTCGAAGGCCCTGAGGCCCGGATCCCCAGCCGATGGGATCAGTGACGGATAAGGTCTGGAGCCAAGGCCCCAAGACCCCAAGAGGCTTCAAATCGGGGAGTCATGAGCTCATGACCTCACTGGAGATAAGCCCTCAGACAAGACCCTTAAGGCTTGGGGATGGGGGGATAAGCCCTCGCAACAAGACTTGGAGGGTTTTTACATCGGGAGAGGTTCCTGCCCCAATTCGCGCGCGTCAAGAATGCTTTTGAGGCCGGCTTTCCGCAAGGGACATCTGCGCCTGCAATTCCTCTAACCACTGTCATTGGCGTGGCCCTGCGACATTCCTCCGGGCTTTTGGGTAAAACTTATAGGCTCTTGATCGCCCGTTTTGGCAGCTGATTTGAGAGAAGACACAGATTTCTGATGTTCAACCCCTTCCAAAATAAATACAAAACGGCAATTGTCAAATGGTTTCTCAAAATCATGACCCCCTATTTGGGTGTTCAAGTCTGCTTGGTAGGTTTTCATCATGGTTTTCAGGACCTCCACATACCCTCTCTCGAATAATATGGGTTTCCCATACTAAATACCTCCTTGCACTTTTTGAGGGTTGATATGATTGATTTGGATTCCCTTCAAAACTCACCATACCAGCTACCACTACGTATAGTAGGTGACCCTTCGGTATGCCTGCCTCCAGGTTTACATCATGGTGGCGAAACGCCTGGCAGCACTGGGATATACAGCCACTATGGCCAGCATAAACGGGTATAAACCCCAAATCCCCTGGGCAGTGGTTTGGGGGTAGTTGACATTATAATAGAAAAGTTGGTGGAACGCCAAGTTAAGCGGACTAATACCATAACCTCCTAGTAAGTTGGTTGAACACAAAAGTACCCCCCTACTCTAAAAAGGCTCCTTAAACATACAAATTCCGGAAAACAGGGCTTTCCATCTTAAATACCATCTTTTTCCGAGGCTGGACTACGATGCCTCCCTTAAAAAAAAAAGGCCGGCCAACCACCAACCAGCCAACCAACCTGCCAACCTGCCAACCCTCCAACCAGCCAACCAGCCAACCAGCCAGCCAACCAACCAACCCTGTTTAGGACCCAAAAATAAAAACCCCGGTTGGTGTTCTTTTTTGAGGGTGTCGGTTGGTTTTTCCCTTGGTGGACTTCCCGGTGGGCGTCCGACAGCCCTTCACGCGCGACCCACGCGCGACCCGCATTTCTCCCAGGCGTCCGCGCAGCCCGATCTTGGTGACCTCCTCTGTGGCAGTGACCTCCTCGATGACCTTCGTTCGAAAATCCGCGCGGCGAGGTCGAGGCAACTGAAGCTGAGTTTGGGGGCCAAAGGGTGGCGGCGTTTTCTGGGCGGCCCGTTTTCGGACCTGCCAGTGGAAAACTGTGGGCGTGATTGAACAATTCAGGGGGTCTTATGCTTAGCCCCTTCCGGACCTGGAAGTCAAAGAAGTGAAAAGGTGACCACCCGCTGGAACCTTGACTGAACATGGACCACATCAGGGAAACCAAAGGGGCTCCGCGTTTTCTGGACGCTCCGAATTCTCTGAAAGGCTTAGTTGCCACCCAGAAATCAAAAAGTCGGTTTTGAACAACTGAGCGGGTGAAATGGACGTCCATCCAAACCAACTGAAATTCTAAGGAACCGGGCCGCTGGGAACCCCAAGGTTTGATGGGGTTTCTCGTGCCTTTTGCTTTGGCTTGGTGTCGTTGGGGGCTACACTCGCGTGGTTTTGAGAGGTTCTCTGATCTTCTTTGGGGGGGGTCTTGATTCAAGCCAACCAACTTCTGAGGGATTTGATTGGAACGTTGCTCTGGTGGTCACAGTTTCCCTCCAAATGAGTATTGGAAGTGGATACTTGGTTGCTTTTCGTCCAATGGACAATTATCTGTTTCCCAAAAAGGTAAAGTCCAAAGATCCAAGCAAATCGCCATAAAGGATACCATCGGGACTTGATACGGGCTGCGATATGGAACTCACAAGTGGTTGGTTTGCCCTGTGTTCCTCCTCCTTAAGCTCTCCAAAACAACACCCAAACAGGTTTCAGGATAGGCAGTTCTCGGCACACTGGTAAGTTTTGCGCTTGGTACCTGGATTGCACAAAACCCAAATATTCACACGCGACGCGGATCCCTACTTCCTGAAAGCCGATTTAACATCAGTCCTTGTGGTTTCCTTTACCAGAAGATGCTCACACATCAGCTGCTTACATGGGGCTGGACTCAACATGCACACACCTGACAACAGGAATCTCAACCTGGAGTCTCCTTCTGACCCTTGAAAAATGGTTGGTCATGACCCCCATCCACTACATCCATTTACGTGGCAAAGGCAGGTAACATTAGGTAACCAAGGGCTTGCCACCCGATGTAAAGCTACAGGGGTAGCTGGGATCCACTGTGCCCGTTCTTTGGGTCATGCCCCAAGGACTTTTGCTGCTTTCGCTTGGGTATGTGAAAACCAAACGGCAAGGGAAAACCATCTCGGGGTTGTTTGAGACACACACACTGAGATTCCTGAGGAAATATCCACCTTCAGGTGATGCCCAGCTGGGAATGAGGCCGCTTCATCCTCCGGAAGCTCGAACCTGGCGACATGGCGGAAGTTGGTGGAGATATGTCAGCCACAAACGGAGATACTCGGGTTCCCGTATAGGACATGGGAAAATGTGTGTGTGTTCCCTGGTTCTTTTGTTGGCTTGTTTGTGTGGGGGAACTTCGGAATTGAGTGACTTCCCCCAGGTTCAAACTGCACCATGCTTGGACTCCTGAGAGTTTGGACCAAACCTATATATAAATATCTTTCTCAAAATCGGGCTCACCTTTTTGGGATGGTTCTCGGGCTTCTAGAAAAACACCCGTATATGTTCCCCGGAGAGCTACGGTCTGTCTTCGTGAGGGTGCCCCACCACAGCGGGTGTTGAAAGGACGCCGAAAAAAATCACTTGCACCCATTTCCCGGGTCCCCCTCCCCCCCGCCAAAAAAAAAACGGGCCGCCCATACTTGGTGGACCTTGGGTTAGGGGAGCAAGAAAAAAAAGGTTTTAGCAGTTCAGTGGATTTGGATTTCAGCCCACTAAACCACAATAATTAAGCGAAAGTGTAAAACATGTTTCCCAACAACAACTATGCATACCGCTCCGAGTCTACGCCACACCGCTCCGAGCCTCTTGGTGCGAATTTCAGCCAAGCCATTGGTATTGAAATCTTTAGCATCATGGGGGCGCGTTTTTTTTTGGGGGGGAACCCTTTGTTCTGTGGTTTCCACAGGGAACGGGGTCCTGAAAGAACGACACACCCATTTGAGCACAGGCCAAAGATATACTTACCCTTCCCACATCCGGGGGAACCCTTTGTTCTGTGGTTTCCATTGGGAACGGGGTCCTGAAAGAACGACACGCCCATTTGAGCACAGGCCAAAGATGTACTTACCCTTCCCACATCCGGGGGAACCCTTTGTTCTGTGGTTTCCATTGGGAACGGGGTCCTGAAAGAACGACACACCCAGTTGAAAGATATACTTACCCTTCCCACATCCGGGGGAACCCTTTGTTTTGTGGTTTCCACAGGGAACGGGGTCCTGAAAGAACGACGCACCCATTTAAGCACAGGCCAAAGACATACTTACCCTTGCCACATCCGGGGAACCCTTTGTTCTGTGAAACGACACACCCATGTGAGCACAGGCCAAAGATACACTTACCCTTCCCACATCCGGGGGAACCCTTTGCTCTGTGGTTTCCACAGGGAACGGGGTCCTGAAAGAACGACACACCCATTTGAGCACAGGCCAAAGATGTACTTACCCTTCCCACATCCGGGGGAACCCTTTGTTCTGTGGTTTCCATTGGGAACGGGGTCCTGAAAGAACGACACACCCATTTGAGCACAGGCCAACTTCCCACATTCGGGGGAACCCTTTGTTCTGTGGTTTCCAGTGGGAATGGGGTCCTGAAAGAACAACACACCCATTTGAGCACAGGCCAAAGATATACTTACCCTTCCCACATCCGGGGGAACCCTTTGTTTTGTGGTTTGCACAGGGAACGGGGTTCCTGAACGATCGACACACCCATTTGAGCACAGGCCAAAGATATACTTTCCCTTCCCACATCCGGGGGAACCCTTTGTTCTGTGGTTTGCACAGGGAACGGGGTCCTGAAAGAACGACACACCCATTTGAGCACAGGCCAAAGATATACTTACCCTTCCAACAAACGGGGGAACCCTTTGTTTTGTGGTTTGCACAGGGCACGGAGTCCTGAAAGAACGACACACCCATTTGAGCACAGGCCAAAGATACACTTACCCTTCCCACGTCCAGGGGAACCCTTTGTTCTGTGGTTTCTACAGGGAACGGGGTTGAAAGAACGACACACCCATTTGAGCACAGGCCAAAGATATACTTACCATTCCCACATCCCGGGGAACCCTTTGTTCTGTGGACGGGGTCCTCAAAGAACGGCACACCCATTTGAGCACAGGCCAGAGATATACTTACCCTTCCCACATACGGGAGAACCCTTGGTTCTGTGGTTTCCACAGGGAACGGGGTCCTGAAAGAACGACACACCCATTTGAGCACAGGCCAAAGATATACTTACCCTTCCCACATCCGGGGGAACCCTTTGTTCTGTGGTTTGCACAGGGAACGGGGTCCTGAAAGAACGACACACCCATTTGAGCACAGGCCAAAGATATACTCACCCTTCCCACGTCCGGGGGAACCCTTTGTTTTGTGGTTTGCACAGGGCACGGGGTCCTGAAAGAACGACACACCCATTTGAGCACAGGCCAAAGATACACTTACCCTTCCCACGTCCAGGGAAACCCTTTGTTCTGTGGTTTCCACAGGGAACGGGGTTGAAAGAACGACACACCCATTTGAGCACAGGCCAAAGATATACTCACCATTCCCACATCCCGGGGAACCCTTTGTTCTGTGGACGGGGTCCCGAAAGAACGACACACCCATTTGAGCACAGGCCAAAGATATACTTACCCTTCCCACATACGGGAGAACCCTTGGTTCTGTGGTTTCCACAGGGAACGGGGTCCTGAAAGAACGACACACCCATTTGAGCACAGGCCAAAGATATACTTACCCTTCCCACATCCGGGGGAACCCTTTGTTCTGTGGTTTGCACAGGGAACGGGGTCCTGAAAGAACGACACACCCATTTGAGCACAGGCCAAAGATATACTTACCCTTCCAACAAACGGGGGAACCCTGTGTTCTGTGGATTCCACAGGGAACGGGGTCCTGAAAGAACGACACACCCATTTGAGCACAGGCCAAATATACCTACCATTCCCACATCCGGGGGAACCCTTTGCTTTGTGGTTTGCACAGGGATCGGGGTCCTGAAAGAACGACACACCCAATTGAGCACAGGCTAAAGATATACTTACCCTTCCCACATCGGGGGAACCCTTTGTTTTGTGGTTTGCACAGGGAACGGGGTTCCTGAACGAACGACACACCCATTTGAGCACAGGCCAAAGATATACTTTCCCTTCCCACATCCGGGGGAACCCTTTGTTCTGTGGTTTGCACAGGGAACGGGGTCCTGAAAGAACGACACACCCATTTCAGCACAGGCCAAAGATATACTTACCCTTCCAACAAACGGGGGAACCCTTTGTTTTGTGGTTTCCACAGAGAACGGGGTCCTGAAAGAACGACACCCATTTGAGCACAGGCCAAAGATATACTTACCCTTCCCACATCCAGGGGAACCCTTTGTTTTGTGGCTTCCACAAGGGAACGGGTCCTGAAAGAAAGACACACCCATTTGAGCACAGGCCAAAGATATACTTACCCTTCCCACATACGGGGGAACCCTTGGTTCTGTGGTTTCCACAGGGAACGGGGTCCTGAAAGAACGACACACCCATTTGAGCACAGGCCAAAGATATACTTACCCTTCCCACACACGGGGAAACCCTTTGTTTTGTGGTTTCCCACAGGGAACGGGGTCCTGAAAGAACGACACACCCATTTGAGCACAGGCCAAAGATATACTTACCCTTCCCACATCGGGGGAACCCTTTGTTTTGTGGTTTGCACAGGGAACGGGGTTCCTGAACGAACGACACACCCATTTGAGCACAGGCCAAAAATATACTTACCCTTTTTACATAGGGGGGAACCCTTTGTTCTGCGGTTTCCACAGGGAACCCAAAAGGAAACCACCATTTTGTGTGGGTCCCTTAAAGAAAGACACACCATGCACATTATTTGCAAAATTTGTCAGGTGCCATTCGATTCTTCGTGGGCCCGGACTTGGAATGGTGGACATCAACTAAAGCCGGGAGCTACTGTGGATGGACAAAATCCATTTCGCACGTTGGTATTTGCAAGGGAATCATCATTCCAGGGGTTCTTAGTTGGTGCAGGATTTCGTCCATCCAAAGTATGTCCGACCACTTTGGAGTCACTCTTGAGATTCATGGCCATGGGTCCAAGTCAGAGCCCATCGAGAAAGAGATCAAGTTCTTCTTGATGACCTCAATCTCCTCAGCCGCAATCCTCCTGGGGCTGAACTCCCTCACCCAATCAGGGACAATGGGGCTCTGAGCGAAATCTCCTCATCCGCATTCGGAACGAAATTCGGGTAGAAGATCGGGAGCGCACAGCCAGCACACAGGTGCATCCCGGAAGGCGTGATCTCAGCGCACCATGTCATTTCCGAAAAAGCAGAACAAGGTTTTTCAGTCCACCTTGCGATAGCCCCAAAATGGAAGCCTCCGTAAAGTATGCTTCACTTCAAGTGGATTGAATTGCTGTGATGCTCCGCGGTTTCGAAACCCCGAAAAGCCTTCCGGGGTCGGATCCCCCGAATCCAACAGATCCAACCCAGCGAGCCTTAAGGGTTACCTGACAAATTTTCGGAAGATGGCGCAGAGTACAACTTGGTTGACGTGGGGTTTGGGAAGCAAAAAATCTCAAGTTTTAGCAGTTCAGTGGATTTGGATTTCAAGCACTAAACCACAATAAGCAAAAATGTAAAATCTTTCCCGACAACAACCATGACAAGTGAGGTTCTTGGGGGTTCTTGTCTTCAAAAAATCATGGTTATGACCTTGCATGGCTTGAACACCCAAGCAGCCCTGTTTCAGGGTGGTCGCGTTTCCTGAAGAAAGTGGTCAGCTTGAGCAACCTGTCTGTGAGAGGGTCGATTCGTTCGATTCCTTGGCCCGTGAAAGGGTGGCTTTTGGGCAACCCCACGCCCCAAGCCCCATGGTTGTAGCCTGCCTACTGACGGGTCAAAAATAGGGGGAAAGCTTAAACCTTCTTCTTCTTTTTTTAAGAAGCCCCAACAGGAGGTACCCTAAAAGAACACAAGCCCAGTTACCTTGGTGGCTATTCACCCCTCTGCAAGAAGTTGTTCACTTTCCAGGGGTCCAATGCGGAAAATCCACAAAGCTTCAACCAAAAAGTCAAAGTGACCAAAGTTCCGTCACCAAAATAGCCATACAGTTACATAGCTTGAACACCCAAAAGAAAACCAACGACGACTCAGAAACCTCCTCACGTCTCGTGCGAGTCTCACCTCGGTCGCTTTCTGCTCCCCTGCTAAAAGTTTAACTTTTGGTGGCTGAATGGAAAACCCCATTAGTTGGTAAAAAGTTAAAGTCCTAACATCCCTTGGCAAAATGCAACAAAGTTATGGCTTCCTTTACCAGAAGAAGCTCACACATCAGCTGCTCACATGGGGCTGGATTCGCCCTGGGTAACCCAATTTTCACAAACCTGACAGACAAAATCTCAACCTGGAGTCTCCTTCTGACCCACAGCCACATCTCACCCGCGCCTCACGTCCAAAGGCCGCTCCTTGAGCGCTGCTTTGAACTCCTCCGACGACATCGCCGAGACCTCCACAGGAGCGGAGGAGCGGCCCCGGGGGGAATGCAAGGCGCTACTGGGATGGTTGCGAAATCCATTTCGCACCTAAAGAAACCCTGGTTTCTGATACGATTCTTCTGAAATACCAAGAAAGGACACCTATGGTACCCACTTTTTTCAGGACGTCTATTTTAGTAGGCGAACCCTCCCAACCCAAAAAGGGGTGAGAAAGGCACTTTGCTGGGGGACCTAGCCGGGAAACGCCCAGGGACGGCTTCTTCCCATCACCTCCAAGTGCTGCTCCCTGCTCCCGTGACTCGTCGATAACATGGAAGCCACAGTTTGGGGGGCCCAGCAAGAGGAGACTCCTCTTAACAAGATGCGCTCAGGGCTTCATGTTAATCAATTTCGACTTAGTGGCTTCGAGGGTGGGGGGTAAGGTAGTTCCCATTTACATCTACAAGAACCAGGGGCTCAAATCGAATCCAAACCACCAATCCAAGCAGTCCCTCAGTTACCCAAAAAGGGCCCAAACATACACGGCGATCGCCTTTTGTGACCATGACTAAAAATGGGCTTGTCCCAAACTAGGGAACCATCAAAATGGGTGGCTTCCTTTTAAGGTTTCCCTTTGAAAGCCACAGACCCCAACTAGACCAGAAAGGGAAAATCAAAAGGTCGAAAGGTCGATTCGCTTTGGGCCAGCGCGGCCAAATTAAGTGCCACCTGAATCAGGGAAGCACCCTAGAAGGAACATAAACAATGCCTACGAGTACCCCCGCACCTGTTTGCCATTGAGCATCACTATCTCCTCTCCTCAGATGCGACCGGCGGAGAATGGGAAGCAAATGGAAGCAAGCCGCAGGTGGCCGTGTTTCCAAGCGAGCAGGGACTCAGAGGCTCCAAGTATCCCATAAGGTGTTGGGTTTGGTTGGGGATGCGTGGATAGATCAATTATGAGGTACCTGGATCCTTCGGGAGTACATCGTCACAAGGTATCCGGGACGTGTCCCGTTTGGACCGCTTCCTTTTGGTTTGCTTTCAGACCCATCTTCGCGAGGAGGGGAAAAAAATAAAATAAAAACCAAGCGTCGGTGTGAGTACGAAAGCTGTTCCGCCCCAGATGGGCTTCTCGGCCAACTTTGTGGCTCTGTTGAGTTGCGTAAGCCTTCGGCCCTCCAAGGGTTGATTTTTGTTTTTCTCTCTCTCAAGCTATGCTAGATTAAAGAACAAGATTCCCGCCCGACAAAAACCGACCCTTTCTAGTATGCCATACCCACCGGTGCACAAGTGCAACTCAAAAGGGGCCCCACGCACACGTTTGTGGCGCACGAACATGACACTGTGACGCTGAAACCTGCTCCAAAATTGGCCTCTTACTCAGATTCTAAGTTGATTTCCACTGCTCGAACCACTAGAACTCTTGCGGTAGTGGTTTGGGGGTAGTGGAAACCATCTTGCTAAGTAGCTAGGAAGCCTGATTGTAACCAACCAATTAAAGGACCGGATAACCCCACATGCTATGTTTTTCCCAAGGATGTGAGTTCAAATGTCCACACACATGTACCGTGCGCCCCTTGTATGGATGCGATTACAGAGCACCCAGATGCACAGAATGCAGCGCCTGCCACGACTTCGGCAACGGCATCGCCAAAGTGCTGCGCCTGCCACGATTTCGCACGCCCCCCGCCGCGCGCGCGACAACATCCTGTCCCTCTAGACAGCTGCCGAATGCGACCCCTGCCACACAAACACACACCCAGATGCACAGAATGCTGCGCCTGCCACGACTTCGGCAACGGCATCGCTAAAGTGCTGCGCCTGCCACGATTTCGCACGCCCCCCGCCGCGCTGTCCCTCTAGACAGCTGCCGAATGCGACCCCTGCCACACAAACACACACCCAGATGCACAGAATGCTGCGCCTGCCACGACTTCGCAACGGCATCGCCAAAGTGCTGCGCCTGCCACGATTTCGCAACGGCATCGCCAAAGTGCTGCGCCTGCCACGATTTCGCACGCCCCCCGCCGCGCGCGCGACAACATCCTGTCCCTCTAGACAGCTGCCGAATGCGACCCCTGCCACACAAACACACACCCAGATGCACAGAATGCTGCGCCTGCCACGACTTCGGCAACGGCATCGCCGCAACGGCATCGCCAAAGCCGCCACGATTTCGCACGCCCCCCGCCGCGCGCGCGACAACATCCTGTCCCTCTAGACAGCTGCCGAATGCTACCCCTGCCACACAAACACACACCCAGATGCACAGAATGCTGCGCCTGCCACGACTTCGGCAACGGCATCGCCAAAGTGCTGCGCCTGCCACGATTTCGCACGCCCCCCGCCGCGCGCGCGCCAACATCCTGTCCCTCTAGACAGCTGCCGAATGCTACCCCTGCCACACAAACACACACCCAGATGCACAGAATGCTGCGCCTGCCACGACTTCGGCAACGGCATCGCCAAAGTGCTGCGCCTGCCACGATTTCGCAACGGCATCGCCAAAGTGCTGCGCCTGCCACGATTTCGCACGCCCCCCGCCGCGCGCGCGACAACATCCTGTCCCTCTAGACAGCTGCCGAATGCGACCCCTGCCACACAAACACACACCCAGATGCACAGAATGCTGCGCCTGCCACGACTTCGGCAACGGCATCGCCAAAGTGCTGCGCCTGCCACGATTTCGCAACGGCATCGCCAAAGTGCTGCGCCTGCCACGATTTCGCACGCCCCCCGCCGCGCGCGCGACAACATCCTGTCCCTCTAGACAGCTGCCGTGAGTCAGCGAGTGTGAGTGAGTGAGTGAGCGAGTGAGTGAGTGAGTGAGTGAATGAGAGTGAGTGAATGAGAGTGAGTGTGAGTGAGTGAGTGTGAGTGAGCGTGAGTGAGTGAGTGAGTGAGTGTGAGTGAGTGTGAGTGAGTGAGTGTGAGTGAGTGTGAGTGACTGAGTGTGAGTGAGTGAGTGTGAGTGAGTGTGAGTGAGTGTGAGTGACTGAGTGTGAGTGAGTGAGTGTGAGTGAGTGAGTGAGTGAGTGAAGTGAGTGAGTGAGAGTGAGTGAGTGAGTGAGTGAGTGAGTGAGTGAGTGAGTGAGACGGAGACGAGCGGGAGAAGGAGGAGACGCGGCGCGCGGACGACGAGCGGTAAAAGTAAGAACCCCACACAAAGATGTGGGGAAAAACATGTTTGTAAGTGCCCTATAACCAGAGTTACTAACTCTTTAGCTGATCCCCAGACCACGAAAGTAATGGGAAACTGTGCCCCCCAATGTAATCTTGAGAACCCTCGAAATGTTCCCCGCAAAGGTCAAAAGTGCAGCTGATTGCTCTTTCATATGTTTGCCCTTGCACGGGTGTGTCTCAAAATTGGGCTGTACATCCCCAAAATCGTTGATGTCCTGCTTGGTTTCCTGTACCCTCAAAAAGGCACCCCAACAGGGGACAACGAAACACATATTCATTTCGGCAAATGCTTGCTGGTGCGATAGGTAGGGAATGTAAGCATGACCCTGAAACACCATCCAATGGTTTCCTAGGGGACCAACGGCTGGGCTCATTCGATTCCCTGATTGCAACAGCAAGTTCAGGTTGATCACAAGGACCCTGATACACGGAATGAATATTGGATGTGTCAACCATGGGAAAAGTTACCCCCTGGTCACGGAGATTTGTTGGGGCCCGACATGGCAGATTGATCAACCCCCAAATGGACGTCTACAAGGTCGTTTCAACACTATTCCATTAAGTGGTTAGTATCCCTATATAGTTGTAACCCACCAAAGACATGGAAGATTGATCAACCCCCATCTTAAAAAAAATAATAATAAAGAAAAACAAAAGAACAAATAAGAACACAAATGAGGAAAATACACATAAAAAACAAAACATGAAAAAAAACAAATACCATGAACAAAAAAAGAAACCACGACGAGGGAAGGCGAGTCGCCGCCCTCAAAGCCGGCGATCTGGGCCCAGCCCATGACCTTGTTCACCACCACCGGGGATGGCGGCAGCTGCGAGAAGGACCTAAGACCGGCCCAACGTGACTGACCGAGTTCCCCCCTCAAAACAACGCATAAACTTGGTTGAAGTTGGAAGGGGAGCAAACATTTAAATTGTAGCAGTTAAGTGGGTGGATTTCAACCACTAAACCACAATAAGCAAAAGTGTGCAAAATGTTTCTCAACAACAACCATGTAAACTTGGCTTTAGGGGACTTCAAACCACGGCTTTGGTGGGATACAACTATATAGGGTCATTAGCCACCTAGCGTCCCAGGACATCTATGTGCCGCTCGCAGTGGATCTATTTATATACCTTGGCTGGAATTAGCACCCCAGCAAAATAATATATTTTGTCTGCCTGGTTCGTGGAAAACAAAGCAAAACCAAAAGAAGCAAAACAAATGAAAAGGGGAACTAATTCTGGGGAAGTAAAATGAACTGTTGCAACCAGGAATCGACCAGTCCATGATCCATTTGGGAGGGACATGTGGGAACTCACACAATTTTCGAGGATTTCCCTCCTCCCCTCCCCCCCACCAAAAAACAAAAAAAAACAAGCCAACAAATGGGCTGCTTCAACTTGATGCATCACCCACCCCACCCATCTCCCCAAATAAAAAGAAGGGGAAAAACCCCTTGGAGCGTTCCCGACTATTTGGAGACAAGCCCGAATCAACTGGTCTTGAGTCCAAGGACATGCTCAGGAATGTTGATCAGGGTTTGCAAAAACCTCGACCATGGTTACGCCGGAGTTTTCATGTTGGTTGATCCCTCCCTATATGTATTGCTTTCAAAGATTGCTGCGGAGCTTCCGGCCCAACAAATTCAAGTGAGCGGCGCCCGTTTCACCCATTCGCTTTTGCTTCTACCAACATGGTTCCTATGGGCGTGTCTGTTTTAGGGGACCCCCGAAAAGGCTGCGGTTTTCCAGTTGATTTCCATTTAACATCAGCCAAAAGGGCGTACCCTCAGCAAAAAAAGGCGCACACCCATATAGCCCTGTCCGTTCCATGACTCAAACACCCACTACTCGGTGGTTTGGATTTGTGGCTTGGGGATTGGCACCCTTGGTCCTCGTGGAGGGTACATCCTCTATAGACCCCCATGGCACAACGGCATCCCTCGAAAAGGGTACCAACTCCAAAAGCAAACGTCTATTTAGTAGGCTGCCAAATGCTTTGCTAATATACCAACTGCTTGGGACACTTTTGCTAAGAGCCATCCCGGATGCTTTGCTGCCCGCAAAAAACAAGACACACCCAACAACTTGGTTGCTTTCTGCTCCCCTGCTAAAAGTGACTAACTTTTATTGGTTTAATACGGGAAAACCATTTGTTGGCAAAAGGTTGAAGTCCTAACATCCAAGCAAAATGCACCAAGACCAGTCTTCAGAAACCCCGCCCCCGCTTTCCTTGGGCTACCGGCAGCCCCAACTTGTCCACCTCCGCTGCCGCTACCACGGCCCGCAGCGCCCGCGGCGCCTCGCGGATCCGCGATCCGATCGTCCAAGGGATCGGTTGGGAGACTCGAAAGCAAGTTGGCCCTCTAAAACATTTTTCTCTAGTGATGGTACAGAAAAGCCAACAGAAACGCACACCGCAGCAAGCCATTTTGGAGTTGGGTACGCTCAAACCAGGAGGGGTCCTCTGTCAATACCGTAACAACCGTTGTTTCAACCATTCTAGGGGTACCTTCCCCATTCTTTCCAAGGGATCCTTCTTTCTGGAAAACCCTCCGGAAACCAGGGAAACGGCCGGTTTTAGAAAAGAACGATGCTTGGAAAGAATCGGGAATCAACCCTTAGATCTTCAGAAGTTTCCAACTTGGAAACCCTTTCCATGGGTGGGGGTTGAATGCCTGGACCCTCAAACTACCCATTAAAAAATGCGAAATCACCCCATGACGTTGGGTTGCAATAACCATTTACTTCCATTTGCTTTCTCGCCCCCTGGAGAAAAAAAAACACGAAAAAAACGAGTAAAGGTAGTGACAACAGGGGAGCCGGGCGGTTTGGAGGAGGAGCTGTTTTCATCGCCCCACAACATGGTTGTTGTTGGGAAACATTTTACGTTTTTGCTTGTTGTGGTTTAGTGGTTGAAATCCAACCACTTAACTGCTAACATTTATTTTGTTGCTCCCCTTCCAACGTCAACCAAGACAAGAACCAAGGCTTGAACTCCAAGTCCAATGCAAACCAGCAATCCAAATCCAAAACCAATGCTTTCTTACGCAAAGGGTTGGGGCAGAAAGGTCTTCATCGATAGACTTCCTGAGTGGATGTTTCCAAGCAAATCCAGCAAAGGAGTCTTCTTTTAGACCCCCCCTTTGGTTGGGTGCCATTTTCATCTTGCTGGTGCTTACCATTGCGTTTTTGTTTATATATGTTTTGGTTTGTTTATTTTTGGGGGGCTGGGGGCGCGTGGTACGTAGTGATTTGGGAGTGACAGGATCCTTGTTCGCCACCTCCATATTCTTCAAACGGAGAGCCTCTTCAACAAAAGCCACCGGTTTTGCAAGTACAATGAACACGCGGCCCTGAAGAGGACAGCATCTTACTCCCCCACAAATGAACCTGGAGCCTGTGCGAAAGGGGTCACCCAAGGAGATTGTCAAATGGCAATTTGGGTTCCTTCAGATCTGGAGAGCATCTTTCCCATTGGATCCATTTACCTGCAAAAGTCACCAAGGGCTTGCCACCCAATATAAAAACCAAAAGGGAACGCAGCGAAGGGTTACCTACTATATGGGTGAACCGCCTCGAATCCACTGGGTTTTAAACTTCCATTTGCTCAAGAATATTATTTGTTTTCCAAAACCAACCTCATTTGCGGCCGGCTGACATGCCGGTGCACGCATTTCACAGCGCATTCCACGCCTCTGGCTGCACGCGGAACCTACGACAGGGTACAGGGCTGGGCGGTTTTCGACATAGTTTCAGCTTCCCTCTGCCTGCAGTCTGGAATCAAAAATGGTAGGTCATGACGGTCATGACCCCGATTTGTTTAATGGCAGTGACCAACCATGCTTTAAGGGTGAGAAGGAGACTCCAGGAGATTGGTGTGGCTTGGGACTTTTCGAAGGCCAATGGAATCCAGCCTGAGGACATGAAATTTGACCTGTAAAAACCATGCTCCTTCTGAACGGTCCCAGAAGGTCCGATTGGAAGAGTGTGAATTGACAAACTCCCTTGAACCAAACCCGTTTTTATGGGGCCAACCAGGTTGGATCTTCACAGCCATGGTCAATCTTCGCCTTGGCCGTGGCTTGGACAGAGATCCTTGTTGTGGTGCACGCAATCTGCAACGATCCACGAGTCCTGCCCCAGCCAAGCAAAAAAAAACAAGCGAGCTCTTCAGCCACGGTAAGCCGAAAACTAGTCCTGGCGAAACGGATCACGGAACAACCGGACACGACAAGGACATAAGGAGATCTGGATGTGTCAGTTTTGAGGCTACCCCTTTTTTCGGGATTTGGTCCAAAAGGAACCGCAACCATATTGAGGGCTCCTCAGATATTCTCAAAGAATTTGAGGCCAATTCAACCCGAGATTCGGCCGAGCTTTGGAGCCCCCTTGCACCAAGTTTCTACAACCTGACTGGGCCAAAGCTGGACCTTCAAAAAGTCAAACTAAGGAAAATGAAGGAACCTAGAAACCCCTAGAATTCCATCTTAGAAACCTCTTGGAACCCCTTAGAAATCCCTGGGAACTTGACCCAAACCACCTACAAATCCTTAGAAACCCTCTTAGAAACCCCAAACGAAACCATTGGAAAAGGGGAAACTAGAAGACACACCACAAAACGTGTCTGTTCAAAAAGTGAAGCTAAGTCTGGCAGTGAACCAGGACCAGCTTGTTTGGACTAAGGCGAGGAACCCTCCAAACCGAATAGAGATCGCCCTAGACTTGTAGTCCATGAGCTCAGGCGAGTCTAAAGGGAGGAGCCCTCCAAAGCAAAAAACGAGATCGACCCACTGAGCTGACTGAGGTTACTTGCTTGACGTTGGGTTTGGGGAGCAAACAATCTCAAGTTTTAGCAGTTAAGTGGATTTGGATCTCAACCACTAAACCACAATGAGCAAAAATGATTCAACTGTTTCCCAACAACAATGTTGTGGAGAGACGAAAACTCCTCCTCCTCCAAACCGCCCGGCCCAAAACCAAATAGCGATCGCCCCACTGAGGCTGACTGAGGCTTAACCCCGAAAACCCAAACAGAGATCGACCCACTGAGGCGCTTCACGGCTTAACCCGAGGTTGACCCCCGTGACCCCTGTGACCGTGACCCTGCCGCCCCGCCCCGCCCCGCCTCAGCGTCAAAGGCCGCTCCTTGAGCGCGTCTTTGAACTCCTGGGAGGGCTCAATGCGTTGCGCTTGCGGCGCGCGGGACGCTCGGCACAACGAGCCCCGGAAAACCGCCCCCGGAAAACCAAATTGGTGGGACACCCCCCAAAAAAAAGCACCCAAAAGGGGGTACCGACTCCAAGAAGAGACACCCTCAGACGGGCAAAGACATGGGCTTTGAGTGTGCTCTTGTCCGACACTAGACACATTGCAAGCGATCGGATCTCGTTGTTTCAAGCTGTTCAAGGAGCAGTATTCTAGGGGAAACCCAAAGGAAAAAAAAACGCCGCTGGAGGTCTGGGGTAGAGATTAGCGTGGCTTAACCTCTTTGGGGTTGGATTGAAAAGGAGACCAAAAGGAAGCCAACCATTTTGAGACATCATCTGGATTTTCTGAAAGGAAAATTGCGATACTTTGCGGCTCGAGTACTCGAGTCGGCGCCTGCCTCTCTGGTCATGTTGGTCACGTCCACGCCGTTCACTGCCACCACCTCCTCTCCTGCCGATTCGTCAGACGGATGGGATGCGCACATGGCCCTTTTGGCGCAAGCAATCGGAACCCGGAGAAAGAACCTGCTACGCGGGCCCCTGAATGCAAATTTTCTTGAAAAGTTGTTGAACGACCTTGCCCAGCAGGATGTATTACGTTCAGGTGGAACATGATGGTTTCAGTTTTCCTGCCTGGGTCACTGGAAGCGCTGGTGGCCACATTCTAAACTCCAAGTACTGTCCAAAGAGCTGGGGTCGATGAGAAAATGACTTAGTAAGCACCGTTTGACCATGGATATAAGCAAACTAACCCCTCCCCACGAAAAAAAAAAAACATGTCTTCAACGAACCTAAGCAGCTTGAACACCCAAGTATAATCAAGTATACCTCAAAGGGCGCAATACCTGGTATGTGGTAAACCATGGTTCTAACCCATGGGACACACAACCGGTTTTATCCCTACTTGGGTGGTATGGGAGGTAGCCAAGTGGAGAAACCTTGCTTGTAACCCACTTCCACGGCTGCAAGGCCCGTACAACCAGCGCTACTATGCATTTCCCTAAGTCCCGTAACATCCAAGTATGGATACATGTTGTATCGCCTGCCTTGTTCAACCGAACTGCTTCCGGGCTCCTCCCTGGAAACCGATGCGCTGGCCCCAGTTGTCCGCCGCCACGTTGCTCACCACCACCGGCTCGGGGGGAAAGGACCGGAAAGCCCTCGGGCGGGGCAGAAACGCCACTGGAGGGGACTGTCTTGGATGTTCAACCTATGATGGTCTGGGAGGGAGCGGTTGTAACGCACTTACCGTGGTTGTCAGCCCCTAAAACCAGGGTTACCAACCGTTTAGCTAGGTCCCAGACCATCTAAATAGTTGCCAACAGCGCTGCCGGGCGCTTGGCACTTTCGTGCTGCTTTAGGTTTGTTCCAGTTTTAGCCTTGTTTTCAAGGAAGGAAGGAGGTGGAGGGGGAAGACTGGGTAGCAAACGTTCTTGCGCACAAGGCCACCGCGTTGCAGCACACTGAGCGCGCACACACATGAACACAAATACACACGCACGCGCACGTGCACGCAGGTGAAGTGTCGGGGGGGCGGCGAAATCCTTATACGCGATGGTTAGCAAGGGATAGCCCGCGTTCTCCGGAAAGGGCCGGTCAGGGCCAACTGCGACACAGTAGGTAAGTTTCCAAGGTATTGTCCTAGTTGAATGGAGTGTGTGAGGTACTCGATCGCTGCTCAGTCGGAAGACAGGTGGCATGGTCTTTAGCTACCCTCTCTCGGCGTCCGTCGTCGACACTTGAGCCAGGGCCAAGGCAGCCTTGTGTGGGAAGAGCACCCGTTTGTAAGCAACACAGGTTGGGATCCAAACAGGAACATGACAGTGAATTCGCCTGAGGCGTAGGTATCCAAGACATGAAGTCTTAAGCCGCAGCCCCAGATGACCTTGCGCGACGCTTTTGTTTCCATGTCGCAAACCACCTTCTCCGTAAGGCGCGGGCTGGCATGCGCTGTTCACCTTTCTAGGGCTTGTGTCAGCCTGGCGCTGGTTTTACTTCTGCGGCTTTGCCTCGCGACACGTCCATGTCCTAGCCTATCGACGCGCTGTTCTGAAGGGTTGCTGGAAAGGCGGAGTTTAGTGCTGAGACGGGGCTGCTCCTGCTCTTCTCCCTTTCTGGAGTCTGTCATACAACCAGGCGGGGAAAAGGGAACAAAAGGACTAGAGCTCTTTAAATTCGCGAACCCCGCAAAGTGAGCGGTGTTTCATTTAGTTTCCCCTCACACCCAACTCAAAGGGACTTTCAGAAGAAAAAAAGGCGCAGCCCAATCATACGCGGCCCCTGCCCAATGCCCTCAAGCGCGCTCGGGTTCTTGAGGGCGGCAAGCATTGAGCTGGGTGGCCAGCCCGCTCGACGTGCTGGGTGCATCTTCTGGCGGTACAAAAAGCTGACATAGTAAAGTGGCACCAAGCGCCGGGCCGGGCTTGGTGCTGCCGGGCTCTTCGCGGCCAAACTGCCGCTGGAAGCGAATGGCTTGTGCGCAAAGGAAGGCATCTGTCAGCGACTTGTGGACGCAGCCTGCTTGCAACTTCTCGAAGCGACTGGAGAAAAGGCTGCGGCCGAACTGCCGCTGAAACCCTAAAGCTTGGCCATGCGACCAGCGCGCTTGAAGACGCAACGGGCTTTGTGCCCAGGCGCTGTTTGCAGGGGAGCAAGCGAAGTTTCTGCTCCTGCGCGACCCCCTGCGAGGGGAAAAAAGGCTAAGACCCCGAAAAAACGCAAGGCGCCGCCCCCTCCCCGCCATGAAGCAATGAAGCAGGAGTCATGGTTTGCTCCTGCGGAAAAAAACAAGGCCCCGGACTCGCTGCAGGCCGATAACCTTCCCTTCACCCTTCACCTTTCACCAGCCACAAGCTTCATGCGCCTTTGAAACGCGACTCCTGTAAACCGCGAGCGTGCTTTACGTGCAATAATTTTTGACCGCTCCACAAACACGAGTCGGAGCAGCGCCTTCCTCACACGCCCCAACACGCATGAACACATGATGCTTTGGCCTGCCAGAACACGGCAGCGCGGTGTGACAAGGAAGGGCACGCGGGCACGAGAACAAACGCCAGCACTGCGCACCTTGTTCATCAGCTTGATCACATTCAGAAATGACGCAAACAACCCTAGCAAGCTTTGGTCTGTTTGGAGCTGCCCGCGACCTGTAAGATTCGAGGCACTGGGGCGCCTGGCCACTCCGCAGCCCTCGCAGAGTGGCAGGAACGCACGCCAGACGTGACGTTTCTTTGCACAGTTTCGACGGACGCGAAGCGGAACAACCCAACGTCCGCTCAGCAGATCGCAGCCAGCAGTCTTTTTTGGAATGCACCGACATGCTACATGATGCGGAGATTCCCGCGTGTGGTTCTACACCCCCAAGCGTCCTTGGAACTGAGCAAGCGCAAGGTGTATTTTACCCCGGGCTCGGCGCCGCGCTTTTGTCCCGAGGACAGAATTGATTTCGGGTTGGCCTAGGGTGGGTTTTAGGCTTGGTTTTCAGACAAGTTTGAGCTGCTTTTCTTGGGTTTTGGCTTGGTTTGGAATTGGTTTGGCTTGGGGGTGGTGGGGTAGGCTTAATTACGTGCGCTGGGTTTCGGGTAGGGGTTGCCTGGTTTCGGTTGGGTTTAGGGGTGGCCTCCATGTAAACCATCACTTGTTGTTTTTGACTGAACTTAGCAAAAATAGGTCATCCATTTATTCTTAAACAACCTTCGTTGTTGCAGTGGATCCCCAAGTTCATGCCCAAAACTGCTGGGCTGGCGATTGGACGCTTGTGCGGTGTTCATAGATCCCCAACTCCTGCTTCGTCCGTCCAACCAAAAAACCAGAACCAGCTCAGCTGTTGACGAACAAATGGAACACGAGCCTTCGCAGTCTTCAGGTTCAAGAGCCCACGTGAAAACGAACGAGTGGATTGGCGTCGAAAGAAGTAACCCAACTTTTCGGGTCCAGCCCCGAAGGCGACAAGAAGCAAACAGACTGCAAATGGGCTTCCTATGGTCCAGCCCCAGGTGGAACAAAGTGACAGTCCGAGACGAAACTCGGGTGAGACGCCGGTTGACGCAAGGTGCTGCAATTGCCTGGGATTTGTGGCTAAGCGGTTGTAACCCTAGTTGTAAACCATTTACCATGGTTGTAAGCCTCAGATCCCCCGCCAAAAGTTTAACTTTTAGTGAAAACTACCACTAAACACTAAAAGGCAATAAAGCTAAGGAACCGGATGGCTGAGAGCCACCAAGAGAACATCTAGGTACCTGGAGCCTCCACGACCCTTAAAAAATGGGTAAATGACCAGCCATTATTTTGGGTAATGACCAACCATGTTAACGGTCAGAAGGAGTGTCCTTGTAGGGGAAATAGATGTTTCCCCGGTAGATGATTAAACCACCAGGCAACCAGGAATCGCCCTCTATTTTTCGACCAAAACCAAAAAGGACACCTTTGCCCAGAACATCTAGGTAAGGGGTTTCCTGTGTGGTTCCTGCTAATTTTTACGTTTCTATTTTACCCAACAGCTGTGGGGTCTTAGCCAATTTTGACTAAAAGGCGCAAAAGCTAAGGAGCCGGCTGGCTGGGAGCCACCAAGAGAACATCTCAGGCTCCATGGCCCGAAATAAACATTGGTCAATGACCCGGCCCATTTTTTGGGGTACCGGCCGACCATTTTTTAAGGGTCAAACAGAGACTCCAGGTACCCAGAATGGGGCGTCACCTCATATTCTTAGGGCCAATTTTTACCCAACAGCTGTGGGGTCTAAGCCAACCCTGACTCGGCTGCTTTCTGCTCCCCTGCTAAAAGTGACTAACTTTTAGTGGTTTAATACGGAAAAGTTGGCAAAAAGTTAAAGTCTTAACAGCCCTTGGCAAAATGCACCAAAGTTATACCACACCCATTTGCCCATGGGTCAAAAGCCAAATCGTACCCCCAGTGAACATCCCAATCCAACCACTAAACTAAAGCCTAAAATGGGTGGTAAATAACCCCTGGTTGATCCGTGCTGTGGATGGACGAAATCCATTTCGCACCACGAAATGAAACCATGGTTGAGACCATTGTTGGTTGGTATTAGGGGAATCAAATCAGAAACCAGGGTTTCTTAGGTGGTGCGAAATGGATTTCCTCCATCCACAGTATCTGGCTCTCTTCCGAACGCGTGGCTCGGTCAAGAACAAAAGGTAGCTGGAGTCGGTGGTGCGAAATGGATTTCCTCCATCCACAGGGGGGTTGGCCCCTATTATTGGGACTCACTTTTGGGGGGAGCTCAGGGAAGTCAAAAATCTGCGGCGAGCAATTCCTCTGGGAATGGGGGGGGGGGGTTGGCACCTATTCTTGGGCCTCATTTTTTTTTGGGGGGGGAGCTCAGGGAATGGTCCATCCACAGTAGCGGGGTGGCCCCTATTCCTATGACTCACTTTTGGGGGGAGCAACTCCTCTGGGAGTTCGAAAATCGTAGGGGGGTTGGCACCTATTCTTGGGCCTCATTTTTTTCTTTGGGGGGGGGAAGCAATTCCTCTGGGAATTCGAAACAAATCCTGCGGTCCACCGCCTCGCCCCGGTTTCCTCGGCTAGGCTGCCCGGCACGCCGATCTTCTGCACCTCCGGGCCGGCCTGGGCATCCTGCACCGCCTTCGTATCCGGAGCCCGCAAGCTCCACCCACCCGGCTCTGTGTTTTTTTGTTGGGAAAATCCAGTTAACTTTGTATTTTAGTTGGTATTTTTTAGTTGGCAGTTTTTAGTTGGTAGTTTTTAGTTGGTATTTGTTAGTTGGTATGTTTGCGGAAAACCCGGCTTTCC